GAGTGAATGCAGGAAATTATTATTATACCCAGTTATTGAATAAACGTGCCTGTCCAGCGCTTTACCATGTTTTTAAACTGATCGAAATTCCTTATCATGTACAATAATCATTAATCAAATGTTAAGTTGAACTACTTCTGGGAATCATAATTGTAGCCTTGGGTGAATGAATGAAAATGAAAACAAATTAAAGTCAGTTTATTCAGTTTTTTAGAGAACAATCCTGAACATCCATTCAGAGCTACAATGGAACGGTTCATGCGTTCAAAGGGCCTAGTCAAAGCCCAGACCTAAACTCAACTAACAAGAGCATGTTGTCCTATTTGTTAACTGGGATCAATTAAATTCAAATGATTTTTCTGTAAAGTAAGACATGTGTTGTCAATTGGTGCTACAGAAGTAAATGGAATTGAGTTAAAACCGAATTAAGAATTCAGACAATTCAGAAAGATGTCATTCATCAACATAGCTGATTTTACCTCATTACCTTAACTTTACATATTGAATAAAAGTAACTCAAGAACGGAGCCCTGATGAACTCCACATGTGATCTTTCCTACATCAGATTTCTAAGTAATGAAAAGGTTTGTTTCATGTAGCAATTATAATCCTGACTTCTTTCCTCTCAGCGTAATCCCAAATTGTCAGTTTCGCTCGAAGACGTCCAGATTAAAAACTTTCACAGCCAACCAGCTGGATGAGATCAAAGATCCCTCAGGTCTCTTTTACATCCTGCCCTTTCAGAAGGTGAGCATAAATCTGAAAATATCTGACGCTACTGATAAAAAAATAACAAAATGAAGGTAATATGTTCTCTGGGTCTGCAGGGTTACTTGGTTAACTGGGATGTCCAGAGGAAAGTGTGGGATCACCTGTTTGGGAAGGAGATGTTTAAGGTTTGTTTATTCTGCTTTGCTTTCAGAAAACTCTGAATGATTTCTATTTTTTACACGCTGGAGCTGAGAGTTTTCTCTCTGAGCAGGTGGAGTTTCCAGACACGAGCATCATCATCACCGAGCCGTACTTCAACTTCTCCTCCATTCAGGAGTCCATGAACGAGATCCTGTTTGAGGAATACCAGTTCCAGTCGGCTCTGCGGATCAACGGTGAGTCTCAGCTGGAGACCGATCGCTTTAATCGATTATTGAAATGATCCTCATCTAATTTAGTCATTGATTAATCATCAACAGTGGAGGGTAGAGTACCCAAAAATTGCACTTTAGCATATTTTTACTCAAGTAAAAGTAAAAAGTAGCCGTCCAAGAAATTTCTTAATTCAGAGTGAAAACGTATTTGTTAAAAAGCCTGTCAGATTGTTATTCAGAAGCAATAGAAAACTGATAGATGGTTGTCATCAAAAGTACATATTCTTTCTAATTTACTTGTCTTATGGTTTGTACCTGTGACATTTTGGCTAAAATCTCCTTGCCGTCCTCCAGCCGGGTCGCTCGGCGCTCATCACTACTTCACCACGAAGCCATCGGAGCTCTGCTGCCTGGTGGTCGACTCGGGATTCTCCTTCACCCACATCGTCCCCTACTGTCGCAGCAAGAAGCTGAAGGAGGGCATCCGCAGGTCAGAGAGCAGCGACCTTTAGAGGAAATGACAGAGAGCAGCACCAGGGGGCGCTAACAGGAGCTTGTTTCTTTGTTTCATCTTTCAGGATCAATGTGGGAGGGAAACTGCTCACAAATCACTTGAAGGAGATAATCTCATATCGGTATGGAGAGAGAGGGATTCTCACAGCAGCAACGCTTTGTGTTGATTAAGTGTTATGTATGGAGCTAAATTGGGGTCAAAAATTAGTTTATGTCAAGATGAAAAATTTAAAAATGGGGGGAAAAAAAGTTTGGAATTTTTTAAAGTTCCAAACTATTTTTTCAGTTTCACATGATTTTGTTCCAGTTTAAAAAATAAAAAATTTTAAACAAACTTTATTACTCAAATTTATCTCCTCATTATCTCAATAGTATGGAGCTAAATTTAGGCCATGAATAAACTTTTCGGCCCCATTTGCTCCATCGTCATGTGTGTTCTTTTAATTTTGCAGTCAGTTACACGTGATGGACGAAACGTATGTGATCAACCAGGTGAAGGAAGACGTTTGCTACGTCTCTCAGCAGTTCCACAAGGACATGGAGATCGCACAGTGAGGCTCACCGATGTTGCTCCATATTTTACCGGAACCAAACCCGTAATGTCTTGACCCATCTCACTTTCTGTTGTTTTTCAGGATGAAAGGGGAAGAAAACACCGTAATGAGGGATTACGTTCTTCCAGATTTCAGCGCCATCAAAAAAGGTTTCTGTAAGGTGAGACCGATCGCCAGAAATATTCCAATATTTTTAAAGTATTTTATAAGAATTCACTTTTTCACTTGATTTATTACTTTTTTAGTGATTTTGTTGCAGACTTTTTGCTTTGTTGGTGAACCAAGCTTCAGTTGTCAGACAAATTATTTCTCATCTGAATTTAGAAATTTGAAACTGAAAATTTCAGTTTAAAATTTAAAAACTGAAAAAATAAGATTTGAAATTGGAAATAAAAAGATTTAAAAAGTAAGTTTTAGATTCAGTTTTTATTTGATTTAATTGTCAAAACCAATCACATAAACAGAATATCGATGATGTTTTAAAGACGTTTCCAGTTCCCACGGTTCCTGAATGCAACAGCTGGAAATAATTTTGTCAGTTCTGAAGCCTCGTCTTTGTAGAAAATATTAAAAACTGAAGAAAAGTTTGTATCTGAAAAGTAGTTTTGAACTTTTTTTTTCAATTTCAAACTTATTTTTCAGTTTAAAGAAGAAAAAAAATTGAAGCAAACTTTATGGTCCCAATTTAGCTCCATACATTTCTGTCTTTATTCAGGCCAGCAAACATCCACAATTTCATCTTTTTTGAGCTGATGAAAAAATTTAGGATTGCATTCCTCTACTTTAAAATGTAGAAATATTTAAAAGTTCAAATTTATTTTGATAGCAAAAACAAAACGTTTCCCTTTCCTTTAGACCAGTTGGTTTTGGTTCTTTTCGCTCGAGTTCTGATGTTTCTGTGAGACCAGTTCAGGTCTGATTCTAAGTTTTCTCCGCCTATCAGCCGCGGGAAGAAATGGTCTTCAGCGGAAAGTACAAGACAGGCGAGCAGACACTGCGGTTGGCCAACGAGCGGTTCGCGGTCCCGGAGATGCTCTTCCATCCGTCGGACATCGGCATCCAGGAGATGGGAATCCCGGAGGCCATCGCTGACTCGGTCCAGTCGCTTCCAGAAGGTTTGTGGTTCAAATCGGACGTCAGATCTGAAGATAAATTCAAATCCAGTCAAACTTTAACATGAACGTGTCTGTGAACTTTCAGGGTCACATAAAGACAGTTACAAAGTCAACCTTTTATCACCTGAAGAACATTTCCAGGATCAAAAGATTTGCTAGATCTAGAGCAGGGGTGTCCAAAGTGTGGCCTGGGGGCCATTTGCGGTCCTTGGAGTAATTTTGTATGGCCCCCAAGTGCAGAATCTTATCAATTTGGTCCTTTCTTTTATTAGTTTTTAGAATGTCATTAACAAATTTAAATGTCAAATGGATTTTTATTGATTATTAGCAATATATTAAAAAATTTGGTACAAAGTATATCAATAAAATTTTAGTAAATTCGCAACAAATTATTTTGACTTTGTTCATAAAATGACTTTAAAAATGTTGACTAGATGATGTTTATGACGTAAAGCATGTTGAACTGCTATGTTGCTGAAATGTGCTGTACAAATAAACTTGATTGATTGATTGATTGATTGATTGATTGATTTTGTTTGTTAGAGATGCACCCCCACTTCTACCAGAACATCGTCCTGACCGGAGGGAACTCACTGTTTCCTGGTTTTAGAGAGCGTTTGGAGGCGGAGCTTCGGTCCCTTGTCCCCGCCCATCTACCAGTGAACGTATTACTGCCTGAAAAGTAAGAAGCCTCAGTTTTCCAGAAGGTTCGAACAGACGATACTTATACTGCTGAGCTGCCATTAAAACACTAACAAATAAGGTCCAGGTGAAAATTCAAAACAGAAATTAGTGTTGGATTGGGGTTAAAGTGGAAAAAAGTGGAGAAACTCAAGAGTGTGAACCGTGTAGCTGAGGAACCAGCTTCTGAGCGTCTTTAGTTCTGGTCTTAACGTCTGTGACTGTGTTCCTGTTCTGCAGTCCCGTCTGTTACTCCTGGGAGGGAGGGAAGCTGCTGGCTCACAGTCCGGACTACGACGAGATGGTGGTGATGCGGGAGGACTACGAAGAGAACGGACACATCGTCTGCGAGGAGAAGTTTGATATTTGAGTAAAAACTGATTTTCAGACGGAGATCGTCTCTGACCAGCGATGGAAACCCTCTTCAGAATTCAAACACATTTCACTGCATCAGAAGTGCGGATGCACACATTCCCAAAAGCTTTTTTATTTACAGACCAATTAAAAAACACAAACTGTTTCCCTTTTGTACCGCTATCTGCTGAGTGTATTAATCAATGATTTGGGTTATAAAGTGGCTTCACAAATCAACAGGAAGTTTGTTTTATTTAGGTTTTTGGAGACTTTCTATCTGATAAAGACTTCAGTAAATGTTCCACATGTCGTTTTTTTTTTTTTTTTTGGTAAACATGTCCCTTGTACTTCTTGTCCTGCATTTTCCTTACTGTCATCCAGATTCTTCTCTGATAGTCTTTTTTAAAACTTTGGTTGCTTTTTTATGATTTATGTGGAAGATAAAAAGTGACATCTCTGAATAATGGAACCTTGGAAAGTCCAGGTTTACAATTAAACCTGGAATTTAAATTATCATCCTTTGGGGAATCTTTTAATTATTCACTAAAGACAAAGATGTAATTTCTTCTCAAATGACGATGACGGAGGCCTGGTCATGGTTTGAATCTCTGTCCCAGCAAAGTTACGTTTAGGATTTGGTGTAGCTTACAAATAAGAAACCGACACATTGTTTAATTTTTCTTTATTAGGAGCAGAAATCCTGAGAAAACAAAGAATAATATGAGAAAACAACCCAAACTTTATGCATTACTTTTAAAGGTACCAAAGTAGATATACAAAAAGTGAAAACTGTGATTTATTCAATGATTTGGAGCAAACACACCTCTAAAATATGCAAAATAAAATTATATAATAAAATACAGTTAGTTTCAACAGGTGAGAACAATCAATATGATTGTTTCAAGTCCAACAAATCTACCATCCATGTCAGACTGCGAAGAGTCTCAATCAAAAATTAGAGTGATTATTTAAAGTGACGCCAGATTGAGTGAAAAATCTTCATTTTTCTGCTGGTTGTGTAACGGACGGCGGCCGGATCACGATTCCCTCCATATCCAGCTCCACTGAGTGAACGCTGAAATCTCCCAAACCCTGAAACACAGAAAGTTTAACTCAGGGGAAAATCAATAAATAACGCAGCAGAGGCGGAAGAAGAAAGAGATACAGAGGATGAATTAAAATCAGAATCTTGATCTGCACCAACCAGTTGGAGGTCAGTCCTGTTTGGAGGCAATTTATATTTCAACTCAAGCTCCAGTTTCCAACCAGGAGGTTCTCAAAGTCATGGATTAAAAGTTTGACTCTTACATCTGTTTAACAGGATTAAAAGTCTTAAAATACCCAACAGAACCAATTGTCCTCCAGCCACCAGCGTTTCCCCATCCTGGGAAAAAGCCTCAGCATCCAGGGCAGAAGGGCTACTGAAGCCCTGAGGCTCACTGAAACCGGGCTGTTTGGACTCTGCTACTGATGGTCTGGTTCTTCAGCTGCTGCTTGCAACTTATTACAAAAATGGCTTTAAATTGGTCTGACTGGGTTTGCTCAGTTAGAGGTCCTGAAGTGGCGCTAAAGACCTGGATGACTCTTAAATCTGGGCTAAAATATCACTGTTGTAAACCTGACTTGTGTGAAAGATTTAAATATGTTCAGCTGCTGCTTAGATTTACAGATTAAATCTAAATCCAGTGGATTCAAGATGGCTGTCCAACTCCAGATTGAACTTGGTTCTGTATGTAAAAGCTACTTCTTTGAGCTTTACGCCGAATGATCCCCTTCTGTAAAGTTAAAATGTCTCTTATTAGCAGCACCTCTTGATGAAGGCACAAGGTTTATTTTGTAAATGAGTTTTTTTAATATTGAGCAGTAAAAATTGTGCATTTGTTTTATTGTATGCAAAAACTAGCCAATATTTTTGGGTTGTAAATGTTAAGGCTGTAGCTTACACAGTTTTGTGTGTAGATTCACCTCCTGCGGTGAAACTGAAGGTTTATTTCCATCAGTAAAGCCTCTTCCTTCATTCATGGGCGATGCTAAAACATTTGACCTCTGATGTTTTGTTGGTGATTGTTTTTGTTAAATTGCAGAAGCATATTTAAACAATCAAAGCTAAAGGAGGTCTGAAGTGTGCGACCTTTGCTTGCAGGACCTGTATTTTGTGTATGTCTGCAGAAGTCTCACCGGCGTGTTCCTGAGGGTCTTCAGAACCGCCTCCTGCTGTCGGGGCTCCCTGGTCAGCAGGTACAGGAAGCCGCCGCCTCCGGCTCCTGCCAGGCTCTGACCCAGAACCAGCGGCCTCAGAGCCTCCATCATGGTTCTGACGGAGGCCGGCTCGCATCCTGGAGCCATTAGCTTCTTCTGCTGCCACGAGCGGTCCAAACACCGACCCAGCCGGGGCAGAGAACCTGGGAGGGAAGTATTACCAAACAGATTGATTCATTTAATGACTTGGTTTAGTTTATTATCTTTGGACCTAAAGAGGAACAATCCGGACTGAACCCTCAGAGCCACATTAAGACGGTCACAAAGTCGGCCTTCTATCACCTGGAGAACATCTCCAGGACTAAAGTCTCAGCGAGACCTAGAGAAACTCATCCATGTGTTTATCTCTAGTCGTATTGATTACTGCAACAGCGTCTTCACAGGTCTGCCTGAAAAAACAATCAGGTCCAGAACGCTGCTGCTGGAGTTCTGACAAAAACCAGGAAGTTAGAGAACAGACTTTAAAATACTGATGTTAGTTTATAAACCACTGAATTGCTCAGCACCACAATACATTAACAATCTGCTGTTGTCACAGCAACCTTCCAGAACCTCTCAGCTCTCCTGGCTCCGGTTCTGTTTGCATGGAGAACCAGAACCAAACATGGAGAAGCAGCATTCAGCTTCTATGCACCACAAATCTGGAACAAACTTCCTGAAAACTACAAAATAGCCGAAACACCGAATTCCTGTAAATACAGATTTAAAACCGTCCTGTTGAATCATAATCAATGAAACATTAATCAATGAAACATTAATCAATAATCAGATATTTACCAACGAAAAAATGTAATGGTTCAAATGTTGACTGTGACTTTATATTTTTATAAAATAAATCACTTTGAAATGACTTGTTGCTAAAATATGCCGTACAAATAAACTTGATTGATTGACTTATTGATTGATTGATTGATTGATTGATTGACATGAATGTGTACTTGGTTCACATATTTCATATTTTCACCTTCTGAACAGGATTTAGCGCATTCCTCAGAGTTGGACACCAGCTGCTGGGCGTTCTCAACCATCGCCGGAAGACGGCTGTACCAGCTGCGGACCACATCCTGTACAAAACAAACACACAGCGAGCGCCATTTTCAAGAAGACTGGACCCAAACGGGGGCCAAAATTGGGGTCCAATTTTGAATCAAAAAATTGCTTATTTTGTCACTATATGATTTTTGATTAGGAAGTAATTAATTAGTAATAATGCCCTGCCACTAAAGCTGCTGTATGTATGTTTTATAAGAAATATATTTTTCATATTTTTGTTGAAACTGTCACCATTTTGTGACAGATAATCTCTGACTTCTTCCAATGTGAACTAGAAACAATCAATCAGAGCCAGGAGGTGTGTCTTAGTGCTGTCAATCATGCTCATTTGCAGTACTTCCCACTTGCTCTCCCCATCAGCATAGCCTGTTGTGAATGTAAAGGCTAGTTAGTATGGCATGGTCAGTGGCTTCTCCACCATTAGCACGTTTAGCAGCGAGTACATGAGGATAACTGACAGCGCTAAGACACTCCTCTGAGCTCTGACTTGTTCCTTTTAGCTGGGAGCGGTGAATTTCTACTGACAGAAATAGCATCTCGGGAAAGAGAGCAATCTTTTCAGTTCTTTATCTGTCTTATATTACACTGTAATGGCAGCCACAGCTTTAACAAATATGTAAAAAACATATTTTTATGTTACATATTGCAGCAATAACTCAATAACATTTTTCAGTTGAGTCACAAAACTATTTAGGACAAGTTAAACATTTTCCCGGACAGAGCGGCTCTCGTCCAGGCTAAAGTTGTTTTCTCAAAGTTAAAAGTGAGAGGAGTGAAGCATCTTCTCTCAGTGGGATCTTCTCCTCTGACCTGCAGCAGGTTTCGAGCCAGACGCGTCTTTCCGGTGTAAACCAGCAGGAGGTGCTGCTCCAGAGACATCAGGAACTCCTGCGGAGGACTCAGACGCTCCACCTCCACCTGCAGGGGCAGAGACGCTCTGGAACGACCCACCTTGACTCCGCCCACCAGACCGCCCACCTGGTCCTGCCAGCCGCCACCTGGTGGAGCAGCAGGAAGTGATTAGGGAGATGAAGCGGAAGGAGATCAGAGCGGAGGGAGACGGGGACCTGTGGTGAGAATCTGCTCCAGGTACAGGACCGCGTGGATCAGGGAGTCTGTGTCGTACGTCCGGCCTGTACACCTGTAGACCGCTGCCAACAGCGCCCCCGCCAGGATGCTGCTGGTACCTGTAGGAAATTGACACTATTTCATCACCTGCAGGTTTACCACAGCATTAAAAGGGACCTATTATGATAAATTTGCATTTTTGTGCTTCCATTCGGGTCTCAACTGCTTCTAAAAACAGAGCAAGCACATGAAAACTAAAAACAACTAAATGAACAGCCATTTTTTGGCAATAATTAAAGTATGTTGGCATCTGGACAATGAGCAGTTTCATTCCTGTTTTTTCATGTTTTTTTCTAAAAACAGAGTGTCTTCAGTCAGAGGCTTCTTCAAATTCACTGTAATACAGACTGCTACTGTAGATCTTTCCTTCCCACAGCCATCATCATCTACAATAACTAACCTTTGAATTAATATGAATTACAGAAACATTTAATTTCTCTTTGGGATCAATAAAGCATCAATTTCAATTTGAATTGAACACAAATTCAAAAACTTCCTGCTATGAAGTCACATTGGAGGCTGTTACCTAGCAACCTCAGCTCAGCTTGTTACCTAGCACCCAACCTGAGCTCAGCATATTTGGTCAGCTGGTTTTACCACTGTATGCATTGTACAATGGCTGCTGGAAAAGGTGAGTGTTTTGATGATGACTTACGATCCTGAAATTACTTGCTGCATTCTTGTTGTACTTTAGGCTCCACTTATGCTTTTCAAAGATGTACGCTTGTGTAACTGCGCACCTGTTTGCCACCATTTTCACATGTAAACATTGAAAGTAGCTCAAAATAGGCAGAACTGACCAGACTAAAATCTCAGTATCTAAGAGCAATTTTATGAGAAACTATAATGAAAATGTTTCGAATCGACCACAGACCTATCCTAACCTGTTCGAGGCTTTATTCAGCAGCTGCTCCGCCCGTCGTGTTTTAGCATTGCTCACCCAGACCGGATCCGGTCGGCAGCTCCGACCAGCTGTGCAGCTCCAACCCTCCACCCCAGCTCTGCATCAGCTGTTGCCCCAGAGGATGCTGGGAGGACAGAGACACCAGACCACTGCACACACAGACTGCCTTCAGCAGAGCTCCTGCAGCACAAAGACATCAGCAGTGAGTATTTAGTGGCATTAAGATGTCTTAAATTTGTTAGAAAAAATGTAAGTTGGCCTTAAATATGTTAATCAAAGGTTTTACATTTTATAGTAGCAACACCAGTTTCTCTCCTATATTTTATGTACCAGAGGTTTGTTTTTCTTGTGGGATTTTCTGTCAGGCAAATGCTGACTGGCACTCACAAAGTGGTTGAGGCTAACGCTAACTCGCTGCTAACATATTCTTACTAGCTTGCAGAGTTCGGTAGTAACTAGTTACATTTACTTGAGTAATTGTTTTTAAGAAAAAAAAATGTAGCTTTAAGAATATTTTTTTACCACACTAAAGTTTTTGCTTTTACTTGAGTATTTTTATTATGCAGTATCGCTGCTCTTGAGTAAAATGTCTGGATTTTAAACCCACTGAATGACAAACAAACATGCTTTAACCAGAAATTCAACATACAGAGACACCTGCAGGTTTTGTTAAAGTTTCATAATTTTTATTGTTGAAAGAAACTGATTTGGAGCATTTTTTTTTTTTGCTTTTTTCTGATCTTGTTATTCTGTTGTAGTTACGTTATTTATACTTAAAATGCCAAAATTTCAACACATAACTTCATTATTTTGGTCCATCTCATGATGTAATTTTTAAATATAATTGATTGATGTTTTGATCAGTTGCTCAGTATTTGAGTAGAGGTTTTACAAAATACTTTTTCCTCTTACATGAGTAATTCCTTTTTACTTTTACTTGAATAAAAATATGTCAAAGTTTTGTTAAACTGTAGAAAACTAGCTATCATTTTTATTTTATTTATTACCAGTTAGCACAATGCTACTTTCATTCAATGCAACAATGTTCAGCACTGCTACTATATAATGTACGTCATTTTGTTTTGTACATTTCTGATCTTAAGTGTCATTCTTCAGGAACCCTGATGGTGTTGTACCCGGAGCGTGAGGCTGGCTGTAGTCCCTCAGGTCATCCAGGCTCTCACAGACTGTCTCTGTGGACGCGCCGCTGCCCCGCCCACCGCTGCAGCTGACCAATAGGATGTGGGGTTTCACAATGCGACGGGCTCTGGCTCCGATTGGACGTTTCCCGTCGATCTTCACAGCGACGTTCGTCACCGATCCTCCGTGCTCGAAGGCGATTGGTGGCGTGTCGCTCCAGCCCCCTGAAACACAAACACTGTAGCTCAAAAGCTGAAAACCTTAACCTGTTTAAGGAAACATAATAGTGTAACTTTTCAAGAGAAAAGTTACACCTGTTCCTCACCTGCCAGGTCCAGTCTGGCTGGACACTCTACTTCCTGCCACTCCCCGATAGGCGGGGCCTCCCCCTGTCCAATGGAGATGAACCTCTGGGATGACATCACAGCCTGCCGGAGCAGCACCTGGCCGGCGCCCTCATAGTGTCGAGCCGCCCGTACAAGCAGGTCTGGCCTGCAGGGGGCAGTAAAGCAGGTCAAAACGCATTCAACAAGCAGTGGAAAAAGACAGCGAGATGCTAACCTGCTCAGCCAGAGCTGTCGCTGTGCAGCAAGAGCATAAACTCCTTCCCTCAAGTTCCCCTCCTCCAACAGGAAGTAGGCGGAGCGCCAGGCCTTGTTAGCAGCTGGACCGCTCCTCAGGCCCCCCTCACTGCCCGCCATGCACACCAGAACGTCAGCGATGCATGAGAGACAGCGGGCAGCCACGCCCACCTGAGCTCCTGGCTCCGCCCCCGACTCCACACTTCCAGCAGCAACTAAAAAACAACATTTTATTCACTTCTTGACCATCTTCTGGCGTAAAAATGGTTTGATGAGTGTTAGCGCAATAACATTTCAGCTAGTGTGAATTAATGAAGGTGCTATCAGCTGATCTGTTTTCTGTTTAGAGCGGATGATGTGAGAAGAGATATTAGTCATATGACAAATAAGTGGACTGGATGTTAATTATCACTTATGACAGCATTGCTTAATATATTTTTATAGTTTTAATGTCTGTTTTTACTGTTAATATTGTTGTGATTTAATATCAAAACTAGCTTAGTATTTAACGGTTAAAAATACTAAGTTGATATTTTTATGAATGCAGGTACTATTCTGCATTATTCAAATTTAAACAGCATTTTGATAGAGGGAATCAATGCTGGTGCTTAGGTCTATTTACTCACTTGTATTAATTTTTATATTTACTTAAGTCAGAAATTTTTTTATCCTTTATGTTTGTACTTTCAGAAGCTACAGTTCTTCAGTAAAGCCCATTTAAACATCTGATGACCAGTGGGGTTTCATGTAGTCGTCAATTATGATCATGAAAACCAGTTTGTAACTCACTGCTGTCCAGAGTCTCCAGTAGCGCCCCCTGCTGGCCTCCCTGCACTGCCGCCCTGAAGCAAGGCAGCAGACAGACGTCGGTGCGACTCCGCAGGGCGTTGGCGGTTCTCCTCCTCCCTGCCAGGAATAGCAACTCCTCCCTCCACCGGAGCTCCGCCTCCTGGTGGGTGAGTGACAGCACCTCCCTCAGAGAGACTCTCCACGCCTCCCTCCATGTCTGCAGGCAGCCTGGACCCCCCAGCAGCCAGCCCACTCCTCCCTCAAGGCCCACAGTGCCCCCTCTGGGGTGGAGGACCGGGAAAAGTCGAGCCTCCAGGAGGGAGCACTGTTCTCCTTTCACCCACAGCTCCTCCGGCCTGAGGAGGAGAAAACGAATAAAACAACACACAAGGATAATCTGTTGTTTATCAAGAAAATGACATAAAAGATGATCAGAGTGGAAAGGTTTGGATCTTACTGTATTCCTGAGGAGCTGAAGAAAACAGTCCAGGTCTGGTTGAGGAAGGAGGCGCCGCTGTCATTAAAGGGAACCTGAGGGGAAGGAGGAGATGAAGATGGATGAGGAGGAAGACTGTGGTCATGTGAAACACATGATCTGTTTATCTGTCTGTTTAGAACCTTCATTATAACAGTTGGGTGTTTAAATATTATTTTATCAATTAAATCAAAGCAGTTTTTATCTGAATATTGCCAAATTACTTCAACAGATTCCTGCACTTTTTCCACACAGATACACAATTATGACTTTATAGCAATTTTATTTTTGCAAAAATGGCAATTTTTGCAAAAATGGCAAAAAATGTTGGGCTAAAGTGATGCTAACTCTCACCTGCTGGTGGCAGTATTTCTTATTTTTACTAATCTGCTGCCTTTATCTTCTATTGATGGCAAGTAATAGTCCACGGTCAAAATGGAAAGTAACAAAAACCTACATTTACCATCATAAATAAGTCCAAATATCATGTAAATATTTCCAAATAAGCTCCACAAAATCAGTGAGTCTATTAGCTAAAAAAACAAAAAAAGTAATGAAATGTGGAGGGACTTAGTGTGAAATAATGTTCAATATTATTTAATTTAATGAAGTGCTTATCAAATTCAGAGACTGATATTTATTCAGCAGTTTGTTAATGTATTTAATATGTTCTGGCCCAACCGGCCCTTTAAAAACATTTGTTATGAATATAGACATGAATATAGACTTGAAACCTCCTGGGCTTCTGAAAGAAAGAGTTTACTTTGCTTCGTGTTAAGTTTATAAAAATCTGAGCCACGGTCTGCTTCCCTGAGCATCACAATGTCTCCATGACAGCCAGGAGATTCAACTGAGGGCGTCTGATGAAACAGACCTGCTGCGTTTTTACCTGCAGGTCGTCGTGAGAGCCGGTCACCGTGTAGACGTTTAGCTTCAGCTCCCCCAGCTGAATCCAGTGTCCCTGGATGATGATGTCACTGCTGAGCGCAAGCCGCCTGAGGCAAGCTGACGCCGAGACGTCTACGCCTGAGAGCAAACAACCGGACGGGACGTCCAGAGGACCCTGAGGGACACCAGAGGACAGAATATGAACCACCATGCAAACCTGCTGTACTCACATTAATTAGTTTCACATTCAGATTCACTGACTTACTTTTCAATTTACTGCTTTTTCATATAAAAATAATTTCAGCATCACTTAGGAGGTAAATGCCAATTTGCTTGACCTATCCAAACCTGTTCAAGGTGACCTTTAATATCTAGAATCTTGTCTCTCATTGTTGTTTTTATCTTGAAAATTTGAACACTGCAATATCAGCATATCATTCAAAGATGTAAAATATTTACAGATATCTTCAGACGAGAGTAAAGTTTGATTAAAGTTGTCAGAAATTGTAAGATCAAAGAACTGTGCTTGTTATTTATAGATCCATAAAAAAATGACTGATTTTGAATCCATATTTCTCACTTTTTTGGGATAACTATAAAAAAATTTTGTCCAGTTTTTGCACCTCAAATTGCATTTCCACCCAGCGTTTCCTTGAAAAGACTGAGTTAAGACTCTTTCTGACCTGCAGGTGGCAGTGTTGCACCACCGCCCGGGTCGCCACGGCAACGTCTCCGTCCAGAACCGTGTTGATGATCCGAGCTCCTTTACTGAGCAGGCTCTCATTCTGGAGGGATTAAAGCAGGTTAAAACTACGAGCCGCCATCATAGTCAATATGAATTACTAGGGATTTTTCTAAAATTCAACAAATCATGTCTTCTTCTGGGGCGTTTAAAGTGTGGTGGTGTCCCACAGGGATCAGCTGTTGGCCCTTTTTGTATGATCTCGACCTGCTTTCAATTCGGTTTTGATTGAAAGCAAAACCGACGTTTCTGACGTTGAAGAAGAAGAAGCCACCTGAATGTGGGACAGAGTGTTTCCACCTGTCCAATCAGAGGTCAGACGGTCGACGTGCTGCTTCCCGGACAGAGTCAGGTAGTCATAGCGACCGCCGGGGACGTACACTGTGACAACGACAAACAGGATTTGTTTAAACTCAGACCAACTACCTGCAGATTTAAGCAACGTCAGATGCTGACCCAGTGAGAGTGGGGCTCCTCTCAGGATCCTCCACAGCTCCGCCCTGCCCGCCCTCACAGTCGCCCCCTGGGGACCGTCTGTGGGACTGCAGCCTGCTCTCCCCTCATTCACAAACTGATCCTGGGTCAAATCTGAGCAGAGACACTTCAACACGTCCAAGAAGAGGGAGATCTGTGGACAGAGACGGAAAGCTGTGTTCAAACAACTAAACCTGTTAACATTCAAACTTTAATTTAATCAGCTGAACATCACTAATCAATACATTATTAGTCACTAACTTAAAGTTGCAGCACATTTGTTGCAACTGTCACATTGTTGCCAAGCAAGGTGGTGGCATCAACTACTCACTCACTCTTTGGTTACCTAGCAACAATTTGATGTGTAAACTACGCAGCAGCAGTTTAAGGTTTTGCCACTGTGCCTCATAACTGCTTAAAAATTAAAGGCATGGAGTGAAAACTGTGCATAAAACAGGAAAGGTCACGGTGCCAGTGTTTCAGATATTTAAAACAAAACAAACCAATCAGTAAGTATCAATATCGACTGATATGAAACACTTAAATCATGATAGGTTTTTCAGTTAATGACGTGAAGCTACCTGCAGGGGCGGAGCTCCAGAGTCCAGGCCCAGGTAGGTGCAGCCGTCCAGGGGAGGACTGACGTGAGCCTGCAGCAGTTTCTCTGAGACAGACCTGCAGAAGAAGACTGGGCCTGACACCTGCAGGGATTTCACAGGATTTGTTTAAGCTGCTGCCGCCTACGGTGGTGCGTCTATCAAACATTCGATGACGCACCAGCGGGACTTTCCCATCAGGCATCAGGGCTCGTTGGATCTCCTCCCTGGTTCCTCTGTAGAGGATGTCGCGGACCCGACCCTGGAGACAACGACCCCTGACATCATCAGCTGACCCCAGCAGCCAGAGAAATCACACAGAAGGTTTCCACATGGTGGGCACCTGCGAGTCGCTCAGGTAGACTCCATGATCAGCTGCGTACGAGACGTCGCCCGGTACCGCCACCACGCGAACTCCAGAGAACCCGTCCCAGGATAAAACTGGTCACAAAACTGACAATTAAGACTGATGCAACTGAAAAATTAATAAACTGTGACTTTTTTCTGATCCAGCAAAGGTCTGTTACAATTACCAATAAATCAATTAATCACATGATAAATTGACACAAACGCAATCATTTTAATTTGCATGATTAATTATTTTGGGTTTTTTTTACCAAAAACTGGATGATAAAAATGTTCATTCTGGTGCTTCAGTCTCAATTAGCTCTTTATTTGAAGGACAGTTTTGTTTACTGAGACTTGATATATTATTTGTTGTTTCTGTTGTTTTGTTCATCTATTTTGGATATTTAAAATGTCTTCCAGTTCCAGTGATAAATGTTGGTTGGAATTTAAAGCTTGAGAAGGTGTTATTATTATTATTATTATTATTGTTATTCCATTACTGTTATATTACTTGAAAATGGTCTCAAAACAATATGTTGCAATAATTTCTTGGACAATTTATTGTTTAGAAAAATTCCTTATTGTGACAGGCCTTATCTGGATCAGAACCAGATTCTGCAGCATCAGTGAAGACAAAATCACCAAAGTCTTTCGGGACAGAGAGGATCATGTCGGTGCTGCAGACCCAGACTCCAGGAGGAGAACCCGGACAGATCTGAAAGCAAAACAGAATGAATGACGGTACCAAACTCGGCCTGATTCTGATTCTTCAGTTTCACTGAGCAGACCTGGGTGCTGAGCCGGTCCAGCAGGAGATCCAGAACACAAACCGGCGCCTGGACTTTCTGCCCAGGTTTCTCATCGGGAAGCCAACAGAAGGCTCGGCTGCAGGAGCTCCAGGGAAAATCCCGGCCCTGGGAGAGAAAAAAACTTAAATCTACAGCAAGGAAACACCAGAACAGAACCAAACTTAGTTCTGGACTCACAGTGTGCAGGATGAGGATGTGAGCATCATCCAGGACGTCGGCGGTCACCACCTGGAAACAAAGAATAAAAGAGGCAGATTAGCTCCAATAACATGAAACAGTTTAACATTTTACCTCCCGTCTCGCCTGCACATGTGAAAAATATCCACACTTAAGTTTTCTAAAATCTAATATACTAAATATACTTCAGATATTATAGTAAAAGCGCTATTTTGAAACAACTTTTTTTTGTACTTTAGCTGAGTTTACATACAATTAAAATTAAATTCAAAATGTATTTTATTTACTTTTATGTGCTAAAATGGAATAACTTTATGGACACTGATAATACTTGAAATTTATTAGAACTTTTGTGCTTATTCCATTTTAAGTGTAATGTTTTTACTTATGATTTTATACATGGCCAAATACAGAGTACACTCATACATACATTTTCTCAAAAGAAACGTGGAAATTTCAGAGTTAGAAGAAAACTTCTGAGGTTAATCTCAAAATTCCTGAGTTTTTTGTATTGTTTTTTGGGGGGCGGAAATTAATCCCTCCTTTTTTCGTTACCCCGTCTCGACTTTCTTCCATCGGTATAATTTCTACTTGGCCAATCAGTGAGCAGGAGAAATCGTGACGATGACGTCGATTTCCTACGTCTCTGTAGTTTTAGCAATAGCAGCGGAGAAGTGAGAAAAACCGTTCAGTCTGTGGTAGCCAAACTTCCAAATGTTGAATTAACATTAACTACTATCTTGTCCTAGATTAGCAGTTCTCTTTTTACAGTGGGGGGAGGCTACTTATTCACAAAGTCGGCCATTTCCGGTAAGCTAGCGCCGAACTGGCGCTTTACATACGTCACTGGCAACCGTTAGCTCACAAGAAAAGGCTTATTTTTGCTAAACTAGCTGTGACTCACCGTGTGTCCAGCTCTGCTGCTCAGGTGTTCAGCAGCGACCAGCAGGGCGTTCAGCGTCGCCCCTCCGCTGCCCAGCGGCTCCTGACGGTCCCTCACGGTCAAAAGCAACGCATCCCCAGCCAAGGTGCCGCGTTTCTGCCGCAACTCCAGTTCTTCACACACAAGAGCGCAAAATATCGGGAACTGAATACTGCAACTGCTCTGGGTACTGTGAACTTGTTAGTGGATCTGCTTTATCGTTAATCTGAAACGCCTGAAAAGGTTAATCAGTTTAACGTGATTATTTAAATAATCGTCAACTTTTTTAAATAACCGATTAATCGTTAACTGGAATACAAACTCAAAATTGGCAATTTCCAGTAAGAAAACATATTCAGAGCAATAATTAAGTCAAAACTGTACAAAAAAATATATATTTTGCATTTAAGATCAAGAAAGTCTTCAATATGTTCTACCCAGAACTCCAGTGGCATAGTTTTAGCTTCACCTGGTTTAAATTCTGTAAATATAAAAAAAATCTCCCATTGAGCAAATATTAATTAATCCAAAAATTGGGATTATTTTTAACTGTATAAATAAAAACTCGCTGAAATAAATTATAAAGTTGTAAAAAAAAAAAAGGTTTATTGTATTTGGCTTACTATTTTAAATCAATAATCTCATAACTAACTAAAAAAATACCTCAATCTAGAGTGACGCTCTAGTTTCACCCTTCTGACCCAGGGATCACTAATTTAATATCGTCTTTGTAAAATTATTATATCGTTACGATTAACAAAAAAATATATATTTTATATATATAGTCTGATTTAAAATGTCTTCATTGAAAGCGAAGTGAAACCCAAGCTGATTCTTCATTGTAATTTATTCCGTACATCAGCGACACCCTCAGGCCGACTGATGCAACTGCATAGTATGAAGATTCTTCTAAGATCGTAAATTGAACAGATGTTTCTCACCTCTCTGGAAAGCGTACACGCTGTCTTTGTGTTGGCAGGTGAGGACGACCACCGTCCACGGAAAGTCGCCGTTCTGCGACATCTTCCCCCGGTTGAAGTGGACGCAACAGAAGCTGTTTGACTGGTTTAACTACTAATACTTAAGCAAACTGCGCACGAAGAGGCATCAACGACGAGTTAACCAAACCAGCAGAAGCGCGGCGGGTTAGAGGATCTTCAGGCGGAATAAAGTAAAACCAACACCTATCAACATTAAAATTTATCATTTTTAGATGTTGTTGAAATGTAGCGAGTCTTAAAAAGGGCAAAAATCTAATCCATGGCGTCTGTTTAACCCTTGCCCATTTTTGTTTATCGGAATAGCATGACTGCGCGGGCTTCCGTAGGCGTTTCTTTTCCACTACCCGTCTGTCCGTTGGGGCGGTGTATCAAAAAAAGCGCCTTCAGTTCTGCTTAATGGGGACAATTTAATCAAATTAATGAAATATAATTTCCTTTAAGTTTTGATTGTCAGGCCAATCTAGTTATTTAATTAAACTCTGCACACAAAACTAGTGGATATTAAGTATCTTTAATAGCATTATAAACCTAAAATTTCAGGTTATTCTTCTGGAATGAAATCCAAGAACTGGACAGACAAATATGTGTCAATTGGGATTAGGTCCACAGATTATCCAGCATGTCTGAGAAAATCCCACATTAGTAAAAACTTGAGACTCCTGATCATTCAGTTAATCTTTAATAGAAAACAGCTGAACAGAAATAAAGCCACAAATCATAATCCTGACTCTGGATAATGTACAAACAAACAGTAAAAAAACATGTTTAATAAGCTGTACAACAGAATTCAGTAGTATTTATATACAGATATACATTAAAATTCTCTCCTGGGGAGAGTCGTCAGGCGTGCTCAGTCATCTTCCTCATCCTCGGCAGGCAGAGGTCTGGATCTGAACGAAACAAAACGCATGAGATTAAACTGAGAACCAGACCAAAAACCCCCTTCAGGAGAGTTTCACTCTGTGAGGAAGAGAGTTTTCAAATCTGCTGGAAAAATGGAGATCAAGGCTGCATATATAAAAAAAATACCCCCCCTCCCACCCCATCCTGTTAGAAAACCGTGTGGAAAAAGAAGATTTGCTCATTTATGTTTTTGCTCAGAAAGGAAATGAGGGACAAAAAACATCCAGAAGTTAAGGCTTTCCAGTCTAATTCACAGATTGCATCTTTGCTTTAAAAATCCAAAATCCTGTGCTACATCACTGTAAAATGGGAAAAAAAAAAAACAAAATAAACATAGGTCCAATTTTACATATCTGAATGGTAGATGTGTCATAAAATTTCTTAACATCTGCCTATACTGATCACAGCAGAGGTTACATCTAAATTAAAAAATAAAAATAAACAACTGGCATCCAAACAAAAACACAATCCTCACCAAATCAAACCTCATTAACATTTTCTTAAAATTTAAGCAGTTTAAGTTTTCCACCACACAGTTGAGATAAAAATACAAAATGAACTAAAAATCAATTCATCATAATATTTATTACTGTTATTAATAACATCTTGTGATGGTATCTGACATTCTGCAGCACCTAAAATGGAATAAAATTGTATGTTTCGCATATAGTTTTGGTCATTCCACCTGGCCTAAAGCAGGATAAGTTTACGCCAATTTAACTTCAGACAGAAACATTTTTATTGGATGCATAAATATGTTTACACAACTGTACACAATGTCTAATTTGAGTCTTTATGGATGCACTCATCGTAGTTTTATGGACTATTTTTAAAAAGCACCTTCCAAACACCAAATTGAAATGCAATCATTTTAAAGGATTTCAATCACCTGTATGAACCCTGAAACACACAAAGCATTTTACCTGAAGTAAACATGTCACATGAACAAATGAATTCTCAAACTTCACAAAAAGCTCTGCAGTTTAATGCCAAAGTGTCTGTAGTCGATATCAAACACGCCTCTAACTGCACTTATATCACATTTAATGTTTTTAAACGATCCGGATAAAATCAGTCAGCTCAGCATTGTCTTTATCTGCCAACTCTCAGTAATCTGACCGGATGTCAATCTGCGGTTTCATCAAACATACTTCCTGCTGGCCTTCGACATGCCGCTGCCGCCGGCCTCCTCTTCATCAAAGTCTCTGGGTTTCTGGTTCTCCTTCTCTGGCTTTCTGGGCGGCCCGCCGAAGAAATCCCCGATGCCTTTCTGCCAGGTGGGGGTCGGCCGGGGACACACGGGGTTCCCGCCGGCGTATTTGTTCTTTGCTGTGGAACAAACTTCAGTGTCAGTTACGACATGTACAGTCGGCGTTCAGCTGTGACTGAGGGTGAACTCGGACTGACCCAGAGCTGTCGAGTGGCCGCCGGACAACAATGACGCGTTGGCCGAACTGGAGCCCAGTGACTTACGAGGCGCAGACGCCGCAACAGCTGGAAAATAAGATGCAACAGACTGATGAGAGAGAGAGAGAGAAACACACTTAGAAGAACCAACTCATGTATTTCTCTTATGATGCAAAAAGTGCAAATGAGAAGTTTTAATCTAGAAAATGGAAACATTTTGAAGCAATTTTTATATTTTTAGGATTTCATCATCACATGTTGGTGCATTTTATAACTTTCAAGAATATTTACTAGATTCTTGTTACAGAACCTGCTTTACTGAAATCCAAAAACTGGTGATTATCAACAAATTAACAAAGAACTAAGAGTTACATTTCACTTAAATATAAGGGAACATAATTGATTTTCCATCATTTAATTTCTTGATTCCATAGTTCCAGAAAAAGCAATTTCCATACTTTTGTGAATGAAACAAAAATGTAATCATAACTAACTTCAAAGCATTTATGCGCAACAGCTGTGTAGATATTGGCATTTATAAAACGTATTGATCAAATTATACATCTTAAATATACTAAAGAAGTGAAAATATGATTCATTTATACGCCGAATTTCCAAAACATTGAATAAAATAGAAATATGGAGTTTATAATATTTCATAATTAATCTATCTCTTGTTATTAGCGCGAACAGATGTAATTATGAAACTTCTGCATGGAGTTTGGTGGAACATTCTTTCAGAGGCGCTAAAAACTGGCGCCAGTTTGGCAGAAAGCTGAAAACGAAACAAGACGAACATTTTTGTCAGCTGACAAGGTGTCAGATAAATCCGAATCTGTTGTTATAAACATTCTTTTACCGCTACAGCGACATTTAAAGTGTTTTAATATGTTCTTTTATGCCGTATGAGCCGAAAAGTGCGGAACCAGTCCCCTGTTGGCGGGAGGCTGTTTAAAGATGCACCAAAAGGCGATTATTTAACTCATTGACAGTTACACTAATCACATATGAGAGGAAATAAGATACATCTAATGCAAACTTTATCTAAAAAACTTTAGGACGTTCTCTTTGTGTCGCTTTATGAAGCATGTCTGACTGATTCCAGGTCGCCAGATTCAATACAAAAATCAAGACTTTTAAATAATACAAAGTTTAAAAAAAAAAAGCCTTAGTAAAATTTAAATAAATTTTGTTACTTTTACCTTTTCTGTATGACGCAGGAACACAGTCGGCTTTAGTCCTCACCATGTTGGCGGCGACCTTGTACAGTAAATCTAAGTTTCCGATGAAATTACACCGAATAAAGAAAAACGTCCCGCCTCCGTTTAAAACCATCTGCGGATGGGGCGGGAGATTTTTTCTTCTCTCCGTTAATGGGACTAATTCAGATTCAAAATGACGAGAGTCTGTGCCCTAGCGGTGCAGATGTGCTACAGCAGCTCTTAGAGTTTAAGGCTAAGCGGTAGAAATAGCTCTTTAAGCGTCTTTTTCTGACTCCAGACATCCTTATATGGTCCTTCAATGTATCTGCACACCATATTTGTGCTGCTTTCTTTTGCAAACTATTTGCACTCAGAAATGCAAATAGTTTGGTAAACAGGTGAACTACCACAACGACAAACATTTATTCCATATAAAACTTACAAATCTGATGTGACTAAAAGTTCTGTTTAGAAATGACGACCATCCTAAAAGCATGTAAATGATTACGGAAAGATGAAATGGAAGAAGGACGTATATTTAATTTTTAAAATGTCATCTTCAGATGGACTGGAGGATTTGCGCGTTCGGAGTCGTTTCCCCTTCCAAGATGGCGGCTTCGCTGACGTGTTACCGCAGCTGAGACAGGCGCCTGTTGGGTGTTTTATACCTCCTGGTGTTCCGTAGTGGCGGTTAGCGGCTGCAGGAGGATCGAAATCTAAACATATTCACCACTTTTTGCTGATCCTCTTTACTTGCAGGGTTTGTATAACTTTCTTAACCAAATCCTTCAAAATTCCGGAAAACTTTTATGTTGTTCACGACACTTTTCTGGCTTCTCGGGAACTTTAAACCTCTAGTAGCTCACAGACGTTAGCTAGTTAACGTTGACTAGTTGTAGCTGGTTTTGTCAGGTTAGTCAATGTTAACCAACAAACGTTGAGTGTAACGATTAAAACCTGATGTTTGCTGCGGGGAGATTTGCTATATTTGTTTGCATTTAATGGTTTTGTCAGCAAATTTAGTTTAATTGTGAAATAAACAACAACAATTAAACACCTGAGTTTTTCCTATCCTCACAAGAATCTGAAAACTATAATAAAACCTGATTAAGAGAAGTGACTTAGAGTGCCTTACAAAACAAAAACATACTTTAAAGAAAGCATAAATAAAAAGACTTATGAATTGTTTTAATTTAAAGTTTCGATGGATTTATTTTCCAGCTTTTCAAACGTTTTTTTGGAGTTTTAGACCTGAAAAAACGGAAAAGTTCTCCAGAACTGTTTGTAATTATTTCAGTGATGAATGTGCACCTCTGTTGTCAAAGAGATGCTCGGTTCATCTTTGCTCTTCAGAGACTGCTGCTTTATGTCCAAGTAAAGATTATAGTTCCAACTTCTGAACGACATGATTTCTAAAATCATTGCCACTATGTTTAAATTTCCCCATCCGAACTTTTATGTAATAGGTTGCCACCTCAAATGCAGGATTAGTTTTTAATGTGGAAAGTTTTGATTGGTAACCACGTTGAGGTGTTTGTTTTAACCTGCAGCTGCTGCCATGGAGGAGGCGACGCGCCTGGTGTCAACCGGAGACTGTGTGAAGATCTGGGATGCGGTGTCCATGGCGACTCTGGAGCAGTTTAACCCCCACAGCGTCAGCCATCCCGTTGCTCAGGCCTACTGGAGCTCCAACAGTATCCTGATGAATGGTTGCAGCTGAGATCTGGATGGTAGAAAATGGATAATCAAACGTTTCATGGGGGGGGGGGGGAAGTGTTTCTATCTCCTCCTAAGTGACAAAGTCAGATTTGATAGACAGCATTTTTATTAAGAACTGAAAGTTACTTGATTGTGAAATGGGATTATATGACTGGAAAGCATATAAATCTTATACACTCTGGACAGGCTGCTACTCTCACAAATTAGAGAAACTAACGGTTGTGTTTTCGAAATGTGGGAGGAAGCCAGAACCAGTGTTGCTCCTCATATTAATGTTTTTTTTTACTTCAGTGTTTTATTTTTATTCTTAGCCGACCAAGTTAAAAACGTCTCCATCCTTGACCCAGTTCCCTCAGACCAGTACCTGGTGAGTGCCAGCAGCAGCGGAGACAAGCTGGTGGTTTCCAGTATCAAGTCTGTTCCTGTTCCAGTGGTTGAACTGGCTGATGGGGTGAGTCCTCTCTCCGGTTGTTTCATATTTGAACTAAATGTATTAAAAATGTACTGGGCCTGCCGGTAGGGGGCGCCAGAGCTGACAGCTAGAGGCCAATGCGTTTTGGGGTAAAAAAAATGTTTAAAGCTCAGAGAAATTGTTTCATCCTTATTAAAGTGTTTTTGATCTAGCCTGGTGGGGGCGCCAGTCAAGCCTGGTGGCCCGCCAGACTGTGGGAAACGCTGTCAACGGTTTAAAATGTTTAGTGTGATTAATATACGTTTGCTATTCACATTTTTTCCACATTCTTGTTTCTGGTGCAGAAAAAACAGACCCGGGTGTGTCTGAGTTCCTCATCTCAGTTTCTGGTCAGTGGCGGTCTGGACCACTGCGTCCACATGTGGGACCTGAAGACCAAGAGGCTGCACCGCTCCCTCAAAGTAAGAAGACCTGACCCCACAGAAACTCACCCGAACCCCCAGCTGGGAGTCTGAGCTGCTGATGCTTCCTGTGTCTGTCTCTCAGGACCACAAAGAAGAGGTCACCTGCGTGTCCTTCAACTCTAACGACAGCTGCATCGTCTCCGGCTCCACCAGCGGCGACCTGGTTCTGCACAGCCTGACCACCAACCTGTCCAGCAGAGCTTTCGGCCACGGCAGCAACCAGGTGAGAGAGATATTAGGAGTTTGAATTCAATCACAAGTAAATATTAATTGTGATTAAACAATCATTGAAATAATAATCAACCAATTTAGTTATTGATTAATCATTAACTGCTGGAGTTTGCAAACTCAGAAAAATACTATTTGCTGAAAGAATTAAACTGTCAGAGCAGCAAATAAGCCAAAACTATATAAATTATATAAACATTTAGCATTTAAGGCAAAGACAAATATTTGTAAACCGGAAGTATCAGGTAACTGATAAATCTGCAGAATGTGCAAATTTTATTATCAGACTAATCGATTAATCGTTGGAATAATTGATTGCTAAAATAATTGTTAGTTGCAGCCTAATCACAAGTAAAATTAGATTCACACACCATTCACAGCCAACATGAATAATGCTCTCGATAAACATTCACATTTATAATGGGCTTCTTCAGGACACCAGTCACATAAACAAATGTGATTTATGTAATAAACTCCACATAGCGATTAATCACATTTTTAAATTTATTGATCTCTTTGAACAAACAGCAGAGAAAATAATTCCAAGAATATCTGGACAGTTTTGGGGATTTTAAACGTCATTATTTGGAATATATTGTGAAAACAATGAATAAAAAATCTTATCATGATACGTAATTTATAACAATAAATAGTAAATGATATGATAAATGCTCAGCCCTCTCAATTCTTCCTCTCCAGCCGATCCACGACCTGCGGTTGTCCGCTGTGAAGCGCTCGCTGCTGGGAAGCATCTCTGACGGCGGCAGCATGGTGCTGTGGGACGCCAACACTCAGAGGGAGCTGCAAGTGTTCGACGGCGCCCACAAGGCGCCCGGCTCGGGTTTGGCTTTCTCCCCGACCAGCGACCTGCTCGTCGTCAGCGTCGGCCTCGATAAGAAGATCATCTGCTACGACACGGCCAGCAAGCTGTGAGTTCTGCTCGCTTTCAGACATCGGTCCAGTTCTGATGTTTCACGCCGACTCGATGAAATCTGGAACATGTCCGTGTTGGATTGATCGCCCTGCAGAATCCTGCGGGCGATCCGTGTGGACGGCCCTCTGACCTCGGTGGACTTCACGCTGGACGGCACCGGCCTGGTGGTCGGGTCCACTCAGGGGAAGATCTACCAGTACGACCTGAGGAACTCCAGCAGCCCCTCCGGAATCACAGTGGCCCACAAAACCTCCGTCACCTGCCTGCGCTTCCAGAGTATCGCCAGCAGACACAAGGTGGAGTAAAACCTGAGTTATCAGTCGGGATGCAAACAATTAAAGATTGACTTTTAAGACTTTCCTGAGTTAAAGCACTTCATGGAGCACTTCATTTATTTATTATCATATCTCTGTTTCTAGTGTTTCGCATATTATTATCCTTTTATTTTTCTATTCGCTTAACCAGGAGGTTCCCATTTTGTTATGTTTTATAAATTTGTCTAATTTTCATAATGTGAGGAAAAACACGCTTCTGTTTAGCAGTCAGTATTTATTACAACTGACTCAAAATAATGTCTAAATTTATTAATGTTTTCTCTTTTATTAATTCAGCCAATTATGAAAAATTTATCCCTTCATGTTATGGAAAGACGGTTGTAAGAGAAAACTCAAGTTTTTAAGAAAATGGCACCAGATCAAGTTAATCAATTAACTCATTAATTACCACCTAGTTGACGAATGTGAGATGATATTTAACGTAAAAACATTTACACTCCTGACCCGATTCTTTCTCTCTGTCCCGCTTCAGTCCAGTAAACTCGGGTCTGCCAAGGTTTCCAGTTCAAAGAGATCCAGTTCCAAACTGGGCAGCCAGCCTGACCCCGCCCACTTTGCAGGCTCCGCCCCCCAGAGACAGGTCACCTGCACAGGTAACCACGGTTTAGGTGCTTCCCTTCTGTCTGACCTAAACGTTTCAGGGGTTCATGTGAGAGGAAATTGATGTGAGAAGTTAAAACTGTTTTTCCCTCTTTAAATTAAAAAAAGTACAGAAATCATTTGTTAAGCAAATTGATGGCGGTTTGATTATGATTGTTTTCTTTTGAGCGTGTCTGAAGACTCTGCTGCAAAGATTTGTTTTGGTTTTGATAATACAGTATATACTTTAAACAGTGAAGGTATAATAAGCTGGTGCCTAAATAAATGGGTGATTAACACGCTGCCTTTCCCAAATCACATCTCCTTGTGGATAAACAGAAAGTCTCTGTGTTTGAAAAACAAGCTTCCAGAAAAATAGACAGAGGGCAGTCCTGAGAAATTAAACACTGCCCAAAACACTTCTTTGGAAAGTTCTGGCTCTGGGAGGGGTTTCCTCTTTGTGTCATCCTGTTTTCTGTGGCAGTGATTGGAGTGTTCTGTCCAGCAGGGGGCGCCAGCGCGGAGGTGATGTGTCGTGAGGGTGAATGCCAGCAGGGGGCAGAGCAACGTCCTCAAGGGGAGAAGTTCGGGATTGTGGGTCGGAACAGTCTGGACATATTCTCTCCGGCCCGTGAAGGTCCAGAACTCTTAAGTTTCATAAATTAGTATTTTTATATAGATTTATATTTACTTCAATAAAACAGAAAATATGAAATCAGAACAGAACTTTGTTAAGATTGCCTTCTATGCAACGGCCAGCAGAGGGCGACTCAAACCTTACTGAATTTTTTCTGCTTTGCAAATTTGGGAAATTTTTCACAATTTTCATGATCAATATGTTAAAAGCCGTCGCAGCACAATAGCGTTTTTTTTCTGCTGCTAATAATTATGAAGCTGACTCACATGTTCTGTCTCTGTTGAACTTTTAAATCTACATCTTTATGCTCCATCCCAGCTGCAGAGAGACGTGTTTAATCTGGTTTCTCTGCTGCAGGTCCAGACCTGGGGATTCACGGGTTTGGAGGAGACGCTGCCTTTGGAAGACCACAGGGTACCGCAGGACAGATCACTTCCTTCCACCTCCTCATAAATCGTCTGGTTCTGGATTAACGCCTTGTCTGTGTTTCCATAGTTACCGTTTTGGAGGGCGAAGGTCAGGAGCTGGTGGGCCGGGCCAGCCTGGACATCTTCTCTCCGGTCAGAGAAGGTCAGAGTTTTACTGGAAATCCTGTTCTGATGCGACTGTTCAGCAGATTAATCTACATCTGTTAAGTTTTTCTTCTCAAACACTAAAAAACTTTAATTTTGCAATGAACTGAACATTTTAAATATACAAATAAAAAAAGAACTAAAGCAGAAATAAAAACCAGAAACCTTTTTCCAAAGTGTTTGCAAGCAAAGCTGCCCTTAATATATCAATAAATATTAATAATCAGAAAGGAAATCATTGATCTCATTTTAACGTTGTGTTTGTTGCCATGGCGATGACCTCTGGCTGCTGTCAGACTCTCACTCAGTTGGCGGCTCTCAGCGCCGGACGCCCCTGGGGACCCAGCGGGGTGCCGCCGGGGTCCAGTCCTACAGCCCGATGTCCGTCTTCCAGTCGCCGCAGACGATCAAAGAGGAGGAGCTGAGCAGCGCCGCCGCCGCCATTGAACCGTCTGACAGGAAGGTAACGGGGCTCATGTCGCCATTAGAAAGCTTTTTCCTCAACAAAATTCAAACAAACGTCAGCTTTTACAGTGTTTTCATTCATTATTCAATAATTGTTACATTAATTTAGATGGTCGCGTATTCTGTGACGGACAATTTTATTATGAACTAACATATTATGACTTTATTACCAAATAATAAAATCCTCTAATATAATTTTTTTATTAAAAGAAAACATGAAATATTTCATATTAAACACATAAGATTTTATTTTATTCTCCCAAGTTTTAATTTGAGGAGCAAAACTAACAATTTAACTGGCAGCCAATCAGAAAATGAGCATCAGAAACAATTATTTTAAAAATATTATTGAAAAACAAAAATAATGATGAATTTCACCATTTTTATTTTTTTGCATGTTTTTTCTCATCTTCTCTCTAACTTTCTGAGGCGCCCCCTGGTGGCCCCACACTTTGATAAACTCTGGTCTGAAGCAAAGGTTTGACCTCTGACCTCTGTGGTTTCAGCCTGGGAGGAGCAGCAGCTCCAGCCAGGAGGGGGAGCCTCGGACTCCGCCCACCGCAGCCCAGCAGCCCAATCAGAGTCAGGCGGCGCCGCCTTTTTTCACCACAGAACCGAGCCTTCATAGAGCCAACGGCATCCAGACTCAGCTCAGTTACGACTCGCCTGCCGCCGCCGCAGGTACGGCTCGGTTCCCACGGTTACGGCATCAGCATGGGTCCATTTCTAATATCCCGATTCCTGCGTTAAGCTTCAGGTTCAGCTGCGATGGCGGCGGCGGCGTGCTCGTCTCTGTCCCAGAACATCGCAGACGTGGTCAGACAGGACGGCGCCGCTCCGCTCACGTCCCTGCAGATCCACTTCATCCAGAACATGATCCACGAAACGCTGGAGGAGTTCAGGTGTCCAAACGTTTTATCACTTGGACTCCAAAAATAAAATAATTTGTAAATGTTTTCTGTTCTCGGCAATAAAAACTGAATCTAGTTCAGTCCCCATCTGAAAACACCTGCTGTATTTAGCAAAGTCTTAATTCAGCCATTTAAAGCAGACTGGTTCACCACGGTCTGCTTCAAATGGGAACGTTTGGGAAAGTTGATTGCTTTGTGTTGATTGCATACTAATCTACTTTTAGTAAGTAGATTTTCATTTAAAAGTTGTAGTTTTGTCCTAATTTATTCTCGAATTGTAGTTGGGGAGGAGCTTCAAATAAATCAGTCCAGGGGCCGTAAATGGCCCCCGCTCCCCACTTTGACCAACATTAGCTGAAAAGTTTCCTCACCTGAACAGAAAACTGGCAAATGCTGAATTTAAAGGTTGTTCTTTTTGTCGTTAGGACCGCCTGTCACCAGGACATCCTCAACCTGCAAGTGGAAATGATCCGACAGTTTTACATCCAGCTGGTAAAAACTTCGGTTTTTCATTCCGAGGACTTAATTCAAGGGTTTATGTCCAATTTGGTCCTTTCATTTAGCTGAAACTGGTGACGTTTGTTTGACATGTTGTGTTCCAGATGGAGATCCACGGTCTAATAGAGAAATATTCTGTCAACGAGTCTCTGGTGGAGGAGATCGAGAGGCTGCGGGAGGAAAACCGCCGGCTCAAAGCGAACTACTGAACCGCTGCCATCCAGTGTTCAGCCCCGAGTCGCATCCGACCGGCTGCAGTGCCTTCATCCCCAACTGGTTGTTCTGTTTGACTGCATCAAATTCAGCAAATAACCGACAGAAACCAGCATTTTGACTCAACGTGTTGTTTAAATATATAATATTTTGTCTGTCGATGCAGGAAATTGTGAGCGGTTCGTCTGTGTGTGTTTGTGTTTTTATCAAGAAACATTTTACGTGAAAAATAGAGAGTTGTAAAAGAGGAGCTGTTTTTCACAAAAAATTCAATTTCTTTGGAAGTTTCTTAATATGAACCTCAAATAAATTGACTCTATTTAAAAACAATCTGGAGAGTCACGTATCACTTGTAATTAATTAAAATTAGGAGTTTATATTCATCCAATCAAGACATCCCACTGTTTTTCCTCTGAAGTTAAATTAAAGCAAGCCTTTCTTTTTTTCAGGCCAGTTAGAATTACCAATGTTATTTGTTAAATGCCACAATAATAAGAATCTCATATGTATGTATTAATATTCAGAATCAGGACATTTAACGCTTTTGTCCCAGTTTTGGTGTTTGGAGGATTACCATCCAAACCTTCGGGACTCTTTGATTCTCGGCTGCCAGTTTATCGCCTTCAGCCTTTTCGTGTCCGGTTCAGCAGGTCACCATCTTGAGCTTCCGACTCTTTGGTTGTTTACTCGGAGTTCCAGATTCAGCTCATTTTCAAGGTTCAGGTTCACAGAAAAAGGTTTGAACTTTTAATCAGTCTGCCTGAGCGGTCCACTCCACATTTATTTTCCACCCAAACCGAGGCCGAACCGAACCATTTCCGGGTTTAACCGGGTTAAAGTTCGCCTTTGGTTCCCCGGAGAGTCTGCAGGTCACCTGGACAGGTGAGAATCTGCTGCTTTTACTGGACAGAGGGGAGTTTTTTGTAACTATCCTGAGTCCAACTGAACCAACTACTTCCTTCTCGAGCAGCTGTTTGACTTTCACTGCGGTACAAAAATTTCCTTTCATATGTAATCCAACCGAACTCTGTCTCACTGCTGTGCAGAGAAAATGTTTGCTGCAGAAATGCAAAACATTGATTTAGTCTGGACATTTCAGCTGTTCAACAGAAACTTCAGATGCATTCATGCTGTTTTGTTTTGCAGCTCTTTGGATGATGGCAAACCCTCTGCGGTCTGAGGTGGTTCGGCTCTACAAGCACGTGGGTTTCAGTTCCTCGTTATTAATCAATCAGGTGACAGATGATCAGTGACGTCACTGAGGAGAAGTGCAGAACATCCACTGAGCTTCCTGTGATTTCTATTCATCTGATGAATGGGGAGTTTAGAGTCACATCTGTGATTTGTTAGGACATCAAAGAAGCTCGGAGTGATTCAAAGATTCAAATGTAACGACTCTGTTGGACTTTAACCGTTTCCTCGTGATCACCGATCATATGACCTCTTATTCTAGTTCTAATAAAAACAACCTGAGAACACAAAGATGAGGGTAGTGTACAGGTGACCTGTTCGGTGTTAAGTCTGCTCAGTTCTGCTTATTTTGAGCTCTTGTAAATTTAAATCCGAATAAGCTGCTGTTGCTGGCTACGCCGCTAACTAAGCGTTTTGCACAGAGATGTGAAAATGGCTGAAAACTGTTATACAACCGTACATCTTTGAAAAGCAGAAATAGATCCTCCTGCGCAACCAACAAGAATTTAGTAAGTTCCTTCTGGAAGGTAAATCTACAACAAAACACTTCTCTTTTCCAGCAGCCATTGTACAGTGCATACAGCGGTAAAATCAGCTGACCAAACATGCTGGAACTCAGCTAGGGTTGCTAGATTTATTAGGTTTTTTTTTATTAATGGCTCATTTTTTAGACATCAAAAACAATTAACTTGTTGCCAAAAACAGCTGGGTGTTTTTAGAAGCAGTTGAGACCAGAATGAAAGTACAGAAACATGCAAAATCTGAATTTTGCATGATGTGTCCCCTTTAAATTTAATTTACCAATCTTCCTCAGCTCCTCTACCTCGGCCGGGAGTACCCGAAAGGCAGCGACTACTTCAGGGACCGTCTGAGAGCGGCGTTCACCAAGAACAAGTCGGTCCAGGACCCGGAGCAGATCAAGGCCATGGTCGCCCGGGGGGAGTACGTGGCGCGGGAGCTGGAGGCGCTCTACTACCTGAGGAAGTACCGGGCCATGAAGAAGCGCTACTACGAGGAGTGAAGACGCTCCGCAAAGACTCACGTAAAAAAAAAAAAATAGAAACATTTTTATTTAAGAACAGATCAAAGAGCAGCAGCTTCAACAAACCCTGCAGAGTTTAATATAAAAATAAAAAATAAAAAACACGAAGGGAATATAAGTCTAAAAATAATCAAGTCAATCAGTTATTCTTTAGAAAACAGGGAGGAGTTTCCGGTCACGGCGTAGGGGGCGCTAGAGAGTCTCCATCAGCCAGGTTGGCCCTGCAGATCGGACAGGTGGTGTTGTCCTGTCAGGAGGACACAGGCAGGTTAATACAGAGATGTTCATTACAGACAGACATCTCACTCTGTGAGGAAATCAGCAGGTTTATCTAAAGCACATGTCAAACTCAAGACCCAGGCCAAAAATCTTCTCTGTAAATATGTTTTACAAAGAACTTTTCCAGCTAGCACTGATTTAGCTTCACCTGGTTCAAATTCTGTAAAATAAATAAATAAATCTTCAATTAAGCACCTTTTCAATCCAATTATTAATCAGTTAATTGATGCCAAGTCGAGCAGAAATGTTCATATGTTTATGTTAGAAGTATTTTTTTTAGCTGCAATTGATCAACAGAGTAATATATTATTGCATTTTAGGCAATAAAATGTTTTTATTTTCACGAACGGAATCAAATTGTTTATTCGCGTTTTCTAATGCATTTATAATATTGCATGAAAAGAGGCTCAAACGTTTAAATGGAAACCCTGGAGAATCTGCGATTAATCATCAGAAGAATTGATTACTAAAATAACCGTTATGCTTCATAGATTTTAAGAGTTTGGAGATAATTGAGCAAGTTGACAATAAAAACTTGGGTGTTGGTTTTCCTGTACCTTTAACCACCTGTCGATGCACTGGACGTGGTAGTCATGGAAACAGGGCAGCATCCTCAGCTTCTCCTTGTCAGCGTAATCGCAGAAACATATCTGGCACCTGCGGACGGGTCAAAGAGAGAGGCGAGTCAAATCGTCCGGTTGAGATCGGGTCGGGTCGGGTTCTGGACTCACTGGGTGTTCCCGCTGTTGGTCGCAGAGCAGAAGGTTTTGGTTGGAAACCTCTGGATTTCCCTGCGGCTCATTTTCTTTGACACAACGGCGCCCTGCCGCTCTTCCAACTCCAGGAGAGCCTGAGAGGGAAAGAAAGGAATCCAGAAACCAGACATTTCCACTCGGGATGCCGGGAAAGGCTGTTCATTTGCTGCTTTAGGTAAAAATTTAAAAACTTTATTGTCTAAGAAAATTTTAAAAATATCAGGCAATAAATTCACCTAATTTATACATAATAGACATATTTTAATACAAATCTAAAATCTGTATTTTATTTTCATGCTGCAGCTTTAAGCAGACGATCGATGAGAGTTCACTGTCTGGTGGAGGTCCAACAGAGCGGGAGCAGAACCCGCGTCTTACACCGCCAGCTTGAAAACTTGATTATTTTTCGGGTCTTTTTTTTTTGGGCTTTCTGGCCGTGATGCTCTTTGTGTTTCGCTGCTTTACCTGATATCTGATTGGCTCCAGATGTAGCCAAACTCAGCCAAGTGCTTGTTTTTTTAAATGTCATATTAGATTTGTTGTGTTGAAGCATTGTGACGCGCTTCACTCCTGAGGTAAATTCCCGCCGCACACAAACGTCCCCATTCGTTCTCAGAGCGTTAAAGTTCCACACGACAGGATTTGTTGCCGCGCGCTTGAGCAGAGTGAAGGAAAGGAGATGAGCTGCGGCTGCAAAGTGAGATAAATGGGATTTGTTTTGGTAATCGGTGGCTGATCGATCGGTGGCTGATTGATTGGTGGCTGATCGATCGGCACACCTCCAGTTTCCACGGCTCCCGGCTCTGGGAGAAACTTTACAGAAAGAAAGAAAAACGCCGCCCGATGTTCGGAGATGACGTTGGGTTCGGGTCGTTTCCTCACCTCGTAGTCGTTCCCCTGGAGATCTTCTACGAAGTCGGGTAACCTGCTCCTCCTTCGGCCCCGCCCACGCCACCTGTGCTGACCAATCAGATCTATGGAAACACACCAGGTGCTTTGGTCAGAAAGTAAACAAATCAAATGCTGGTTTATATCCTCTCTATGACATGCAATAAAAAAAGAAAGTGTTGGTGTCCTGAAACGATTTATCAAATTAATTGATTATTGAAATAATCGTAAATTAATGTAGTGCTCAATTATTAACAATGACTCAAAAACAGATCATTTACTGAAATAACACATTTAAGATGTGAACCTTGCATGTTCATTATTGACTGATTGTGTAAACTTAACATTTTATTGTATTGTGTTTCTAATTAAATGGAAACAAAGCAAAAGCAAAATTGTTGTTTTTTTTTTACTTCAGCAGAATATCAACAAAGTTTTGCCTCATATGTAATGGAAACGCAGCTAATGGTGTAAATGCAGCGGAAGTCGGTCAAACAACTTTCTGCTCATACCGTCTTCGAATCCAACGAGAGGAGAGACGGCAGCCAACACCTGAGACATCCAGCTGGGCTGCATGTAGGAGTAACACTGTCAACACCAGAACCAGAACCGGGTTAAAGCAAACAGCAGGAGCTGGCTGTCAGAGATCCAACTGGAGCAAAATGAACAGTTCAGTAAATATGAAACTGGTTACATTCACTGATATTTATAAACCGCTCCACTTTGGTCATCACTGCATGACAAAATTTATTTCAGGTTAAAACAGTTTCTGTTGAAAAATGTTAAAAGTTAACAAGAAATTATGGAAATATAAACAAACAGCAGAAAAAATACAGAACTGACCAAAATAAAACTAGCTTTTCTATAAATTGTGTTTGTATAATAAAATGCCATCATCTTTTTAAATAGATAATTGTCTGCTACAGATTACAGATGTTTGGTTTAATCATCTTAATCTGTCTTTGATGTCACTATTACTGGTGTATAAAGAAATATTTCACATAAACAACACTTAGCCTGGCAGGGGGCTGTGAGGATTTTTCTGTGTTGTGTTGTTATTCTTACATTTGACATTTATTATTATTATTATTTTAGATCATTAACCCAACATTATATTGTGATTTTCAGTTTAAAGTATTCTCTCTGTTTCTGTGTGTATAAACTGACTTTGAGGCCCTTTCTTCCTGTGTTTTCATGAGATAACGATGTGTTTCCCAGACCTTAACTTGTGCTTTCAGGTGCTTTATTATCAACCAGAATACTCCCTACTTTGAAGGCCGCCTGCGACTGTCTCTGCTGTTTTTCTTGTCTGTCCTCCCTTTTCTTTTCATAAAAGAGAAAGCTGTAACCCAAGGTGTTTATGGCGCTCGGTGAACCACTTGGAGGAGCAGTTTGCTGAGCCTTTTCCTTTTGCAAAAGCTTTAATAAAATTAACTTACGTTGTCTGTTGTTCTTTCATGTAGATTCATAATTATCAATACAAAAAGCCTGGTTGCCCGCCAGGCTTACATTACACTGGGAGAAACTAACAATGAAATAATTTTTTTCTATTTTACCACATACTGTATACGTTACATTGTTTTTCAAGAAAGTTTTTTTTTCCACTTTTGCTGTATTGAAAGAAACATCTAGTTTCCAAATTCTTTTGAGGTCAATTGGACAATTTTTTATTTTCAGTTAAAAGATCAGGATTTGTGTCACTTCCTTTCTAAATACTCGCTACAGTTGGTAAAGTTTAATAAAATAAATAAAAGCTGATCTGGATGCAATAAAGTAGACAAAGTCTCCAGATAGTCTGTATTCTACTTATCAAGTTTTGGTGATAAGAATAACAATACTTAATGTCATATTTAACATTTTCCATTGTTAAATACGACCAATAAAAAATTTCATTAAAAAAATTAAAATAAAGAAAAGTTTCCATCTGCATCAACTATAATTTTATAATTTCTGAACTGCAGCAGGAGGCCGCACAAAATCAGTCCAACGGCCACAAATGGCCCCCGGTCCACACTTTGCAGACCCCTGCTCTGCAACCAACACTAAATAAATAAATCAGGATTTTGATAAATCATTTGCCTCACCCTTTGGTGACTCTGCTGATGATGATGATGATGATGATGATGATGATGGCTGTGATGATAATGTCTGCTGACTGACTCCTCTTGGTCGAACTGAGCCTGAAAAACAAACACAACCAAAACAGGAAGTTGGTTCCACCTGTTCAGGTGAGCTGCTGTGAGTCTGCAGCAGGGAGGAAGTCCCACCTGCAGGCTCCGCGCCAGCGCCTCATCTTCCTTCATCTGTAACGAGCGAACTGTCGCCTCCTCGTCGTCGCTGATGACAATCTGCTCCTCCAGGTCTGCAGCACAGACAGACAGATGAAGCTGCAAAGCTTCCGGTGCAACTTTGATGTCCAAACTGTGACCTTCGACTGGGAGATAAATCGATCTTATTGATTTATTGGATTTTTGTTTTTTGAAAAACATGGATTTTTTCCACCAATGCACCGCTTTAGTTTCCATAGTTCAGAATGATATCAGCGCAGGGCGGCCATCTTGTTTGACGCTGAACTATGGAAAATAAATGAGTGAATTGGTGGAAAGAAAATCCAGATTTGCAAAAATTAAGTCTTCAAAAACCAAAAATACAATAAACTGATTTATTGTCCAGCCCTAGGAATTATTAAATGCAAATATTTTTTTTACAGTTTTGGCTTAATTTCTGCTCTGAATAATTTTGGTCTTTCAGAAAATTGTCTTTTTTTAAGACTCTGAAACTCCCTAATGCTTCTCATAGAAAGGATTACTGAAATAAAAGCCATTTTTTAAAACATATTTTCTCTCATATATATATTTTTTAGAAAAGAAAGTGAGAAAAATAAATAGATTAAAATCTTGCATGAATACATAAGGTTTTATTTCTATTCCGCTGCGTCCTGACCTGGAGAGGCGTCTCCTTGTCCTTCGTTCAGCCATTTTCTCTCCTCATCGGTGAGGAAGGACAGCGAGCTGGATGACGATGCTGCTGCAGGGGGAGACGCTGAAGCTGACGCGTCAAGACGTTTTGACCTGAGGACTGACTCTGGAGTGAGGTAGGAGACGGAGGAGGAGGAAGACGACGAAGACGAGGAGGAAGAAGATGTTGAGGAGGACGGGGCTTCCAGCCAGCCGCCCAGAGTAAAACTCCTGAGAGATGACGCTGGAACGAAGCCGACGCTCGGGTCGACCAGTCGCCGGCGCTTAGATTTACGTGAAAAACCTTTCCCCCCCGCCATGGACTTCTCTGGTCCTGGAGAGCCGCCGGTCACCACCTGAGGTCCCTGAACAGAGAGAGAGAACACTGACTCAGCATTTATCATTCTTTTTCACAGGTCTGCCTAAAAAAATAATCAGCTGATCCAGAACGCTGCTGCTGCTGTTCTGACTAAAACTAGGAAGTTAGAGAACATCACCCAGTTCTAAAGTCCTTCCACTGCTTCCCTGTAGCCTTTAATAGACTTTAAAATATTAAAGGAGCAACACATTAAAGGTCTGCTGTTGTCATAGCAAGCTTCCAGGTATTGTTGTTCTAAGTATCATTTTAATTATGATGCATAACCCCCCACCCACCGCTGTGCATATTGTCAGGAATGTTAGTTTTTCTATTTTCTCAACTATTTTTTTTTATATATAAATACCAATAAATTTGTAAATGTGTGAGCAGGTTAATGACACAAATCACACTTATTTGCATGACTAATGTCCTAAAGACGCATATTACAAAGGAATGTTGTTCAACAGAAGTATTTGTGTTTGTGGGGCTACGTTTGCTGCGTTAGCCATACAGTTACCCAAAAAGGTGTAATGAATTGTTTTTGTCACTTTAATGACCATCATCATAATATCACCTCAAACAGTGTGATAAAACATCATGTGCAGCCAGAACGGGACTCACTGGGCTGTAAGGATCCTCCGCGGTTCGGCGGTGTCTCCTCCGTTTGCCGAGCTGTGGGCTGAAAGAAAGAATCAGAACCAAATAGCTGGGAGCTTGACATTTCCAAAGCCTTCGGTTGCAGTCTAAAACTGATTAACATGGAAGAAAACTCATGTTTGAGCATTTATTGTTATTATTTATCGTAAAAAATTGTTATGATGAATTTCAGTTATTGAGCTTAAGAAACGAAACACTATCAGTAAATTTTAAAATACCACTAAAGGAAGTTAATGTAAAAATCACACTATTTTTTTAAAGAGGTCTCCTGAAGGACCCAGTTTAAAATGGGATTGTTTTTTAAAGAACAATATTTGTGTTTGGGGCACATATATTTGTGTCGGACATACTGTTACCTAAAAAAGTAAGTAATAAATAGCATTTTTAAATCAATTTTATTTCCATAATAGTATCACAAAATATTGCGGTAAAATTCTGAGACCGTATCGCCCACGTCTAATTTCCATATTCCATCTGTCTTTAAATTTTAACAAATTGGACTCAAACAAGTAAACCTTGTATATTTTATGACAGCTGTGTGTTGACAAAATGGACAAAACTCTGAACTCAACTAAAATTTGTGACCAAGAATCAACAAACCGAACCGAACCTGGTCTAAATAGGTCCAAAACTAGAGCCAGAGATGAGCAGCTGTTTGATAGTGAAGCTAAAATAACTGAGTCTGTACCTGGGGGTTTCTGGGACAATGACGGACAGATCACTGAGCAGGGCCTCTGTGGGGTCCAGCAGACATCCACTGTTCAGACCTCCGGGACTGTCCGGTTCTGAAGAACCAGGGCTGGCAGGGAACCTCTCAGCCATCGCGTTTCACAAACCTGTCTCCAAACTGACCAATCACCTGCGGTCCAGTCTCATATCACCGGGATGATAACGAGGATAAAGAGCAGGTCGCCTGGAGCAGAGAACCGCCGATATGAAACCAGAAATATCTGCCGAACTGATATCTCAAATATCGCAGTGAAATTTGTTTTAAAACCAGAGAAAATAATTCATTTTGAACTGAGAGTAGTTTCAGTGATAGCTAGCTCAGTTAGCTGCAACAAGCTAATTAATAAGCGGTTTACAAGACAACAAAATAATTAAAGCATCAGAGATTAATTAAACTTCGCTGCCTTGGTCTGAGCAGGAAACATGATGAAATTAAAAACAAGTTTACCTTCAATTTCTGCCTTCTTTTCGGTTTCTTAACGGACATTCAGCCAGAGAACCGCCGCGAAGCTCACAAGTCCCTTTCAAAATAAGGTAAGCTACTTCCGGTAACACTCTGGGGAGAAAGTACCGAAAAATCCCCCTTCACAATAAAAGACTTTCGGTTTCATTATGACATAAGAAAGAAAACAAAATTCGATTAGATTTATATATTTATTAGTTCTCACCGAATTCAGACTGAAACAAAAGACCCAATTATTTTTTCTCACAAGTTTAAGACAAAAAACTCCCTTTGATACGAAAAACAACTGCATTTTTATGTTTTTTGGTATTTAATGTCCTTTATTAATTTTTAGCGCTTACACAAAATGATCTAATTTATCTATTTTTTTACACCAGACAACATGAATGGGCTTTTGTTTGTTGAGTATTTGCGGAGCTTAAATTCGGAATGATATACTGAACTTTCAGCATAAGACTAAAAACAACCTATTTTCATCAACAAAATTTTTTTAGCAAATGACCAAAGAATCTTAAATGTGTTTTGGCCATTAAATATGCTATATGTTTGAAGGACACTATACACCATTCCCACTGTGAAGCATGGTAGTGGCAGCATCATTCTGTGGAGACTTGTAAAGACAGAATGTTACATGACTGGAGTAAATATTTCACTTCCAAAAGGTCAACGACCTGAAGCATCCAGTTTAAGCTACACAGAAATTGTTTAAAGACTACAAGCTGTATGTTTTGGAGTGGTCTAGTCAAAGCCCATACCTGTTCATAGCTGATCCTCATGAAACCTGACAGAGATGGAGCAACTTAGCAGGAAGAATGGCGGGAAACCGTCACATCCAGATGTATGATCTGAGACATTTATCCTAAATTTAAAATATTTCAAGAATTGTCAATTTTAGCATTTTCTCCGCTGTAAAGAAAATCAATCAATAAGTAATTTTGAATATAAAATGTCAAAGATAAAGCTATAAAATATTGAATATGATTTCACACAGGTAGGTTCACTAAGCTGAGGTTGGTCTGACTGAGAGTGCTGTTCCTTACAAAATGGCCGACCTGAGTGAGCCTCTCCTTGTCGGGACTTTTCAGACACTTCAGGATCTCAAATAACTAGAAATATAGATTATTTTTTTACTCTGGTGACAAGTTAAATGCTATTAAAAAGAAAAGCATTAAAAACACTTCAACATAAAATGTTTATTGTTAGATTTAACAGGCACTCAACAGAGTTCATCTTTACAAAGTGACTTCAGATATAAACACAGCACCACCTGCTGGCGGTAAAAACAAAGCACAGGGAGAGGGGCTGAAACAAAGTGCATCATCTTTTAAAAATCTGAATTTATGAAAAGAAACATTGAAGTGGTTCAGTAACAGAAATGTTGCTGCATGAAGGAACAACGAACTCAAATGCTGGAACAGTCGCCACGGTAACGGCATGTTAGAAGAGCATTGACTGTAGCGACTTGCGGACTGTGGCCATCTCCTGCTGTTGCTGTGGAAACACGGACAAAGCATTTTATTTGCCTTACAACCCCCAACACACACAAAAAGAAACACAATAAAAATGGCCGCTCTAACAACAGCTTTTGGTACAGATTGTCAGTCAGATGCTCATTTTGCTTTGTGCTGGAAAAGAACATGACCTTAAAATTGAAGTTTGAACCTGATGAAAACCCAAACAAGCAGGTAAGTAATCAGCACCTTGGCTCCAGACCTACAAGGTGAAAGTTAAGAAGTGGCCAGTCCAAACCCTGGATCTTAATTTAAAAAAAAAACCTGTTGGAGTGACATCAAACATGCCATTTCTGAAGGCAATTAATCAAAAATCCTGAGAAACTTAGAAATGTATCCAGGAAGTTCTGGTCCCTGGTCACAAGTATCAGAAGTTGCAATATTTTGCCCAGTATATTTTCGCATATGAAACTGTAGTGTGTTGATTACACCTGATTGTGGGCAAAAGTTGCAACATTTGTTACATTTACTTTGAAAAATCTGTTCCCCTCCTCACCTGTGGTGGCGCTGCTCCAAGAACCACTGAAGGAAATGACACAAAAACCTCTGAGCCTCTGAGTGCAACTTCCTTCTTCAGGAAATGTAAACAAAAATGGTCCATTGGTGTCAGATTTTAGTGATTGTGGGATTTCTCCACGAGTCATTTCTCCTGCTACACTCATTTTGGTTATATTTACCCAGAATGCTCTGTGTTATAGTCTGATTCCTGCTTTTGGAACGGTTTCTGGTCTGATTGGCGTTCACATAGGCATTCAAACCGCACCAACTGAACCGAGATCGAGGTTTGCAGACAGACCTTTTTTTGATCGCATCAGTTTGGCTACGTATTGACACCTCCATGAAACAAACTGGACTTTCTAGACAAAAAAACTGGAGTTTGATTAAAACACCCTGGGAATGAATGCAGCCTAAATCTCACCGTGTCCATGAGAATCTTCTTCTGCAGGGTGGCCATCTCCTTCCTCAGTTCCTGCTGCGTTCCTTGCAGGAACATCTCGTGGTTTTTCTCCATGTCCTCCATGTTCTGGGGGCAAACAGAAACAACTTCAGGTTATTGTTTCACTTAAATATGATGTCATGACTAAAATACTAATATTTTCTCAATAAGTCACAAAATATTTTCTTTCTGCAACTACAGGTTCAGTTCTGTCACATAATGACAATGTCGATAAGTCAACAGCCTGCTACATATTGAATTACAGTAATTTAAGTTGTTATCTCTGACTGTTTTTGTCTTCTGGGAACCATGTGAAATACTCCACCACCACATTCCCACATTTACTTGATACTTCCTGAAATACATTGAATTAATTTTGGGGATAACATCTTTTTAGGCTGAAACAAGCAAATTAACAAATTATGATGATTATCTAAGTACTCATCAAGTAATTTAGTACTTTACTACACAGTTCAAATTTATTCATTCAGTTCAAAAAAATCTCCAATTAAGCATCTTTTTCTATTCATTTATTGATTGGTTATTCTGAAAAATAATTTTTTTAAAAATCAGCTGTACACTGCACTGAAGTTAAGTCAAGCAGAAAGAATTGAGCTTTTCACATTTCGATGTTATAAGTATATTTTAGCTGCAGACGCTACAAAAATAAAATGTTCACTAAACAAATGTTGAGTTTTTGCACGTTAGGCAACAAAATTGCTTATTAAAAAAATTATTGACTTATTTGTTTGAATCTTTTAATGTATTTCTAATACTGTACAGAAAAGGGCAAAGTAATCCAAATGTTTATATGATTAATTGCTTCATAACTAAATTGTAGTCCCAGTCATTTTTGAGCTGACCTTTCTCAAAGACAGCAGAGATAAAGGGTTTTTAATGTAATAATTGAAACAAATGTTAAAATCGAGTCACATGTAGCAAGAAAAATGACATCATTGAGTTAGGAATTACTCAGTAAATATAGATTAGCTCACCTTCATGAACTGCTCATACAACTCTCTGACGGCTTTCAGCTTCTGGTTCTGCATGACTCGGGCCTGCTGCAGGACTTTCAGCTGCTGCCGAAACAAATTCTGTGAACACAAAGGACAAAGAATAACCATCAACATTGTGTTTTTGTTGAATCAAACCATGTTTGGTATTTGCTGTGAATGGCATCTGGGACTTTTTAAAATCTCTGTGCAGCCAGTAAACACAAAATGCTCACAGATCAAGAAAGCTATCAGAAAACAACCGTCATACCATCCTTCTTGCAACGAAAAAAGTGAATGCAAACTCTGGTCACATGGTGTTTTTGCAGACTGTGCTGCGGCATATTATAGATGAAGCAGATAAACTGACATTGAGCTTCTCCTCCTGCTCTTCGGCTCGCTGAGCTTCAACCTCCCACTGCTGCAGCGCAGAAGAAACCTGCTGATGGTACTGCTGGGTCATCTTCTTCCTTTACAGAAAATAAAATACAAATACAATATAATAGAGCATATAAAGTGATTAATCAATTACTGAAATAATCGTCAACTAATTTAGTGATCAATTAATTGTTAATTGGAGCATAAAGACTGAAAAAGATCATTCTCTGAAAAAAAAAAAACATTCAGAGTGGTAGCTACTAGTCACCTGATCCAAATCAACTCATCAATACTAACTAGGGCTGAAACAATTAATCAGATTAATCAATTATTGAAATAATCATCAACTAATTTATTAACTAATTAATCATTAACTGGAGAAGAGACTGAAAAGGCAATTCGCAGAAAGAACATACTCAGAGCAGTAATTAAGCCAAAAATGTACAAAACATTTTCTTTTTGATATTCAATTATTAATCAATTGATCCAAAACGTAATCAGTAGATCAGCCCTAACCTGTATTGATGTTAGGTCAAGCAGAAAGAGATGTTCAGATTTTGATGTTCAAAGTATTTTTTTAGTTGCAGATGTATCATTTGCTAAAGTGATCAAACATAAACTAAATAAATAATACGTTACTGTATTTTAGTTAATAAAATATTGATTTGCTTATTTAAGAAAAGAAAACTAATTTATTTTTATCTTTTGATGTGTTTTTAATATCTGAAAAAAGCTTAAGTAACTTAATGACAAATCTGCAAAATGTGATTATTTTTTATCTGACAGAATAATTGATTCGTAAAATATTTGTTAAACAGATCTGGAAAAAAGCACACCAGCTATTCTAACTTTAATATAAATTCAGGTTGTCACTGCTTTTACATATTTATAGTTTAGCTGTAAAGTAAATTCCTGATTCAGTTAATCTTTTCTTTCCATTTTTTTCAGAAATAGAAAGAACAGTTCCATTCCATGAACAGTTCTCCAGTCTTTGGGTGTTCGCTGTTTTTTCATAAAACTTCTTGCTGCTGGTTAGTTTCCAATGAATATTTTGTTCAACAATTGCTGATATATTAATTATTTGGGCCAATAATAATTTTAATATCAAAGTATGAATAGATAAAAGGCACATCAGAGCCTGGAGCTGAATGTTATTAAATCATTGTAAGATCATCTAACAGAACAAATAGAAAAACATCTTTTAAAGGTCTGGAGAACTACTCAGTGTGAAGCAGTTGGCGCTTCAGCAGTTCTTCTTAAAGTTGCAGAAAGAAGAACCTCTGTCCATGGTAGTTGGTCCACAGCTGCTCCAGCTTGTGCTGGCTTCCCTTCATGTAGTTTTTTGTCAGACACTCCAGGCGTTTCTTCTTGGCCTGCATCACTTTACTGATATCAGCTACAAGTAAAGAAAAAGACAGAGAAGCATTTTTATTCAGACACAAAATGTTTCTATCTAAGCCCAAGCCATAATGCACTAACAAAGCAGCAGTTAAACTCGATCAAGACTAAAAGAATGACACATGACAAAGTAACACAAGGGCAAAAAGATCAATTTTACAACACGGTCTCAGTTGTTTGTTCTCTGTGACCCATTTAAGAAAATGAACCTGAGATTTTTTAAGCAAAATACTCGGATGGATATCTGGACAACCCTCCAGATTAGGGTATCTCATCAATGTAAACAAGACATAACCAAAAACCCAACTGCTTACCTCCAAATTTCTCCAACATAGACTGGACTTCATTTCTAAACAAGTAAAAAGGAGGGGGGGAGTCAAATAAACCAGTGAAAACACTCAGCATGTACGGTACAATTATTCAGCATAAATGCTGGAAACTGCATTGAACTTCTTTTTCAGACACTAACAATATGAAATACTTGCTATCTTGTAATCATTTATCGATTATTATTTATTCACACTGGTTATAAGGAAATAAAATGTGATTCCAATCATTTTTAAATAACTAAAGTTTAAGGAATATTGTAAGAGATATAGAGATATATACCCCACGGCACAAGCTGTTCCCTCCTCATCAAAATCCGGTGCAGGCCTTTTCTTTGACAGCTTGTCCACAATTGGCGTTTCATCTTGGAACAAAAAAGGGGTTTAAAAAAACGTGTGAAAACGTTTAATTTTTCCCAATTTTGATCTTACGCACTGGTAAATTTTCAGAGCTGTGAAAACAGACGCCATCTTCAGAAATCAGCTCCCTTACCTTCCCTGATGTCGTCCTCTGAGCCGCTGAGCTCCTTTTTATCATCTCCTGTGGGGAAATCATAAACATTTTTCTCTGTTTTCTCTTCTAGTAGCTTTTTCTTCATTTGTTTTCTAGCTGCCATTTTTGAAAACCTATTACTGTTAAGAAAACGAAATGTTAAAAGAAAAAATGCTAATGCTAAGCGTCAACAAAAAATAGCCTAACGTCGAGTTAAGAGTTTACTAAGGAGCTGAATTATAAAATTTAATTAGACGGGTCTTTATAATCTCTTCAGATTGATGTTTATGATAAAACAAAACGATTTAAACTAACAAACTTGGTCAGCAACGTATTTAGCTTCAACTCTATCGATTTTCCCGCCACAACAGGGCTTTCAGCGGGAGCGCGCACCACGCACTGTACGGGAACCCGGATGGAAATAACAGGTGCGGTACGTATTTCATCCAGCGGGGGGAGCTACTACCTTCTCCTGTTTGTTTTCATATATATTAAAGATTAGGCATTTTCCACAAAAACGAAAATCACTTGAATAATAGCAGTCTTTTAAAATACAAAACAAACAATGGGGGGAAAATAAACAGAAAATATTACCATGGCAAGAGTGAATTTCAAACCTCAGTTTTTAAAATATTTGTATGAAGATTGAGCTTTTATGTGGCAGCAATCAAGTGCTTCGTTAAAGTTATTTTACTTTTAAATCTTGAACATTTTTTCAAAATGGCACATATAAATGAAAATAGCCAGAAGGATAAAATTGTTAATACAGTCGTTTCATCGAAGACCAATCTTTATCATATTAAAAAGTTGAAATGGAAACGATTTCTAATACAAGATCCAATTTTGAAAATCCTTACTAAAACATCTAACTTGCAATAGAAATGTTGTCTCAAAGCACGGTAGAGTTGGTATCTATTTTTATTTTCTTTTGCAAAAAGTTCTTATGAGGTTAAACATACATACATTTGACATTATTTTATTTATTTTACTTCTTAAGGAAGTGGAAAGAAGATGTGTGATTCTGATTTTCTTTAAAGAGATAAGCAAGACTTTTTTGAAACTACAGTAAATTATCCAGATTCTAAGATATTTTGATTAAAACCTTGAAGAATGCAGTGCAGGTGTTATAAGCAATTTTGGTTAAATTGTGAAGAGTTTCGGTAGCTAAAGTTACAGGGGACTTTGTAAGGCTGTAGGACAGCAACACACTGAACCTCCTTTCACTTTTTAATTTCAGATTTATGTTTTAAGCTGCAGTTTTATCTATGAATCCAAAAAGAGAAATGAAATAGTGTTTTTTATTGTATATTTACTATGTAGTACAGAGGTCAGCTGTATGCCATCATTTACGTGACTTTTTTAGCACTAGTGTTGATGATGTCTGTTACTTTGTTAATCCAGTTTAAAAAAGGCTTGTTTTTTTATTGTTGTTCAGATATACTTTCACTTCCAATTTTAATCTCTTCTGTTAATCTATTAAAATAACAAAGATTTAAAAACATTGTATTGTATTTCTGCAGCAAGACACTCAAACTGCTAACTTGCCTCAACCAGATTTGAACTGGACATGCAACATCTTGACTAAACAGAGGAGCATCACATGGTCAGTTTTTTGTTTGTTTTAATGCGTTTGAGTATTTGAAATGAGCAACAGCTTCCTGCAGCTTTAAGAAAAAGAAAAAAATAAATGTCACTTTGCACATGAACTCAGGCATTAACAACATAGATTAGAATCTAAAACTGAAATAAAAGGAGCAGCCCTGAAGGAATCATAGAACGCAACTTAAGAGGAGGAAATGTACATGACCCATTCATTCTAACTTTAAAGTTTGGATTTGACATTGAAAAGACGTAAATGACTACTTTTGGTGATCCTGTGGATGTCCGAAATAAACGTCTGGCATCAGATTGCAGCTTCAGGAGACCAAAATCAGACAAAAACAACTTAAAGACGTAATTTAGAAACCTCTTTGCATCTCTATTAAAGTCTAATTCATGTAAAAGTCAGTACGTTTGGCTCAGAATTGAGATTGAAATCTGTATTAGCTTTTTTTCCCCAGTAGCTCTAATATTCTTTCATACATTTTGGATTCTTCATCCAAGACCTGAAAAAAAAAAGAAATTCAACTGTTTTATAGTTACCTAAATTGCAATGTTTTGTTCAAGTCTTGTAACAATGAAAATGAGCTCTGAAATGTTGAAGCATATGTGGTAATAGATTTGTAATACATATCTGCAACTCTTCATTCCACCTTAAGCAGAAACAATGCTCAAACAACTGTAGCCTGTTCTGTCTAAAAGATCCTAATCCAAGAATCATTTGGTAAAATGACCAAAAATATGTATGTAGCGACCAGTTCAAGGAGGTTTAAAGCTACGTTACTATATATGTAAATGTGATGAAACTTCAGTGAGATGTAAACTGCATCAAGATAAATAGAAAAGATGCACCACAAAATAGAATCAGTCTGACCAGTTTATTTTCACATTCGTAGAAATGGAAACAATACTTTTACACATGAATGAGGGTTGAGTAGAATAATTCATATTAAATGTATAAAAATTATCATACGGGCAACATGTTAAAAAGTTCAACTTTCCAATCGCCGGATTAATGAGACCCCACCAGGTTTTTGATGAAAAACGTTTTAAAGGGTAAACCATTTATAGACCAAATCTGGAGTCCATGTTCTCACTTCCCTGCCACAACAGCCAGCTGGTCCCTGATCCGTCCCAGTCCGTCCAGTATGGTGTCCAGTGACTCCCTGCTCAGCTCCACTGTAACTGTGGAAACCGGCTCCCCGCCTGCTGACGGACACGGATCCTCCATCTGAAAAGGTTTTGCATATCGAGAATCATTTTCATGTATTGTGTCATCAGGAAGGTCACGACCCCTGCAGAGGGTCGTTCAGGTTCTCACCTTCAGCTGGACCAGGCAGGTCGGCACCGCCATCCGACTGACCGAGTCAGAACCGGTCACCAGGTCCACTCTCCAGTCCAGCTCCTTCAGCTGAGGGAGGGAGACTGAAAACACAAGCAGCGTTTGGTAGTAACCAGTTACATTTACTTGAGGAACTACTTGGAAAAAAATGTACTTTTATGAGTATTTTTGCTACGTTGTTTGTTTTACTTTTATTTGAGTGATTTTATTATGAAGGGTCTACTTTTACTTGAGTAAAGTTTCTGGATTTTCTACCCACTGAATGAAAAACAAACATGTTTTAACCAAAAACCCACCAGACACAGATACACATCTGCATTTTTAAAACAACATTTATATTAAAAATTCTGATTGATTTATATGAATTGTTCTCATTTTGAGCTCAATATTTTCACATAACTTTATGTTTTGGTCCAACAGATTATATATTTTTTAAATATTAAATGATTGTTTTGATCAGTTATTCAATACATAAATGGACATTTTACCAAATACTTTTTTACTCTTGAGTAATTCCTTGGACAGTTACTTTTTACTTTTACTTTAGTAAAAACACGTCTGAATTGTGCAACTGTATTTTTGGGTACTCTACCCACTTCTGAACACAAGCAGTCATTTACCGAACCTTAAACTCAGGCACACTACAGCTTCTAATTAAGGTTAAAGGTTAAATAAATAAGCGCCAGAACATTTTCTGAAGTGTTTGTCCTCACAGTAAAGGAGAAGCATTGTGTTTACTCACCCTGATGGCTGAGAGCTTCTGTCCTCCACGCCGGACTGAAAAAACAAACTCAATGTCAACCAACAATTTAACTTCTGATCAGTCGAAGATAAACGAGATGTCTGAGACACTGCCTGCATTTCCATTAATCTTGAAATTGTGCAATTTGACACTTCACCAAATTTATTCAATGGAAACATGCCAAAAAGATTTGTTTTTGCAGTAGGATGAGATTTTTTAGGGTCAAATGAAAATTAGTGCATTTCACAACCTTGTTTGATTTTATCCCACACATTCTCATTGTGCCAAACCTTTACAGACATTTTTATAACATTCTGAAAATTTAGTTACATTTTCTGTGGCTTTAACAAAAAACAAGAAACAACACAACAAAGAAAATGCTTATGTACTTACAGAGTGTCAGTTTTACTGCTTTTGTTGTATCTGAACTAACTCAAATCAGTTTTAATTAATAATACTGAATTAATTAAAAATGACATTTTGTTCTAATTTAAAAATTAGATTTCTAAAACTTCAAGTTGAACCTGAATTTAAAATAATTTACAAAGGCCTTGTAAATCAGTGTACATTAATTAAGTAACAAAAAATCCAAAATATGGATATTCAGTGATTTAGTAAATGCAATCTGATCAAATTAATACAAATCAACGTGAAAACTACTATATTTACTTAAAATCATTGTCAGAGTTTTGTGTTTTAGAAAAATAGAATATGGAAATGGAAAGAAACTATAAAAACACAACAAGTTACTTTTTTTCTCATCCTTATCAGACCTGGAAAATAATCAGATCAGTTTGTATACTTCTTAAAGTTTCAGTAAGTCTGACCTGTTCTCCAGCAGGATCTTTGTGATCAGGTTCTTCAGATTGGAGTGGAAAGACTCTGGGAATACTGCGAGGATCTGATCCGGAGACGTCAGGTTGTAGAAGAGGACGTGGTGAGACAGAGTGTGGAGGGACTGGACCAGCTAAACGACAGATGGATGGCGCAGATTCAGATTTAATTATGTTTTAATTTTTCTATTGTTGTAGATTCTACCATTTTCTCGATCTTTTTTATCCAACTTTTTAATCTGCTGACACGCACACGCCACAGCGTATACAACCATGTTTTTGAACGCCAGGCATTCATAAACAGACTGAAACTGATTAGACAACCCTTGGAGGGCACAGACTGCAGACTGTGTGTGTGTGTGTGTGTGTGTGTGTGTGTGTGTGTGTGCGTGCGCGCGCGTGTGCGTGCGTGCACGCGTGCATGTGTGTGTATGCATGCATGTTACCTGAGCTGCCTCTGCTGCAGGGATGCTGAAAGTGGCTGCAGTGTTTTCTGTCAGCCTCCGGTTCGGGGCTCTGTGGCTCTGAACACAAACATCTCTCACTGCATCTTTAGATGGAGCCTAAAACACACACACAAAAAAAATTATCAGAAAATAAACATGGCCTTCAAAGTACTCTTTCACTAAAACCACAATTAATAAATCCAGGAGGTGAGATAAAACCAGCCCTGACATAAGGTGATCAGTTCGTTGTGGCTTTACCTGTTTCTGAAAAACCAAACCAGTGTCAGAGGGTGCAGCTACAAAACTTAAAACATCATATTCATACCGTCATTTGCTCAAAAGAAAAAAAATTAAATTAAAAAGTGAACAGAATAAGTAAATATTAAAATGTGTCAGCAAATTTATTCTTGCTACTCTGTGTTGGACATCTTATCAATATTTATAAAGAACAAACATGACAATAGGTCAAGGTTCAACATAAGAACAATTTTCAGTACGTAGTATACAACGTACAAATGAACATGTATTAATAACTAAGAACCTTAAATAATTTTATTTATATTTTACTTCCTGTTTGAGTTGCCATGCTTTTATGTTGAAGGGACAACTTCCTGTTTAACTGTTAGCGCAAATGGAGCTTAACGGAAATCTAAAAGCAAGGTAACATAAAAGAGCTTAAAATGCATCTTGTTAAAACAGCCCTCTTGATAGGGACACAATGTATGTTTATAAAATAAGAATATATTTTAAATATGGTAGATCTGACTGAACAAAAGAAGCTCCAGGTTTCAGTTAGCCTCTTTAGACGGCTAGCTGAAGAGGTTAAATCTCCATGGTAACTCATGAGCTGCTGTGTTTATGAAACTGAGTCGTTAATTCAACTGGAAAATCCAGGGTTAATCCGCTATCATGGCTTTGTGAAATAACCCTCCTCTTCAAAACAAGTCTTGTTTTCAATACAAACAACCGCAGATCAAGTGCTTAGAGCAGACAACCGATATTCCTATTTTAACCAGGTTTTCTAGAACTCTCAGAAAACACGTTTTCCATCAAGTCTCAATTAAAAACAATCAGAAACAACGTTCAGTACCTTTAGAAGGAGCTGCAAGTTGGTGAAATCTTCACTGCTTAGAGCAGCAGCCATGTTGACAAGAGAAGAGTCATGTGACGCAACGCTGGCGCTATGACTGATGGGAAATGAAGTTTTAACCAAGATGTAGTCAGGAAAAGAGTCAGGAAAACATCTGGTTTAGCAGAAAAATAAAATTTATTAAATAAAATATTAAAAAAAACAAATCAATAAAACTATTAACAACAACTGGTGTGGATGCAACTGTCCGTGTGTTACATCCCACATTTTACAGTTGGTTTTGTGATTATACCAATAACTTCAACAAACATTATACATTAACTTACCCAAAAAAATATATAACCTCCCAGTAGTAATTTTGGTCAAAACAACAGACAATAAAAAAAATACAAATAAAACATAAAGATAAAACTAAATTAAAACTTCTATCAAAAACATAATATTAAGCATAACAACCAATATGTCAATAAAAAGCAATTCAAACTTTATTGACAGACCTCTGATAAACAAATTAAAAACAACATAAAATGAAAATCATAATAAAAATAAGAACATAATTAAGGATATTAAAGTAATTCTATGTTATTATAAGAAGTATAATATTACTGTGTAATATCTAACTCACTACAGTGGTTTGCTTTATTTGGACTGAAAGACAAAAAAAATATGAAGAAAAAGTTGTAAAAGACTATGTATTATTATTATTATGATTATTATTATTAGCCTATATTATTTTTAATCCTACTATGTCATATGTTATTTTCTATAATTTTATTATATGTTATCTCATTTTTCATGCACAAGGACAGCAAATTGAATATCAAACTAATCACACCTACTGTGCTTAATAAAATACATATATTATGCAGTTGTTTTACACTGATTTATGAAATAATTGAAGTTTAGAAGAAGCTCAACCAGATAAATTATTAGAAAGATTGGCTAACTTTAAATGGAAAGCAAAGAACCAGATATGACACAGAAAAAACAATAAATCTGAGACATCTTGGCGAACCTCAGACCACCGCAGAGAAAATGAAATTAAACAGACTGTTACAACCTGCAGAACTTTTTCTGTGGTCTTCTTCGTGGTAGGAAGTGTTAAACGGAGTTGTTTCCGGTCCAAATTTCCGGTCCCGGCTTCGTTGTGGTTGCGGAGGTGTGGGCAGGTCCCTGCAGAAACTCCCTGCGGGGGATACAGCATCGCAGACGGGCTGAAAGCTGTCCGGACCCCGGCGCTCGCAGCAGCAGGTCCGCCGCTTGGAGCCGTCAAGATGTCGGTCTCCGGAATGAAGAAGCAGTTCCACAAAGCCAGCCAGGTGAGCGCCGAACCGAGCCGAACAGAACCGGGTTAAAACTCGTGGAGATTCAGGATGTGGGCCGTCGTGTTTCGAGGCTCCAATGCGACACAGGGCCTGGTACCGATCCACCTGGAAGCTTCTCCCCGGGAAAGATGCAGGATGAAGATCCGCCTTGTTTGTGTTTATTAAGATTTAAATTCCCGGAACATCAGAGTGTTGCAGGTGCACTTTGCACTTTGCTAGGATTGTAATTATAGGTTAACCATTAATGATCAGAAAGAGATTATGCCTTAATTCGCTCTAAAAGGTGGAGGGAAAGATTATTTCAAAGCTGATTTTGATTTGACAAGGCCATACAAACTTTTCCTCTGAACTTTGTCTCTAAAATATTCCAATCTGACTATAAGTAAACAAATTTGATCTTCAAAGTCACAGAGGTTCTTGTAAGTTTCAGATTTCCTCCTTAAACAGATAAGACATTAAAAACTGAATGAACTGTGAATAAAACTCAGATAAACATTTAAGTTATTATAAGAAGTATAATATTACTGTGTAATATGGGCGCTCTGTTCATACTTCTTCCTCTCCTTTTTTAAATTTATTCTCCAATGCTGCAAATAAGTAAGTTGTGCTTGTTCTTGTCCTGTCCATAACCTTTGTGGGCAAATTTTCTTAATGCAGCTGAGGTGTTGAGGGTTGAGGTGCAGCGATTTATTGGCCAGCCAATGGTGATACTTGCATGTGACGTCGATCTTTTCTTCCTCAGCAAAGGTCTAGGTTTAGGGTTTTGTCCTCTTCTGTTCTGCAGTGAGAGAATTTTGGCTGATAGACTGTCCCACCAGGTCATGTCTGTACGTTTGCAGTTAACAATTGACCAAAATTGGATTTGACCAGGCAGCCTTTTTAAAGATCATTAATTGGCACTCAACCAGAAAACTGTAGTTGGTGTAGCCCCAGTTGAAGGAATGTGATTCTGTTGGCTTCATCAGACTGTCATTTCCAGTTTATCTGGATCAGTTCAAAGCTGAGTGATTAAGCGCTTTACAATGCGGTAGTTCATACAGTTTGTGTCAACCTATCAAACTCACAGTTATCAATCTAAATTTGAGAAGACCTTCTGTCTTTCAGAGCCTGAAATTTTCAGGAATGTAGTTTTTGATTGATTTCTGAAAACTGTCTAGTTTTCTAGCTCTGATGTGTTTTAACCTGATTTCTGTCGGCAGCTTTTGAACGAGCGCCTGATGGGAGCCGAGGGAACCAAACTGGACGAAGACTTCCTGAAGATGGAGAAGGTGAAAGTTTGAGTTTGTCGTTATTGAGCGAAGTGTCATAAAATCATAAACAAAAATATATACAAAGAAAAGAAGTTTAGCACAAAAGCAAACAAAAGAACAGCAGTAAAGTACATTTACATGGTCATGATACTGTGGTGGAAAGATTACAATAAGGTCACATCTGCTAGTTATGTCACATGAAATGCTTGTGAATTATCACCAAAATAACTATTTGGGTTACATGTACAAGGTTGGATGTTTGTTTTCCATAGCTTCCATCCCTTATCCTTGCATAAAACTCATGTGATCCAGACTGGCTTGATTATTGATTGTCTCATGAACTCCCTGAGTTGTGCACAATTCATGAATAAACCTGATTGAGTGATTTTACCTGAACGGTGCTTGGAAATAGTTTTTTTTTTGCATGACAGTTACACAAAACATTAGCCCTGAAAGCATTTAATGTAAAAACACACATCTTACCAATCTTATTCTTTGTGAAGCTTCAGTGTAAATATCTTAGTATACATGAAATAATACAAAACTAGCTTTAAATGAACTTTTCAGTAAGATATAGGAGCTTTTTTTACAGCAGTAATTTTTAAATATTGATTAAAACGTACTGGGTCCACTGGCAGACATATTTTCCATATTTAATTGAATAAATCTGCCAGTGGAACTAGTACCTTTATCAAAATCAATATTAAGGACTTATTGATCTAAAACAAGCTCATATCTTCCTAAAAAGTTAGTTTTTTTTTCTTATTTCAAGTTTACCAAGATGTTTGCAATGGAAACTAGACCAAAAATAATCAGTGTAATTTTGTGTTTTTTGCAGAGATTGATGATAAAAACTGATTGAACGTCTTCCCTCTGTGTGTTTTTCGTCAGACTGTCGCAGTGATGAACGCTCTTCTGTGTGAGCTGATGTCCAGAACCTCAGAGCTACTCCATCCAAATCCAGGTACCAGATGATGTAACACCCAAACTCACAGTCCAACCGACATCTGAACCAAAGCAGAACCTGTAACACATACTTATAATGAATAATAGAGAAGCACCAATATGAAAAATCTTAGCTGATATCAGTTTTTTATATTGAAATTACTGACTAATTAGTGAAACTTACTGATATTCAATTGATATTTTATATATTTTTCTATCCTTTCAAAGCAAACACCCATCGCTTCTCCTACACACATCATCAGTAAATATCAATGTTGATGCATGAATGTTTTGCATCCCTAATTAATTAATAATTAAAGACAAAGTTTATTACAGATTCTGACAGAAATTAGCTTAAAAAAACAAATATTTGGAAGCTTGTGGGGTGTAGACATGAAGAATAGATTTCATCATTTTATTATGAAAGCCAAGCTGAATAATGAAGTCTGTATGCATGAAAAGCAGAAAATCTCCAAATTAGCACCAAAAATGTGAGAGAAAAAGTTTATTATTGAAGGATAGATGATGATTCTTCATAGATCCAAATATTATTAATTATACTTCAAATTTGAAGGAATATGGAGGAATTTAATGGAAAAATGTAACAACAAAAATGTAATTCTTGGGAAAATATTCCCATTTGAAATAAGCTTCTTCAGGATGTCGCTTATTTAAAGAAGTGTGATAAAATGCACAGTTTTGCCACTGAGCCCTCGTCCTCAGTGGCAAAACTTCTTTTTCTTTCAAGTTTTGTGTTCAGAAATGAAATTGATGAGACAAATTAAAATGAATAAAAATGTAAATTGAAATGTGTTTTTGCAGCCTACAGAGCTAAACTGAGCATGCTCAGCACAGTGTCCAGGATCCGAGGACAGGCGCAGACGCTGGCGTACCCGCAGACGGAGGGAATGCTGGGGAAGTGCATGTTGTTCTACGGCCAGGAGCTCGGACCTGCTTCTGACTTTGGTACACACAAATTAAAATAAATTTAAACAAATTAGGTACCTAAAAAATTGTAGCACTACTTCAATAGAACATAGTGCTACAGTTTTTGTAGCACTATGTGAAGTAGTGGTCAAGTAAAAGGTAGCCATCCAAGAAATTACTCAAGTAAGAGTAAAAAAGTATTTGTTAAAAAGTCTACTCAAATACTGAGTAATTGATCAAATTATCAATCACTTCATATTTGAAACATGCGTAATCAGACAGACCAAAACATAAAGTTCAGTGAAAATTTTGGTATTTTAAGGACCAAAATGACATTTTCTCTGGCCTGATGCTGATTGTTTCCAAATCAGCATCTTTCAATACAAAACTGAAAATGAAACTTTAACACAAACTGCAGTATGTGTCTGTGCCTGATAAATTTTGGGTTAAGACATGTTTTTTGTTTATTCAGTGGCTAAAAAATTGAGAAATTTTACTCAAGAGTAGAAATACTTCCTAATAAAATTATTGAGGCCACTGCAGGTCTGTTGTGTTTGAACTCTGTTAGTTCTGACTCTCTTGGTGTTTTTCTCTTCGTCGCCTCCTGATCAGGCGGCGCTCTGATGGACGTGGGCGGAGCTTTGCAGAAGGTCGGCGAGGCCAAAGACGTTCTGGACGTCGGCATCAAGCGGACGTTCATCGACCCTCTGCAGGGGCTGCAGCAGTCAGACATGAAGCAGATCAAGGTGAGCCGCCATTAAATCCCACCTTGAATCTGTATTCAAGCTGAATTATATGAGCTCATTTGTTATTGGTGCTAGAATCTAGACCAGCAGGAGGTCTGAAGCTTGTTTGTTTACGTTCGATTGGGTCCTCAGTACCAGCTAAAGAAGGTGAACGGCCAACGGCTCGATTTTGACTATCACAAGAGACGAAGAGGAAAAGTGTCAACGGAAAGTGTTCGGCTGGCGTGGGACAAGTTTATGACGTACAAAGAGTTGGCAGAGAGGAGCATGTTCGTCCGGCTGGACAGTGATGTGAGTTGGAGACTAGATGTTTATTCTTTCACAATTTCTGTTTAATTTTGTTCAACCTGTATTGTAGGAAACCGTAAGACAAGTCCAGAGAAAGTTTGGGACTGATTACCAGAATAAAAATCTTCATGACCTGGTTTCCAGAAAGACAAAAAATACACTTCTCTGCACTTTATCCCCCAAAATGTCCTGCCATATTCACTCTTCTCTAATTTTCAAAATAAAATCAAAAAAAGTTTATTGAGGATGAATTTGAAACACTTCAGTCCTTCATAAAAATTAATTTTCACCAATTTTAACCACATTTTAAGCTCTGAAAATCTTAGCCAATTCAATTTAGATAAAAAAGATCATGCAGAAGGATTAGTTACAATAATATAAATAAAATAATCATTAGTTGCATTTCTTCACCTGTGCTCCAATAATTGAAAACATTGAGAACGTCCCAAATGTTCGCATCAAACTAGGAAAAAAAAAAGCTGTTTGTCTGATTAGCACAGATGACTTAAAGGAGAAAATCCTTAGAAATGATGAGTTGGACTTGATTCATGCATGGAGTCAGGAAGCTGTGCTACCGAACCGCTCTGGTGTTTCTCCTGCAGGTGGATCTGATCGGTCCGCTGGCTGCTCTGATCGCCGCTCTGCTCGACTTTCACCGCAACGCCCAACGCATCCTGCTGGACCTGCAACGCAACCTGCAGGCCAGGTGAGTTTGGCTGCACGGATCCACATTTTTCACTTGCATTACCGATATCTGAGGTTTGATATCAGCTGACACCAATGTGATTCAGAAAAACAGTGACTTCAAACATTTCTTTTTTTTTAAAAATACACTGACATAAATGTACTGAATTACAACACACTTAAAAACAAAAATAACTTCACAAGCTTAGTCAAACATGTAAAAACAAATTAACTTTAATTTGTTCAGTCAGTGGAATTGGGACTAGACCAGCCAAAGTAAAATAAATGATAAAATAAACTGAAAAAAACAACAAGTTGGCGACTTTGGTCAAACATGCAAAAATAAACTGCTACAAACTTTCTTTCAAATGACTCAGAAAGTCTAATTACAAATTTTAAATATAGTGTAAGATAAGTCAGGAAGCAGGATCTGCCCTTAAGGATTGATGCATCGTCACCAGTGCCACTCTAGAATATTTTTCATTTTCGTTTCTGATACAGATATTGATATTGGATCGAAGCGTTTCTATCTTAGTGAGACAAAACCAAATGTTTATTGATATCCTCTTCCATGTTTGATTATCAGAGCCTTCAGAATTAAAGTGTTAAGTCTGTCTCCACATAACCTTTGACCTCTGCCTTACGTCAGGTTGACTGCTGCCAGCAACAAACCAGCGCGACAGTTCAGATCCGAAAAGCTTCCCGTCGGAGCCGGCCCCAGCAGTACTGTCGGGTTTGACCCCCAGCTGTCAGCTGCGGCTCCTCGGTCCTCAGGTCTGTTCCAGATACTTCCTCCATGTTGAACCTTTTCAAAGGTGTTTAGAGGTCAACTTTCTTCACCTGAACAAAAACAAAACATCAATTATTCAGCACATAGCACTTAGTTGTTCATTCATTCATAGATCATTTTATGTGCCTGGAAAATGCATAATTCGTCCTTTAAGGCCATATTATGCGAATGTCTTGTGAAACTTATTTTTGTTTTCAGCTAATCTGGACTCAGGAGAAGAGAGCTCGGTGATAACATCCACCCCAGACAGCTTCGTCTCCAACTTCGGTGAGAAAACATCTTCTGGCTGTTTTAGGAATCTCACTGTTTTCCCAGTGAGATTCGAGCGTCTTCCACTCGTTTCAGAGTTTTCGACCTGAGCGCAGCATCAGCGATCCAAACATCTGAAGTTTAATTGGAGGTTTAACTGCCTTTCCTCTCTATTGTCCCTCTGATTTCCTCTCAGCTGACTGTAAGCTGCTCATGAATCAGCCGTGTTGCCGGGCGATTTTCTCCTTCACGTCAAAACGCGACGACGAGTTGGACTTCAGTGAGGGAGAGCTCATCATCCTCACCGGCCAGGTTGACGGCGACTGGCTCGAGGGGACGCTCGGGGAGCGATCCGGGCTTCTACCTGTCAGCTACGTGGAGGTGCTGGTGCCTCTGCCGTTACCGTGACAACGTCTCATCGGACTCTGGAGCTGGATGTTGGATCCGACTTCTGATAATATGCAAGTTCTGACGCTTCTGTTTGCACTTTCCCATAAGTGAATCAGTTATAAAGAGAAACAGGGTCGACGGGTGCCTTCAGGAGAATCCTTCTCACTGCGTTTTTGTTCTTTTTTTCATAAATCGTAGTTTATGAAAACACAAAGAAAAAAAACTTCACGTAGAGTCTGTTGAGTTGCCACTGAACCTGACTTCATGCTCAGCTTTTGGTCTTCAGAGACAACTTCTACAAGTTCCAAGGTTTTATCTTTTACACTGCAAACACTTTCCTTCTTACCAAGTATTGTTTGATCTAGTTTCTAGTGCAAATATCCTTGTACACTTGAAATAAGACAAAACTAATCCACAAGTAATTTTTTTATCAAGATATAGGAGCTTATTTTCAGTAAATGTTGATGAAAGAGTTCTAGTTCCACTGGCAGATTGTTCAATTTATAACAAGACTGAAAAAAAATGCCAGTGGAACATGTTCTTTTTCATCTATATTAAGGAATTACTGATTTAAAAGAAGCTCTTATATCTTGCTAAAAAGTTACTTATAAGTGCACTAAGATTTTCAAATTAGAAACTAGACAAAAAATACTTGGTAAGTATAGTTTGGCCTTCAGTGGGTCGAAAAGTGGCTCAAAATAAATAAAAAAAAAAACGATCAAAAAAGTGAAACACTTAGTTCACCACATGTAGCTGGTAGAGCCACATTCAGCAGGAAAAGCTTTCAGCAGGATTTTTTAATGTTTCTTTTTACTTTTCTGCACTTCTTTGAAGGCCCATCACAGCATTTCAATCAAGTTGAGGTCTGGGCTTCGACTAGGCCAGACCAACACATTGATGCTGTCTTAGATTTGCTGCTGTGTTTGAAGTCATTTCCATGTTGATGACCAAACTTCAGCTGTTGGACAGGTGACTTCACACCTTTGTATACGGAGGAGTTAATGGTTGCCTTGGGAACTGCAAGGTGGCCAGATCCTGGTCCTCATAGTGAATTTGGTGGGTTTTCCACTTCTTTAAAGACGGGCAGCTTTTTATTTTGATCAATCTTTCTCCATGCAGAATGATTGACTTTAGATAATCTGTAAATGATCTCGTAACCCTTTCAAGGTGCAGCAGCAGCTGTTTTTCTAAAATTATGCTGATGTCTTTCTGTCTTGGTCCTGTGTGAAAATACAGACAAACTGCCAACACTCCTTCTTTTAGTACTTATACCGATGGTTACTGGTAAACCAGTAGATCTGATGGCTTAATTTTTCCTTCTGCAAACTCAAAGCAGCAAGAGTGGGGCTCTTCCAAGGAGAGCTCAGGGAGATCCTGGTAGAATTAGGCCAACAGTAAAGCCTAAATGGAGGAAGCAGTTGAACAACAGCATCTAAAGAATGGTTTGTTAGGTAAATAAATCAACTTGCGCTCTGAGGAAGTCGAATCACTGAAAAATCCCAAAGAGTGCTGCAAACATAACTCTTATTGATCCATTTTGTCTTATTTGCTTGTGTTATCAAAACAAAATCAAACAAATAATGTTTAATGAGCTCTGTTTTTCTTGTATTTTTTCTCAGTTTTATACTTAGACTCCATTTCTATCACAAGATGAATTACTGTGATTTTTTTTTTTGTTAAATTTGTGTGACTTCCAATAAGGTGTTATAAAGGTAAAAGCACATATTACAAGAACAATGCATGAGGTTTAAAAACAGTTGAGTTCTGCAGAGGCTAAAATCAGGGAAATTTGTGGTTTGGTTGATTGTAAAGGAAACTAAATCTCAGATCTGTTCAATCATTTTATTTTAATTTAAGCACTGAATAAGCTACAAATGATCACTTAGAGCCAGAAACTGTAAATCATGCAATAATCCTCAGTATAGTTGCTGAAATGTTGGACTTTCCCTTTAATAGAAAGCTACTGAATGTATGTTAGATAATATAATAAGCAGTATTGTTGTGGATCTGTTTTGTAGATTTATTTTACACTGAATAAATGAGATCACATGACTATCAAATTATTGTGGCGCATTCATATTCATGTTTTTTTGTACTTTGAAAAGGTTCCTCTTAAATCTGCTACAAATTTTAATTGAGGACTGTAGTGGCGATTGTTTGTTAAACCAAACATCCAACAAAAAGGTTCCATCAGCCACTATGAGGCACTGGGGTCAAGATTCTTGACGCAGGTGAAGAAGTTTAAGGTCCAAACTTGTTGATTGTCTTGGTTGCTTTTGTTTTTCTTTTTATGCAAGCAATTACAACTATCAAACTTTTCTTTGTTCTCCTGACCTCTCGCACTGGTAAAAACCATAGGCCCCAAACCCAAATGCCTGCTGGTCCTTTACCAGGCCCCTACATTTATACAACGTGGACTGACCCACCTTACTTCCTGTCTGGCTTACAAATAATAAAAAATAGGAAAATATAAGAAAACGAAACAAAAAATAAAATCAATTATTAACCTGCAAAGAAACTCTATAAATAATGCCAAAAAATAGAAGTTTAAGAATAAACTACCAAAATTCAAATGGACAAATAAAGAATAAATAGCTCCTACAAGGACTGATTGTTATGTGTTACTTTGAATTCTCCAAATTTTTTACCAAATATATAAATGTATTCTTTTTGACAAGTCCTGACAAAATGTAGCAAAAATAAAGACAAATCAATGTATTCTACTTACAGAAAACAAGTGACAAAAGTCATGAAATACAATTCAGGACGGGAACAGGTATCATCTTGTAAACTTAGAAATTGATAAGGAAAATAGGACAATGGTTGTAGCCAAACTACAATCATTATTACCATTTAAGCAGAAAAGCAAGGTACTTTCTGGATTAAAAAATCACACAGTTTGCCACTTGCACAGAAACATGAAGGTAGATGTGCACTGGAATCATTGTAAAACTACAGCATTCCCTGATATGAACAAACCTGCCTAATTATTTTATAAATACCAAACAAGTAAGTGAAAGCCCATCAGATTATCAAATTTACATTCTGTCTTTGCAGCTTTAAGGGTTTTGCATATTTCCTGGTGAAAAGGGATCAAACTGACAGACTAATTGATAAAAAAAAAAGATTATTTTAGGTCGAGTCCTGTAAGAATAGCTAAAACAAAGCAGTATTTTCCCATCATAATTTGTTTGAAAATAATATTTTATTAACTACAATATGGAATTTTCTTCTTTATACTAAAAATACCACTGATTGAAATTAAATCACTGAAGTGTGATTTAATATTTTAAGCGCTTTTGTTTTTGTAGTTTCAGCCTTTAGCCATTGGGTGTCACTGCAGTTAAAACTCCGTCGGTTTTAAACTTCCACCGGAAGTCTTCTCGGTCTCTTCTACCAGGCCGATCCAACATGGTGGGTGGCAATTTCACCTCTTTCTGTTTTATCCACATCAATCCTCCCGTTTTATCTCTTTATTCATCCTGATAGTCATATTGATTAACCCCGGACTGCTGAAGCTTGCGATTCACCGCATTATTAACATTAGATTATATAATTTAAGTAGATTATTGTCAGTTAAATCTAGCCGTCGTTAGTCTGAATGAGCATCGGGTTCAGACGTAGACGAGGCCGCAGGTATCAGGTTCTTACTTTTGCGTTTAACACCGGCTCGTAATGTGGTTAAATCAAAGTTGCGGGAGTGTTTCGGTCTGCCGCGGAGACGGCGGGCTCGGTACCCCGGACAGAGGAGCCGGAGGGGGGATCAGACTTGGAGCGTTGCTGCGGAGGAAGCCTCCCGGTTTCACGTGAAAATTTATAAAACGTGCCGTGTTTAAACGTCCTACATCTTGTCAGGTCAAGTTAGATAAAAGCTACTGAACTGGTATTGAAGGTGTCAGAAACGTATTTGAAGATTTGATGCTGTTTTATTTCAAACTGAGCTTCTTTTATGGTTTTCCTGATGCAACTTTGCAGATTACAGCAAGATGATAAAGGTTTATATGCAGCTATTTCGGCTGAGTTTTTAAAAATTACAGGGTTTATCAAGCTTAAAAGGCTGAATAACATGCTGCCATTTTTTTAAAATCTAGAAACAAACTGGATTACAAACTCGGAAGCATTATTTCGTATTGATATAAGTATCAGGAAGAGATGCTCCCATCATGCTTTGTGCCAACAGTTTAACCTGTAGGGGGCAGTATTATTATCTGTAGTCTGCAGGTAGAAATGTTCTGAGGTCAACTGATTCTGAGAATACTACATGGGTTGCTGGTCCTCAAGATGCATTTAATTAAAAATGTGAAGGAATAACGCAGGAGTCTTTTCCAACATGTCTTCCCGATCACCGAATCTGAAATCTTTGCACCTGCAGGGACGAGTCAGGACCAAAACGGTGAAGAAGGCCGCCAGGGTCATCATCGAGAAATACTACACCCGGCTGGGAAACGACTTCCACACCAACAAGAGGGTGTGTGAGGAGATTGCCATCATCCCGAGCAAGAAGCTCCGCAACAAGATTGCCGGGTGAGTCAGCGGATCGTAGCGCGACGGTCAGATTGCAGCGCGGCGGAGGGCAGAAGGAGCTAAAAACCAGAGTGTGTTTGCTCCTGCAGGTATGTGACACATCTGATGAAGAGGATCCAGCGCGGTCCCGTCAGAGGAATCTCCATCAAGCTGCAGGAGGAGGAGAGAGAGAGGAGGGACAACTACGTTCCAGAGGTCAGTGAATGCATCGTTTTCAGGCGTTTTGTTTGGGAGCTGTTCTGGATTTTATTTTTCACTGCTTTAAGTCTACATTTGAAATGTCTGGACTTGGATTTGACCTACTGAATTTACAACTTTTTTTATTTCAATCTTTGAAATGATGGAAAACAGACTGTTTGCTTTCAGTGTCTCCCATTAGTTAAATATGACAGAAAAGGTCTAAATGTATGGAAAGACATCAGAGTTTCCAGACTGAAATCTCTGTCCTGTTGTCCAAGTTAAGAGTTTTCTCAAATTATTTTAATTAAAAAATGGAGACGAACAAGACCATAGTTTTATTTCATATTGAAGAAAACATTGTGAATTGTGCTTTGTTTTTCAAATTGGTTTGAAAAATTGTGGAATTTGATTTCTATGTATTCCAGTTCTGGATAATTAGGGGGGAATTTGAGTCCTTTCTTTCCTTTCTTGTCTCCTTTCCTATTTCCTCATGGCAGTGGAGAAAACTTCAGTGTTTTATTTTATTATTAAATGTAAGGGACTGTGGATTGTAGAAGTCTGGACTTGTAGATCATTTGTAGTTTTTAGTTCGGAGTTTGGCCCAAACACGTTTTATCTAAAAAAACAAAAAAGACTGTATTTACATCTTGTCATTAAAACTTTTCACTCCTTGTGAAATTAAACTTTGTATCAACACAAACAATGGAGCGGTTCCCTGAAGTTCGGTTTAATATCGGCCTGTAAATCCATTTCTTAGATTATCCTGCTGGTTTCTGTCTAGTGTTTCTGCTCCTGCTGACTGGGGGCTCCTGTATCGAAAGTGATCATGGTGTGTTTGTTGCCAGGTCATTGATACTACAGGTACATCAACCTGGGAGCATTTCCCGTGTTTGAAGGACTTCTTGTTCCTCTTGAACCCTGGCGCTTCCAGACAATATTTTAACTATAAATATTAAAAACTGCTGAGAAATGCAGCATTTTTACTTTTTAAATAATGAAATCGGATTAAAAAAATTCATATTCTGCATATTGTCTTAACCACGTAACGATTTAAATGCCCTAGAAAAGCATTAAAAGATGGAAATAAATTTCTATTTTAAACGACAAAAATGAACATTTCCACAGCATGACTTCAGTAAACGCTTTATTTGTAACAAAGGATGCGTCTGCAGTTAAAAATACTTCTAACATCTCAGGCCTTTCTGCTTGAATTAATATTGATACTGTAGAGATGATCTGTTATTTATTGATTAATTAAATTAACCAATAATTGGAAAGCAAAAGGTGCAGAGCTTAAACTTCAGCTTGAAAGCTCTGGATAGAACATATTTACAGAATTATTTTTCTTTTTAAATGGGTAAATTTCTGCTCTGAATGTTTAATTCTTTATCAATTGTTGAATTATAAAATCCAGTTAATGTTTTATTAATTCTTAAATTAGTTTACTATTATTTAAATAATTAATCTCGATTAATTGTTTCAGCCCTGTGTGAAGCGTTTCACTGTTTTTTGCCGGTTTTAAGGCTTCGGATTCTGCAGATCTCCGTTGTGACCATCTGCTTTCTGTTTACCTGTGCAGGTGTCTGCTCTGGACCAGGAGCTCATCGAGGTTGACCCCGACACCAAGGAGATGCTGAAGCTGCTGGTAAGTTTCCACGCTCGTCTTTTCCTGGATCTCTTTTGGTTCTGGACCAGATGAGTTAAAAGGAAAGTTTTGAAAAACTCCCTGAAGACTAAAGGTGCCGCTGTAAGAAGTTGGTGTTTGGCGGCGTTGAGGGATCGTCGGGTCGTTTCTGCGCTCATTAGCGACATCACAGAGGGAAAGTTGAGGGTTTGGATCAGAACTTCTGAGAACATTCTGTGGAGTCCGCTTGGAGATAACGACCTGGATGTTTTGTTATTACTGGCTATTTAATGGCTGTTGGCGCGTTTATACAGAGAACTTTTTTTTTTATGTTTTGGTTTGTTTTTGACTGGGAAAAACCTACTGGATCCGGATAGCTCCCAGTTAGACGGATTCAGAAAGGCTGAAGTTGTGATATTAAGGAAGAGAAACTAAAATGATCCGCTGGTTCGACTGATTCATCTGGTGTCATATTGTAATCAGATTAGGATTAATTCACAGTTGAAACCAAATATATTTACATACGCTGCCAAGAAAGAGACTTTTTGTCTTTTTCTGAAGTTAATTCTGACCAAATCTATATTGTTTATAATTATTTGTTTGCCAAGTAATGAGACAGAGAATGTCGGATTTATTTTTACATTTTTTTCAAAAAAACAGCTCGGCATTCCATGGTGACAAATGTTGCTGGGTGATAAATTGTCCCAGAAGTTATTCGATAATACGATAATATTGTCGTTTCGGAACCATTTTTAAGGAATAGAATTGTAATTATATAATAACAGAAGAAAAGATTCTGAAACATTTTTGTATTTAATTTGTTTTCAACAGGTTTTAAAAAAAAAAACATAAGATCCGTAAACTTTACATTTTAATGAACATTTTTCACTCCAGTTGGAAGACATTTTATTACATTATATACATAATAAAATACAACAGCAACAAACTTTCTTTCAAATGGTTGGGATTGTAATTAGAAATTAAAAATATAATATAAAATAAAGCATTATGTCGCTCAGAGCACAAAGCATAGAATTAGACTGAATAGATGCACCTTGTGGATCAAACTCATCATCAATATCCAATGTAGAATTTTTTTTTTTTCAGTATCGAACTAGTTACAGATATTATCGAATTGTTGCATCTCTTGAGAAAATGTTTGTCTCGTCCAATAATGATCAAAACTGAGATTAGCAGCAGATTACGTCTAGTGAATTTGTGTGTTTGTTTTGTCCGCCTGTATCGAAAGGTGGTGGCAGCGTCTTGGTCGCTGCTGTCATTTATTACTACAGGCAGATCAAACCGAGAGCTTTCCCGTGTTTGAAGGATCACTCGTTCCTGTCAGACCCTGACGCTCTCGGACAAATCATGTCCCGGGAAGACCGCTCACCTGTCCGCGTCTCACACCTGTTCATGTCTTCTCTCTGTCTTCTTGCAGGACTTCGGCAGTCTGTCCAACCTGCAGGTCACCCAGCCACCTGTCGGCATGAACTTCAAGCAGCCCCGAGGAGTCTAGACGTCTGTAAACTTTATTCCTAATAAAATCCGTTTGGGACAAAAAAAAAAAGCCTCTGTTGTGCGGGACTGCTGATTTCTGATGTGTTATGTTTCACTGGAATAAATTTAGATGGAGTTTGAATCCTGCCACTTCTAAGATCTTTGAAGTGACATATTCAGTATGTTTTATGAAAACATTTAAACAAACAAACCCAGTAAAGCTGGGCGATAACTTGATTTTATTGATTGTACTTTTGGCTTTTGGAGATTAAATCTTGTTTTTTCACCAATGAACTCCTCGGGTTTCCGTAGTTCAGCGATGTCAACACGACCAGAGCCGCCATCTTGTTTCACAAGCATTTATAACAACTTCTTGTTTGTTTGGACTTTGAATTCAGATTAACTCTACAACAGAATATGAAATTGTGATTGCTCGAGTTTGCTTGAGGACCCCCTATATGAAAATACAAACGTGCTTTTGTAAGGGAGACGTGAAATGGACTGAAGCAATAACCAGAAATTGCTGATTCTAATCTTTTACAAGCTCTCTCTGCCGAAGGAACTGTTACTTTGTATGTAGTTTTTTTTTTTTTTGAAAAAGAAAAAAGTTAAAATATTTAAAAAATGTAGTTGAAATAACATGAGGATAAAGTAATATTAGAATGAAGTGTAATTTCACAAAAACTACCCAAAAAAATGTAAATTAGGAATATTGAGAATCTTGTGAAGTTACACTTTGGTATAAGTTTCAGACACTACTTGATAGAAATACCCTAACTTGAAAATATCTTCTGTTTTAAGTGAGGGGGGGAAACGCCTCTGGAATGAGTGTATTTTGAAAACCATAACGCCCAGCCCTAATCAGTTAAATTTCTGTTTTTAAACAGTTCACGTGGCTTATAAAATGAAGCAGTCTCAGTTTAAAGCAAAAACATCTTTAATGCAGAACACACATTGATTCCACACTGAAGGCTCCTTATATGCAGCCTGGATGTTTGTCTTTCTAATGGAAAATTTACAGCTTTACAATACACTCTTGATGGCGTTTTGGCTCATAAGCACTTCAGCAGGAAGAAATTGCAGAAAGCTCCTCTGGGACAGTCGCACATCTTCCCGATCCGAGATCCTTTCCTGACGGCGCAGTGTTCCCCAAGGTCACACTGAATACAGAGGAAGAAATTAATGATAAAGATGGTTAATGATGTATCTGATATATCATACAGATCTGAGCACTAATCATCAGAAGGAATGTAAGACATTCATTTTTCACAATGAAATAAAGCATCAAACTGAAATCAATCTAGAAGACAAGAATTAGGAGCTCAAGTTTGAATTTTGGGGGATTTCTTAATCTACTCCACATTAAGGATGCACAATATATCGATATTAACTTTCGTATAAGCCGATGTTGGTCAGAGAAAAACCTTAGTGGTTCGATAAGGAAAACACACTTTTTGCAGCATCTCAAATTCATGTATCTAAAATTAAGACCTTAAAATATCTTACATTTATTAAAAATATATAATATGGCCTTAAATAATCACAAATTTAAAATTTTCGTCATAGGACAATTTAATCTCACATAATATGTATTTTTTATTTCTTGTGCGACTTTACTGTCAGGCAAAATTTTCAGTCACCCGCAGACATTTAGGCTACCGCTAACTAGCTGCTGGCTAGCTGGCTTTTGCTGTAACGGAGGAAAATACATTTTCGAACGCAATCACGTTGTAACGTGTTAATTATATTGTTTAATCGTGTTCTAAAATGTGTCTTCCTCTGTGACATCAATGCGATTTTGTACTTTATTATATCTCTTATGTAAATGTTTTGCTAGTCGGCTAAACAACGTTCGTCTTCCCCGTTAGACCACAACCGTTGCCAGTTCACATGTTGCTAGGTGCATTCTGTGCTAAAAACTCGGCACTACTACTATAAAACATTTCTGTTGAATATTTCAGTAGTTATACAAGTGTTATATTTAATTTGTAACGGTCTTAAAAAGGCTTAATGACGTAGTGGAATCTGAAGAAACCCTGTTCAAAACGGGGTCGGCCATTTTGTTTCGCAATGTTAGCAATCAGATGGTCCAAGGAACTTAATGAATACCCCAGATGGAGAAATGTTGATTAGATGAATTGAGAATATTTTTGTAGCCAATTTTAAATCAATTTTAGGTTGTTTTATAAAAATACTTGGGAATTTGGACAGGATCATCACGTCTGAAAACAACTGGAACACCAGTGTCCATTTTTGCATGGAGCACAAACACTTAAATTACAAATTAATGAATAAATAAAGTTTTAGGGTCTGACGAGACAAAGATTTGAGCTGATTATCCTCAAACATAAGAACCTGAAGCCACTTGGTGGCTGCATCATCCTGTGGGTCTGTTTCACTACCAATGGTACTGGTGCATTTCTTCACCCTCCACTCTTCAGTCAGTTCAACCTTGGACAGAGGTGGATGTTGCAACAAGGCAATGATCCCAAGCTGGCTTAAGATTGGATAAAGTAGAGCAAACATTTCTCCCAAGTGTTAGCTTCCTGCTGAAAACTGATAAATTACGGTTAATTAACTTGTTTAGGTGAACTCTAAGCATCACACCAAGAGCAGAGGCCAACTATCCACTCAGAATGAAGCTGTTTTATTAGCTAGCTAAAGTTTGGATAATTTTAACACTGACTTGTTTTGACCAAATCCATAAATTGTGCACTCAACTTTTATCTTTAAAAATTATTGCTATGTTATGCAGTCATTCCACTTTGGAAAAAGAACGATTCACATTCAAAGTCATTAAAAGACAAAAATTAATCATATTTATGCTGATGATTTGCAGCTTTAACACATCAAATCTAAATTTTACGCATTAGAAGTAAACAAGGAAACCTGGACATAACCTGAGGTATTAAATAATTATTCAAATAATTTTGCCTTTATTAAAGTGACTAATTAAACCTAATATTATTGGTTTAAATTGTAAAATATATGCTTTTTATAATAAATTTCATGCAATGTTCTAGATTCTTTTGTCAGCAATGTTTCAGTTTTAGTTGTACTCTGAAAATTTCTGAATATATTTCAAGTTGAGAAAAAGGATCTGCAGAGACTCACAGAAGGAACCTGTCCGTATTTCTTCTCCCAGGGATTGATCCTCTTTGTTTGCAGCTTCTCCAGAACTTCATGCAGCGCTCCCAGCTGACAGGAAAAGACAAGAAAAGTGAAACTGCAGAAGCATTTAGGCAATAAATGCTTGGTTCAGAAGGGTTTATTATAATTTTCCAATTTATAAAGTATTTGAAAGAACTTTTAAACACATTTCCAAATAAATACAATTTAAATGTTTATTATTATACTTTTTCTTTAAATACTTTATTTATTTAATGATTTTAAAATATATTTTGCTCTTTAAATGAAGAATTTAAGAAATTTAAACAAATAGAAAAATCTTTAAAAAAATAAAACATTAATTAATACATACAAAATTCTTAGGATTGGAAGAAGTAATGATAATTTATAGAGAAGTGGCCCAGGCAGATAATCTGTGCAGGGAGCAAAACATTAATAAAAGTACATTATTAAAACGTTTTTAATTCTATAGTTCTTTTATGTTATTGCATATAATCTTTTGAGAAATTTTTATTTTATGTCCTATCAATAAATATGAGTCAAAGAAAAATATTTTTGGGACATAAAATATAATAATATAATAAAAAAAATTCTATTTAAAAATGCAATTTATATAGTTTTATAACGTATAACATTAGTCTATTTAATTTTAAAGAGATTAAGCTTCTATATGCGTCTCACAGGTTTATTTTTGATGCATGTAGTTTTTTGTGAGGAGCTCACCAGTCTGTTGGAGTTGCGGTAGTCCTGCACCTCTCTCTCGTCCCTCTCGGCTTCCGTCGAGCCGGCCGGACACAGAACCGACAGTAGCGCCGCGCACAACACAGCACGCGCCCACATGCCGACAAAACAACAAACAAACAAGCAAAGCGCGGGAAAGTTACAGGTCAGATCGCGAGTTGACTTCACCTTCCTCTACCTGCGACTCACGCACTGAATGCCGCGCGCTCCGCACCGCGGGTCATCTTTGGACCCCTCGATGACGTCATTGACGTGACGTAGAGGCTGTTTTTGTGTGTTGTTTTTGTTTCATTAATTCAAACAGTTTGACTAAATCTAAGCTCTAGTTGTTTTTTGTTTTTATTAGAAAACCTCTCAGTAGAAAATACAGGAGAAGAAACAGAATGAAGACGAGCTTCAGGGAAATAACCCGGGTGTAGGCAGAAATCCAGATATAATCCTGAGGATTATTTCACTTATAAATGATGTGACCAGCTTGCAGAGTCAGGTGGTTGTGTGACACAACAATACCAAGATGGACAGGAATAAGCAATATAATTTACTGTCCCACTGTGGGGAAATACAGTTAACGGTAACAAGAATCACAAACTAAGATAAAAAAAAATAACCCAGGTTGCAACAACCTAATCAAAGTTCATATGCTGCTTATGGGAGCTGTACAGAAGTTAATGTTTGTCCTGAAATGCTTCTAATAATTGTGAATGCTTTGAATTTGTTTCAAATTAATTAACTCAATTTGCATCCCTCAATAAATTTGCAAAACTAATTGTTCATAGCTGCTGCACACAAATGGGAAAAAAGCTGATACCTTTGGTGCAGCAACATGTTTTCCTCCCTGATTAGCATCAGACTGATCCTCTGAAGAAGCAGCTTGTTTATGGATGAACCAGTCAGCTTTGAGAAATTCAGACACATTGCTTCTCAGACATTTCTGCGATAAAACAAACATATTCATCTCCCTTCTTATATAACAAACTTTGAAACAGTGTAAGAGACGTGACAGTCACTTTATGGCTGCAGCACTTCTATTTATATTTCCCATCAGTTTGCTGGGATAAAGATATTACTGTCGGCGCCTTTCATCCGAACACAACTTAAACCCTCCTGACAGTCAGAGGAGCTGCATCTGAAAATCCTCGCCTCTCACATCGTAAACAAACCGGAAACTGGAGGATGTGACATTCTGTTGATCGCACCTCATTCATCACTGTCACAGCGTGACGACGATTAGCTTTACAGGACAAAAACATTCAAAATATAGTCAAAGACAAAGATACAGAATACTTCTAGAATACTTCTAGCATTTGCAACCTTTCTTTGTTTATCTCAAGTTCAGTTTGACTTCACGACAGACACATTTAGGTTTACTAAATTTATTCAAATAAGAGAGAAAATCAACATTTGTCCAGCAGCTTCTGCCCCCATAGATTAAGTAAATTACAATAAATAGCCCTAAATAAACTACATAAACAGAGAGGTTCAGTGATCTACTCTACTGAACCGCCATGTTGGCAGGAAAATCCAGGACAAAGCATAGATGAATCATAGCTTTGAGACCAACAAAAAGAAAGTATAAGGAAAAAATAAAAAGTTAATATTGTTTATAAGTCAGATAGTACCCTATAATGAATACTCATTCAATACCACTCTGATGGGTTGTGCATAAGATTGACAACATTCCTGTCATGACTGTGAGGAGTATTTATGAATGTCTGGCTGTTCTCATGACGTGTCATTTCAGGAATGACACTTTAATACAAACGTGCCTTCAAAGTAAAGTATCAACTTTGCATTAGCCATAATACGAAATGATGCAAATTTGGCAACAAAATAAAATTAGTCTGCAGCACAACTGGATATAAATGAAGTGGAAATTATAAGCGACGCCTCCCACGTGTCAAAACATTGAGCAAATTCTCAAATGCCTACTGTAACTGTCTTGGTGAATTTTTATCTGCTGGGGAACTAAACTTCAGTTGAACTTCACTAGTTGGATTTTGAGGTCTTCATTTGGACAATCCAGATTTTTCAATCGTTTTTCCTTTAATCTGAGTACAACTTGATCTGGATGTTTCATTGCATTCTCCAAAACTTGATATTTCAGTTAAATCCTTTTCACTTGCAGGTCCAGTTTGGACACAGTGTGATCTTCAGCTTAATGGTGAATTTAACTGGAATTTAAATCAGTTCTGGGACAAATTCTTGGTCAGAGCTAAATCCAAAAGGGGAACTTAAACTGGTGCATTTCAGCTCCATCTTGCAGAGCTGATCTGTTTGACTGAAATTTATTTTGGCTCAGTCAGAATAGGTTCAAGCTTATTTTATTTAACTTCACAATTCTGACAAATTGGCACCTTGACTGTTTTTGAGCCCATGATGTTCTTTTCACATGTAAAATGTTGGAAATCAAAGTTGCAGTTTTCTTTGAGTGAAATTTAAAGTTTGAAACATTGAAACATTATCTAAATCCATCGGACCGTCAGAGCTTACCGTCTTCATGATCAACTTCTTCATTTTCATCCTAATCGCCTCATTCTGTCCTATCTGCATGAGCAGCTAATGACCTCATGCTATCTTTTAATTGCATTTAATCAGTGACCCATCAGTTTGGAGAAACTTCAAGGATTTAAAAAAAACCTGGATTACATCTGACACCAGACATGAAATCATTTCAGTTAAATTAAGTCATATTTCAACTGACAAGATATTTGCACAAGAAAGTAGACAAACACACTTGGTATGATCTTGTGTTTTTGCAAAAATTTATGAGTTTGAATCTTTATGGAGTTTGATGCATATATATGGATTTGATCTCTTATAGTCTTTTAATTTGGTGCTGCATAAATAAACTGCAAACTCCTACAACAGGGGTGCTCAAGTCCAGTCCTCGAGAGCTACCGTCCTGCAACTTTTAGTTGCAGCCTTACTCCAGTAGACCAGGCTCAGCTGGTCTACTGGAGTAAAGCCTGGTAACGAGTCATTCATTTGATTCAGCAGGGATGCATCTGATAGTTGCAGGATGGTAGCTCTCGAGGACTGGACTTGAGCACCCCTGTCCTACAACATGTGACGATTCCATGTTTCATAAGAGTTTAAAAAGAACTCCATGTTTAACATTACATGGAGAAATATTCATCAGATGCTGCAGAGGGTTTAACTCCGGGACTCCTGGGGTTTCCGAGGACTTGAACGCCTCCTCTTTGCAGACATCTCTGATCAGCATCAAGTAATCAACCTCTGAATCAGAGAGCTGTGAATTAGTGAAGCTGTAATGAGGCTCAGATTGTTCCTGTTCAAACTAAAAGACTTCAGAGAGCCCGACATGAAAGGCCGAGTAGATAAGGACCGAATATCAAAGGTCCGCTGACTTTCTTTCTGCAGCCAGTTTGGCAAACAAACTTTCTACTTGGTTTGGTAAGTTGTAGAATTACATAAGAATCACCTCAGTCAGTTTTTCTCTGTGTCTGTCTTCCTCTGCTGATCCAGGATCAGCAGCTTTACGTCTGCGACTGTCAGGGTGAGGAAGGGTTTCAGACGCTGCGCTAAGCCTCAAATGACTGAACAAACATTTTCCCCCCAAATGTAAAGGATTCAGAAGCTTATGTGCTCAGAAGCTCCTCATCGGCTGCTGCTGGACCGTGGATCATCTCTGCAGTCACTTAGTGAAGGTTTCATCTTGGCATGTCTGCTGTTCAGCTGAAACCCACTGAAGGAATGTATAAGTAATTAGAAAGCAATATTAACATGGTTGCATAAGCGTTTACAGCTTTAAATAAAAATGTTTCTGAAACATCTCTAGTTGCAGCATTTATTCTTCTGGATTTTACAACAGTGAATCTGAAGAACCAGAAATAAACCACAGCTGTTCTGGCAGGCAGCATTCCTTTCTTTTCTTTGTTTTTTTTTTTAATTTGCTTATAAACATCTTTTAAAAATTGTTTTGCAGAGAAATTAATTTGCTGAAGATTAAACTTAAATCAACCAACTGGAGTTTGAAGTATCCTAAAGGAATTTTATTTCACATTTAGTTACATTATAAGTTAAAATGGGTCTACTTTTTCCACAAAACTTACCTTTTATAATCTAAACAGAAGTAAAAAAAAAAAAAAAAGCAGTAAAATGTGCTGGTTGAGGATTGTTTGGTTGTATTCCAGCAGTGCATTAGCGCCACCTACTGCTTTGGATTTGTAAAAGCTATGATGTGTCTCAGCCCTAATAATCTTTGCAAATAAGTTTTGAAGCACATAAGTGCTTCTAAACTGCTAAAATATTTCAAATCATACAACAAAAATAATTCAGGAACCTGGTGCTCAGCTACATTTTTATTTGAAAGTGACTTATTTCATACTGGAGCCCAGCTTGGATTGCTAGGTAATGGGTTGGACTTAACTAGGCTCATTTTCTAGACACCAAAATATATAAACTTATTACCAAAAAAATCGTCTGGGCATTTTTATAAGCGTTAGCGATCCAAACGGAAGTACGAAAATGTGAGCTTTGTGTAATAGGTTCTGTTTTTAAGGATGGAAATCCTCCTGTTTTCCACGATTACACACAACCATTTCCACGACTCTGTGGAAAAGCTCTAACCAGTCATGTTGCCGCTGCAGAGACCTGACACTTGTCTTCCAAGTCATTTTTTCGTCTCACTTTATGTTTTCCCAGCTACATCCTCAGAAGAATCTGTTCAGAAAACTGAAGGATGAAAAGATGTTGTTGATCTCAATATGGGAGAAGTTCCAGTCCCTCTGATCCACTACTGGTCCAGCTGACTGGTCAGAAGGTAACTGAACCCAGTCTTTGCCGATCAGCTGGCTGCCTGCCGGAGCCTCTTTAGCACCTCCTCCGGATCCAACGAGGAGTCCACCTTGATGACTTTGTCTCTGGATCTAGAACCCTGGAGGGTAAAATGTTGTTGATCCATTGGAATAAAATTTACAAGTTAAGGAAAAAAAGGGTTAATCTAAATGATGAAATGTTAACTGTAGCTTAAAGAGCTGCTGACTGAAAAGCTATTCAGTAAATATTATTCATGCTGAATTTTATCAAGATAAACTCCTAAATTTATCTTTATGTCTTCACATTTTAAATATGGCTGTGACTGTAATGAATTAAAAAATTAACTCAATTAATCACATTTGTTGTTTGCATTTCTTTTTTAATATGAAATTGTTTATTTTTTGTCATGTTTTTAATTAAAACTTGATTAACTTAAACAGATTCATAAAGGTAAACATGTAAAATGTAAATTAATTAATGACTCAGTTGAGTTAGTTTTAATCTGTCCTGTAATCTTTTGAAGTGTTTTTATTCTGTAGTATCCCTTGGAATGTTGGAGTCCAATGATCGCTGATGAACACATTAAAAACAAAAACAGATGTAGGAGTTTCAGAAACCTTGTCCAGTGAAATTTGGCTCTTCTTCAGCTCCAGAACTTCTGCAAGGTAGCGGAGAAGCTCCGTGTTTGCTTCTCCGTCTGTAGGTGGCGCTGCAATGGAGACGCCTACAGCCTGAATGGAAACATCTGGAAGAGAGGCAGAACAAAGTGTGAGCTCTGTTTTCGTAACAGATCAGATGTCGGTGCAACGTGAGGCCGACCTGTGATGCTGCTGAGTTTGGAGCCCGGCTTCACGTGCACTGTGATGGATACAGATCCGCTCTTGTCACGGGTTACCGGACCAGAATCCGGTGTCTCTGCAGTTCCACCTACAGCCTCCTTCACCTTTCCTTTCACCTGTTTAACAGCACAGAGGTTACTGGATAGTTTTATTATATCGATCACCACGTTGGTAATACCTTCACTGTGTGACTGGATTGGCTTTTCTTTGTGTCATTAAAATGATCTCAGCCTGAAGTGCAGTTTAATTTTTAATGTAAATTTAAGACTATTTTAGTCTTGATTATCCTGCAGAACTTAAGCTTATTTTGAAATACCTCAATACCTTACGGAAGCTAGTATTAGCCCAACTTATCTTATTTTAATTCAGCTTGCATTTACGCCTCAGATAATGTAACTTAATTTGTTTTATGCACATTTGTTTTACTTTAACTTGCTTAAGGTTAGCTCTGCACAATACATTTTTCATTATCTAAGCATAGCTTAGCATATGCCATCTTATTCTAGCAACCCATATTTTGGGTCACTTGTAGTTTTCCTTATAATAGGGTTGTGTGGTTTTCTTTGTTTTTATCCTTACATTAGCTTGGTGTATGTTAGCTGATCTTAATGCAGTTTACCCCATCTTTGAATAGTTTTTTCCATCATATTTTAGTTTATTTTGATTTTCTACAAATTAACCTAACTTCTTTTGGCAACATTTGTCTTGTTTTGGTTAGCTTGTTGAACTTTAATTTATCTGTATGCTATACCATTTTAGAATCTCTCTATTTAAATAAATTAAAAAAAAAAACTCAGATTACTCAATATTAGTCAAGAAACATGAGAGGCTGTCATTAGTTTGATAATTTGCAGAAAGATAAGAGGGAATTTTCATCAGCGCAGACAGTGCATGTGCACCCAGTAATGTTACTGGCTCTTAACTGCAACATCTAAGTAGAACTTGTGCTGATTCTGCTGGAGTGACACATTTGTCACTGCACATATGCTGTTTTTTTAACAACTCTAAGTAGTCTGTGGGAGTCTGGTTGAACTAGAGTTTAAATTTGCAGGCTTTAGTTTCAAATGAATAGGAACGAGGGGGTGCTGGAAAAATATTTACGTCTTTGCCTCTTCCTACGCCACTGAAACGTGTAGTGTCTCATTTTAAAACATATTTAATAACGATAGTTTTCTACTGCAGGAGGTGCATTTGAATGCAACATGGAGCCGCAGGCGTCTGTTCTGTGCAGTGCAGGAAGTTCATAATTAATTAGATTCAATGAAAACAGTGCAGTAACCCTTTAACGACAATGGGACTTAAACGAGGATCGATTAAAGATCCTGACAGAAACGCTGGACCGTCGCCGCTTCAGGTTCAGATTCGCATTCGGACTGACCTCTTTCTGCTTCCGGGGCATCACTGTGGTTCTGGAGGACCGGCGGGTGGACCAAGAGGAGCAGCTAAACACCGGGACCAAGTCAGCTGCAGGAACACGGGTTAGAGGTTCGAACCGAATCTGTTTGAAACATCTCATCAAACCACCGCCGAACCGGGGGAACATCTCCTCCAGGAGACCGAGAGCCTCTCCGCGTAGCGCCTTCTGCTGGACTGGAGGGGAACTGAACAGATTTAAAGATAAATAGTTAGGACATTAGCAATTGGATTATGTAAGAAACAAGGATCAGCCGTTTATTCTACAAAGATTTCTGAGTTTCTTGAAGCCTGAATCTTTTTCTGACTCCAGTAAATTTGGGATAAAATTAAGCTTTTGTTAACAGTTTTTTCATCTTCGTCACTTATTTTGCAGCATTATGTCAGAGCAGATGAGGATAAATGACCTGCTCTGGACCAGCTGTACTTTTTAGGACAACGTTTCGTCCTGCTAAGAACCAAACATTTTGGTTTTGATTATCAAACCAACATGTTTTCTTGTTCAGAAAAATCCACAACCTGAATCTTTGCTTGCCAGATTGTGCAATTCTTCCTGTTCATTCATTTCTGGTCTCTTTTGTTCATATTTAGTTTGTCTTTGAGATTCAAATGTAAGAACTGTGTTTTTTCATCTGTTTATCATGGAACTGTACTTTTTCTGCTTGAAATGTTTCATCTTCTTTTTAACTGTGATGTGATTTACGTTTGTTCAGTTTTTAAGTTTGCTCCTGGGTTTTTCTGTTCTAACAGGACTTAACTATGTCAGAGAACACAGATCTCTCACACAAATTTAGTAAATGTCCTCATTTACTGAACATTAAATAAACTAGTAAACTCCATTTTATTTAGTAGCTTCAGTCGACAATGTTCTCTGAATCAGTCTGTACATGTCTTGAGTTTTAGCAACGCCTTGTGGACAAAAAGGAAACTGCTTCAAAAGTGAAACTTGAAAATCTTTCAGGAAAATTAAAGACTTTTAACTTTACTATGATATGAAAGCAGTTTATCCTATTAAAGCATAAGGAAGAGTAATTATATAACTCAGACTTTTCCCACTTAAAACAGAAAATCTTTCAAGTTTTGGTTTGAAATCTTATCAAATATAATTTCTTGTCTAGCTCTCATACTAATAAATATTGTATTTTTACTATTTGTATTGCATTTTAGATAATCTTAGACATCCTCCCCTCTGCAATTAAGCAGCAATGTCTGCATGAGAGGACATATTAAATGCCTCTTTTGGAAGGTAGCATCGCTAACTCAAGAAGACGAAGATTCCTTCACATTTTGCTTTTACAAAAGTCTTTGAGCTGATTGATTGACATAGCAATTTCAGCTGGAGCTTTTACTCTACATGATCGAAAAATAATTCACCATGCTATAATAGACCTAAATGTGAGCCTAGATGCGGTTTGACCTTTGCAAACCTTGTGATGAGCTCTGTTCTCCTACACTGTAAAAACACAAAATCTTACCAATTTTTTTTGGTCTCGTTTCAAGTGCAAATATCTTAGTTCACTTGTAGTAAAACAAAACTAACTTCCAGCAAGACACAGAAGCTTTTGATTAAAAAAAGCATAGGTTCTATTGTTAGATTATTTCACTTATATCATGGGAAAAATGTTTAGTTGTAAGTGAAATAATTTGCCAGTAGAACTACTGTACTATTTTTGCCTGCAGGTTTTTGAAATGACTCGTTTTCCAGACATCAAAAAAATCTTAGCTTATTGCCAAAAAACTGGATGGGAGTTTTTGTCTATTCTTAAGTGCTTGGGCTGTTTTTAGTAGCATCTGAGACCCAAATGGAAGCACAAAAACATGCAAAATGTGAGTTTTGCATAATAGATTCCTTTTAAAAATATGAATTTCTTCTAAAGGTTCTTTTAAAATCCGACTAAAAATTGGTTTGGTTGAAGCACTGACTGAGCATCCCTCAAGGTCAGGTGCAGAATGTCATTTTAAATATTCCTCCAAATATGAAACTTTGTCTGCAGGTAGCTTAAAAACATGAGAGAGATTATGATGAATTCTCAGAAGCAGCTGATTTAAAGCTGCGTTGCTGTGCAGAATGAGGTGGAGCGAGCAGGAAACCCATGGAGCTGATAAGTATTCAGACCTTGTCTAGACTGCATCAGGACAGAAACGCCTCCCCCTCCTCTTTCTCTTCCTCTTCCTCCTCCTCCTCCTCTCTCCATCGATGCTTTGGGATCTCCTTCATCCAGGCAGGAGCAGAGGAAGGAAACAGAGGGAAATCCCACTCCTCTTCTCCCCGTCCTGCACTAAAACAAGGCAAGTAATCCACCTCTCTGTCATTTTTCATCTCCGCTCTGTGGCTCTCACTCATTTAACTATTAATATTTAATTCTTCTTAGGGAGCTGCCGCATTTGGCTGCTTTAAATCCGCATTTAGTTTTGAAGTTCTTTCCCTGAAACTCGCTGCAGTGATGCATCAGGAGATGCGTCTTCCAACTGTTACGTAACGTGGCGTTTTTGCTCGTTTGTGTGAAATAAAGAACAGCTGTTCTGCTGCTTCACATCTGTAATAAAACACAAATAAAGCCCAATGCAGGGCCATTTTCAGGCTCTGCTCTCATCATTAATCTGCAGGTCCTGCAGGCAGTGACAGCAGCTTGAAATGTTTATAGATGGCTGATATTATAATTGAAGTAGCTGCACTTTCTGTGGACTGTGGAATGGATTGCTATGAATAATTTTCTCAGTAAGAGACACAAATTTTATATGATTAAAAAATCTTTTTTTTAGTAGCTTTTGAAGGGGTGATAAAACAATTCAGTGTAACAAATATCACTCTTTTATAGATAATTGAATTGTTTTTTTTTTGGTTCTTGTCTGTAAATTTTTTTCCTTGTTGCGTTTTGAGAAACTTCCAAATCTAAATTTTTGATAAATAAATGGGCAGAGAGTAACGTTGTTCAAATTAAAAACAGTCGCTGTTCATAGAAAAGTGTCAAAATAATTTAAAACCAATTAAAGCTACGACAGTTACATAAAAATTGGAAATGCTAACTCATGATTTTACTTTACTTCTAAATATATCCATATGTATTTGTTTTTGATTACATCTTTTTTCTTTTTCTTTTATCTTTTACACTTGCTGACAAAGCAGAGTTTGGTAAAAATTGTATGCTTTATTAAAGTGTTTGCAATTTTTGATCACATCCATTAAGGAATAAACTATGCAAGAATTATTTTTTTACAACTACTTTTTTTCAATTAACTTTTGTTAGTATCATATGTGAACAAAATAAATACATTTAAGAAAAATACAGATCTTCAAATAAATAAAAATCAAATGTAATCATATAAAATCAAATAATAATAAATAATAAATAGCTTCAGCAGATATATGAATAGCGTATTTTGGTTTAAGAACAAAAAGTGCTTGAAAACCTTGAGTTCTGTTGGCTTTTCACCAAACACTGAAGGTTGTTCTTGGTTTTCAAACAGCTTTATTATCATTGCAATAATTATTCAAGCTTGAATTAATAGCCTGGCTCTATTTTTTTTGTCTTTTTTGATTCTCAAGAAAGCAAATTTTACAAAACACATAGTCACAAAAATAACCGTTACAGTGATTGGGATGAAAAATATGATAATGCAAAATAAATAAATAGTAAGAAATGCAAACAAAGAAATAAAAACACAAACTATTATTAGAAGGTGGCCATGTCTCATTAAGGTTGGTCACTAAAAATAAAATTGGATCTCCTGAGTTTTACAGTCTTCCCATTTGCTCCGTTTTTTTAATGCCACCTCTTTAATTTATGCTTTCAAAACTTCAATCAGGTGATGCTTCACCTTTAAGAAACCAGTTTGGGTTCATTCAACAATCTCTTTTAATCTGCAGTTAGGCTAAAAGGGGGAAGACTTTTAACACGTCATGAATTGTTTTAAAGGAATCCTGCTTCTCTGAATCTGCACTCCTCAATTAATTCATGAATTTTCTGAGAGAGCTGACAGGACGGGGGGCTGCAGAGAGCGCTGTTTGGGCTTTTTTATAATGCATGAAAAAGGAAACAGACGGGGGGCGTAATCAGAAAAAAGATGAAGGCGGAGGAGGGGAGGAAAGTGGCTGTGAGAGGAAGGAAAGAGGACGATAAATGTGGGTTTTATGATCCATCTGGAAGAAAGTGATGCTTAACACCAGAGGAGGATTCAAGCAAACGGATCCAAGTTCACGTCAAGCACTTTTATGTTTTTATTAGAATATGTGCTCAATTTCTGCCCATTTAGACCAAGACTGAGTGAAATAACAGAATTCAGATGAACAGTAACAAAATCTGAGCAAACTTGTACTTGAATTCTGGTTTTCTGTGTCGTTCCCCTGGCTGAGGGGAGACCTGATGCATGATAAGAAGGCTGAAGGAAAGCAGCCAGCAGGGATTGTTCCAGCAAAAAAGGGAGGGGGTTGTATTTTAATCAGCATCCTGCTCATTGATCAGCGTTCGCTGTCGTCTGCTCGGGCTGCAGAATCGCTTGGCGGACCGGTCTAATCCAATCTAATGTGCTGAGACGAGCCAAATCAAGATCAACCTGAGAAATTCCAGCTTTCTGGATCCATGACAAGAACTAATGTCCACAGTCATTAAGGCTGTTGCTAAAGTCCAGAAACTCTGTTTTTCTTTTTTTAGCTCACTAATTAAGCTTCACTAATTAACTATAGAAGCCTTGAAGCTTTTGGTTCAGCTGCGGATACAACAGAAAGTAAAGCATCTGCATTTCTTGTGATGATGAGAGAGTGTTTATGTGTTCAGACATAACTTAAAGGGACCAGTTATGCAAATTTTACATTTTTTAAGTTTTTATACTTCAGTTTGGGTTTCAACTGCTTCTAAAAAAAACCCATCCAGCTGTTTTCTGGGAATAAAATAATGTTTTTTTATGGTGTACGGAAAATTAGCCGTTTCGAAAGACTATGGAATATAAAGTCACAAATTAGCAGACATTGCCTGCTACCTGGCAACCCCAGCAAAGCTCCAGCATGTTTGGTCAGCTGGTTTTACCACTGTGTGCGCTGTACAGTAGCTGCTGGAACAAACATGTGCTTTGTTGTTCACTTACCATTCAGGAACCACTTGCTGCATTCTTGTTGAATGTGCAGGAGGATCTACTAATGCTTTTCAAATGGTTGTATAATTTTGCAGCCATTTTCACCTGGGAGCCTTTAATGTTGAGTTGGGGGCGTGGCTAGCAGCAGCTAGGAACAAGGCTTCCTAAATATAGAAGGTGTTCAAAATAAGCAGAAATGGCTAAACCTAAGAATGACTTTGTGCAAAAATTATGTTTTTTAAATACTATAGACTATCCTAAGTTGTTCAAGGGAGTATGATGTCAGGAGTATCTGTAACTTCAGTCCCTCAGTGCCACTGTCCTGCAGCTTTGGATGAATAAAATTAATGGTTAATGAAAAAGCCTTTGCAAACTCGCTGACATGCCAAAGAGGTAATTCAGCCTTTTGGATTCGGGTACGTCGGAGCAGGGTACTGGAGTTGCATCCCTCTGATCTGCAGTGACGCTGAGGTTTACAATTGAAACACCGTGAGGTCACATGATACGAGAGCGGTGATTCGCCGTGAATCGCCGTGAACTCGAAGAGTTTCCAGTCCGACTGCTTACATCCATGTAATCCCTGCTGAAGTGTGCCGCTGGGATTATGGATATTCCCCATCGCCTGATTGTGTGTTTGAATGTCCACAGCTGGTGGTCTGACTGCAGAGAGTCACTCCGATGGGAGTGAAAGGATTAGGGTCAGCTGGTCCAAACCAACTGCTTTTACTAGAGGGGAGGTCAGTAAACCAAACTGTATGATGAACTTTAACCTTTTCCAGGATCAAATCTGGATCACAGAATTTTAATATCCAGGATGTGGATTCAATTTATCTGAGCAGATCAACAAAGTAAATAATAATAATAAAACATATTTTAAATAGTTCAAATCACTATGTTTGGTAAAGTGATCCTCATTAGTCCTAGATGTATCCTAAGTGCACTAATGAGTGTTAGAACAGATCCTTCCACCCAGATGTAACATCACTGCTTCCAACAATATCAGGAATTATTAAATATTGAAACCTAGTTATCCATCCATCTAGGTAACTAGCTAGCTTTTATCTATGCAGTTCTTGAACATTTTTTCACTAAACTCAATTATATTTTTCATATCTGAGTATGCTATAATTTAATACCTGGGTATTTTTATTTAGTTGTGAATTTGCCCTTCCTGTACGCTGTTCAGTCTCTTATTCTTTTTCATTCTTGTGTTTCTTTATCACCCTGCATTGATTTGTTGATATTATGCTCATCATAATATTTATTACTCTTAGTCGTTTACTTAGCTACTGTAATCAGTTATTTTCATGAAATGAGTTACCTTAAATTAAACATTTAATCCATGCATGTATTTGTGATTTTTGGATGGTTTTATGGGCTTGCTATTGAGTTAGCTTGACTCTTTAACTCGCTAACTGATGTTTGTTCACTTCTTACAAATGGACTGTTGTTTTTATTGTTGTTTTGTACATTTTTTAAAATTATTGTTCCCAGTTTCAATTCTTTTAAAGAAAATATAAATATACTGTTCTTTAATAATTGCTGGATATTATTTTTTGTTGCAAATTTTACTCTCATTCTTATTTTGTATATATCTATTACCTTTTGTGTGAATATTCATGGTTCCGCTTATCATTATATCTTGCTTCTGGCACATGGAGATGATATTTTCTTATCAATTCTTGAGGTTTTGTGAAGCTTTGGCTGTGTTATTCTTTGGACTTTGGCTGCTTTGTCACTTAATGGAGCTCCTCTGTGGTTGTGGGTCAGCTGGATTATCTCACCATAACTGCTTGTTTATCCATTAATTTGTCTCGTAACTTGTTCTCTGGTTTTGTTCTACTTTGTCATTGGTTTAGTGTGTTTCATCTACGGATTGGAGTTATTGTTATGTGGTCATGAATGAGGTTTTTCCTGTGAGGACAGTTTACTCAGATTTGTTTCCATCAGCAAATGTTTGTCTTTTTAAAAGCCTTCCTTTATTCTGTATGTTGTAGCTTTACTGTTTTTCATCACTATTATTCTCAATGACAAACAGATTATTTGTCTGGAGATCTAACACATGAGACTCTTACAGTAAAACTTCACAACAGACAAACTAATTTATACTTTTCTGTAGATTTCATCAGATTTTTCAAAGATAACAAGCCTGTTCCGCCTCTTTGACACCTTTTCCTCCACCTGAAGGTAAAAACGGCATCAGCATGAACACGCTAATGAGCCCAGCAGAGCGGCTCCATATGGCCTGCTGTTAGGAAGGAGAGTTCGCTCTGACTGTAATCACTCTTGAAGCCGAATACAGACCGCAAACGCAGACTTCAGAGATTTTTCACCTTCAGGTTTGATGTGATTTGATGCATACAAGGTCAGGAAGCTGCTAAAACTCCAAAAGGAATGATCTGAGGAGACAAACTGGGCATTAAAATCTCTAAAATTTAACCACTTCCTCTTTCCATAAAGGAAATTTGCTGCTCTAGGGAGAGCAAATATCACCTTAAAATCAGTTCATAAGGTGGAGCAGCAGCTTGTTTTGATAAGGAAAATAAAATCCCAAAGGAGATTCCTTCTCCTCCTTCCTCTTTCTCCCAGCTCCTCCTGGTAGAAACAGAAAATATGTCTCCATCTGATCTGGGTCATACATATAATTTAAGCTCAAATTTAAAAACAAAATCTATTTATTTATCAATATATGTGTAGTTGTGTGTGTATGGACAAGTATGTCCATTGTCATTTATTTATTTTCCTTAACATTAGTTGTTCTGTTTTTCTACTATATTTTGTATTTATTGAGATATATTTATTATTTATTTAATTGATTTTTTTGACCTGCTTTTGAGAGATGCTATTTCTTTAAATTTCATCGTGCTTTATTTGCGCACAATGACAATGAACTGAGTTCTGATTCTGACCTCTTGCTTGTGACGTCACTCTCTCCAGAACTCTCAAGGGTCCGCCATGACGGACGTTATAACAACCTCTGCGCTCCTGTAAAGCCTGTCGAAAGACGGACATCTGGTAGCCTAATATCGCTTTTATCTAGTTGATTTCACTTTCAAAGTGGTCACAGGCTGCTGCGCGGTCGGTAAGGATGCAAACCAAAGTTGTTATTTAATTGTATAACTTTTAATGAAGAAAGATGAGGTGGCGAATGATGGCGGCCGTCCATCAGGACTGGCAGCCCTCGGTGTTACCGCGGGTTTACACATTTTTTACAAGGTAAGAAGATTAACTTTCAAATTCTTTCTAACTAGTGTAACTAGAAAGATCAAATATCGCATTATGGAGAAGGTACATGTCTAACCATTGGTAACCATGGAGACAGTGTCGCACTGTCATGTAGCCTAGCATGTATAAAAAAAACTGGTTAGCATCTCCTCTTTGTACTTTTTTAAGGCTTCTCCCATGTAAAGGGGAAACATAAATCATGTGGTGTGAATTCAGGTAAATGCGGTGATTTCTTGATCTGAAAAAAAATTCAGGTAAAGAAACTTCCTTTTTCTCCGAGTATATGGACTTCTCCCTTCTTGGTTACAGGTCCTTTTCTAAACTAGCTATTTAAAACGTTTATAAATATTCCAAGTGTGTTATGTTCACAGACAAATTAGCTTAGGTAGAACAAGTAGAAGCCACGACTAAACTGAGAAAAACAATTTGGGAAACCGATTTAAGTTGCTCTGTTAATTAATTCCGATGTCCATCATGGCACTTCGAGTCAAGTGATTAAATGGCTACATTCACACGGCAGCCTGAATTCCGATTTTTTGTCAAATCGGATTTTTTTTTAATTTATTTTTTTCGTGGTCGTTCACACTTCCAAACATATGCGTGAACACTGCAAACGACCTACAAGTGTCCCGCATGCGCAGTAAAGGGCGCAATAACGTCACAGATAGAGAGCGCGCTCAGTGTTTTACCAACCTTCATAACAAAATAATAGTAGTAGTGCTCAGTGTTTGCGGAAGTAATCATGGATGCTAATGGCGAAGCATACTTCACTATTTTGAAGTTGTCTGACCGGAGCCAGCACATTAACAACTTCCCGTTTGCTGTGTCAGAACGCAGAATAGTGACGTTTGTCGAGTATTGATGACATTCAGGTCGGCGGACATAATCTTGCTGACTGGGGTCATATTTGAAAAGATCAAATAGGTATTGGATATCCAAGTGGCCTGTAAAAATCCGATCTGTTCTGACTGTCATGAAAATATCAGATTCAGGATGCAGTAAGAAAAAGAAATCAGATTTGTGTTGCTTCAGGCTGCAATGTGAACGTAGCCTGAGTGATGTAGTTGCAAAGGATCGTGTGTTGGGTATCTCAACACAATGGTTGTAACATGAATCAATAAAATCAATCAATCAAGAAAAGAAGGGAAAAAAACAAAGTGATGATGCGTTTATTGAATCTAGAGCATCTCTACTGTAAGTCAACACATCTGTCATCCACCCCCTCCCACCAGCCAACCATCTGCCTCCTCAGGCCTCTCCTCCCCCCTCCTGGCAGGAACGTAGCACGCTTCACCTCATCTCGGTTCTCTGAGGAGGACTGAACCACTGAGGGCGTGGCAGGATGGAGGGGTGAAAGGGTGGGGGGTCGTCGCTAGCAGGGAGGAGCGCTGCAGTGAAACTGGGAAAGGCTGGCATCGTCCTCCCTCAGTAATACCTCAGTCCTGCCTCAGCATGGGATTCTCTTCAAAGTCCACGGCAGATTTTTAATTTTCTGAAAACAACACCACAAAAAACAAACAAACGGATATACTTCAAGATTATTTGTCCTGGTAAGAGAAGTGTTTTTTTGTTCTTTATTGTATCAGTTGGATTCTGTCTGGCTTTATTCTGATATTTGAAGCAAAATGAAGCATGTGAGATCTGCATCAGAACTTTTTCCTCTTGGACTCAGTTTTATATCTCAGATCTAATCAGAATATGGATCTGTTTCTCATGAGCCACTGGAAGCTTTTGAAGCACCCGTTGAGCAGGGATTTAGTGCTGACAGCCTTATGTAATCACACACCAAAGCAAACACTATTCTCACGTTTCAGAAATCCTTTTCATGCTCCATGCAAACTGTTTGACTGCAAGGAAACAGATTGTTACTGTTGACTCGTCCGCTGTTTGTGGAGCAGAGAACAAAAACCGTTCTGGGTAAACCAGGGCATCTTTTTCATTAGAAGCAGGATTCCCTGGTTTTACTCTCCTCTGATGACCCAGAGTCACTATTGGAAATTTACGGATTTAAATGACATCTGCAATTTAAACTCTTACAAAGTTCAAAGAGAATTTAAAATGAATTCAGACTTGTCATAAAAACATCACACAGTAACCAGTTATGGAACAAACAGTAAACATTACATTTGTCAAATGACATAATCAAATTCATCAATCAAATACCCATCAAGTATATTGAACACAGTCCCAGTTATTATTAATCAAATGGAACTCTGAACATGCCTTGTTTTAAAGGAACTGTGTTTTGGCAGTTTTGCAGTTTTCTGGAAGTTTGCTCCATTAGAGGAGCATAGAAGCTGAATGCTGATTCTCCATCTTTGGTTATGATTCTGGGGATGCAGAGCAAACCAGAATCGAAAACCTCTGAAGAAGTCAATGAACGCAACATCCTTTTTCACAACATGTAAATAAAAATGGAGTGGCATCTGATTTTAGCAGTTGCAGTATTTCTGTTTTGTGTTTGGTCAAAAATACAGAGTCATTTTTCCCCATAGCGCTAGACTTACATGTTTGTTTTGTTGTTTTGGCATTATCTAGCTTGGTGTACTTTAGCTAGTACTAGCTTGGTGAGGGAGGAGGAGCTAACATGACTTTATCCCATTTTAGCTTATTTTAATCTATTTTGTTTTTCTACATATTCGCTTAGCTTCTTTTAGCTACAGTACATTTCTATTATTTTCTCCTGCTTTGGGTTAGCTTGGTGAAGCTCTTTGCCAAGCAGTTTCTTGGTCGGATTTAGCCTGCTTTCATCAACAACTACATGTTCTTCTAATCGAGCTCATGTGAAAAACGTTGAAGAAAATCCGTCCTCCGTCCGTTTAAAGTAGCTGCTTTCCTTCTGCTCCACTTTGAAGCAGAAAAGCGCCTTCAGTCCGTGTAGAAAGAAACTCGATGCATTATTAATCTGCTCTAAATGACGGGGCTGACGCGGCTCTCTGCAGCTGCCTCAGCTTCACTGTGCTGTTTCTGGAGCGGGAATCGGGGCCAGGTGTTTTGGTGCAGGTGTTACTTTTGTCTCCCAGAATGAGACGGCTCTTCTTTCTTGATGGTGAAGTGCTTTGCATTCAGTCTGAACCCTGTTTCAGTCCAGATGATGGACTAAAACTCATCCTAATTGGTATTAAACACTGTTTTGGTGTTGTAGCTTTTCCATATCATGCCATACTCTTGTGCAGTTATAGAGAGTTTTCACACCTGTTAGTCCGGTAATCTCGGTTCAATTGAAACCAAATTAGCAACATTTGTTACATTTTCATCTGCTGCGGGTCGCTTTCACGCTGCACTGTGTCAAATGAACCAAACTCTTTGAAAAACCTGTTCCCCTTTTCACCTGTTGGGGTGCTGCACCAAGAATCGCTGAAGAAAACAACATGAAAACCTCTCAAGAAGACACTGAGCGCAACAGCTTCCTTCTTCACAAAATGTCAACAAATGGAGTAGATTAGGTTTTAACGACTGTAGAATTTCTCTTTTGTTTTTGGTAAAAGACCACAAGGCATTTCTCCCACTATCACGAGCCTTGCGTATTTGGTTTGGTTGTATGTATCCAGAATGCCCCGCGCTGCATTTCACTTTCTGCTTTCGGAGCAGTTTCCAGTCCACTTGGTGTTCATGTACGCATTTGAACTGCATCAGGGTTCACTTCAACCAATCCGAGACAAGGTTTGTAGATGGATCAGAGTTCACTCTTTAGTTTGATTCTGCATTCACACCTCCACAAATGAACCAGACTTTCTAGGCAAACAAACCAGAGTTTGATTGAAGAGGATTGAACAGGTTTGGTGTGAATGACCCCTAAGATTCTGCTTCCTACACCCTATTCCTTCTCCCCCCCTTAGACTGTATCAGTCTCTCACATTGTTGCAGAGGATTTTTCATCCTCTCTTCCTTCCAGTATTGATTTGGTTTTTTGAGGTTTGCAGGCATTTGTTTCTGCACATCTCCCCAAAGGTCCCATACCAGGACTTCAATCAGGTTTGGACTTTGACTTGATTCTGTTGTTTTTCAGCCAGTCTGCTGTGTTTGGGATCCCTGTCCAGTTGATGACCCAGTTGGGCCACGTTTCAGCTGTCAGGCAGATGGCCTCACATTTGACTCCAAAATTAAACAGCATTATGCCTTTGATCACAGGGTTTCCCCCAGTGTATTATAAGCCTGGCGGGCCACCAGGCTTTCCATGTGCCCTCACCAGGCTAAGCATTGCTTATTTACTTAAGTCTTTTTAAAATGTTAGGATTTTTTAAAAGACTTTAGTGTTCACATATTAATCTTCCAATGTTTCAGTAACACATGATTATCAAGTGATATTTTCAAATTTCCTGTCAACTTTAAACATGTTTTAACTCAAAAACATGACGGGGCGCTGGATAAATGACTGCACTCACACTCAACCACCGGGCTTAGCAAGTTTTCTGGGGGAAACCTTGGATCACAAAGCCGTCATGAACTGTGAGGGGTAATGATTGTGGCGAATAAAGCACAGGCAGTAGGAATTGTTCAGCCGTCTGATCTGAGAAATATGTTTGTCAGCGAAATTTTACAGTGGCACCCGACTCTTGTTTATAAACCGCTGAATATATTGAAACAACTGCATGAGGATCATGTGGGGTTTCCCCTGTGGAAATCCCTAATGTCTTACACAAATGAATGATATCAGTTTACTTTGCACTTCTTAATCTATATTCAAGAATCATTTCCTAAAAACAAGCTCCTCTGTCTTGCTGTAAAGTTACTTGAAAGTTAGGTTAATCTTAATCCAAGTGTACTGAGATGTTTGAGCTAGAAATTATACTTATTTTGTGTTTTTGCAGTGATCTTTTCAGTGGATATTCCTAAAGATGTTTGGGATTTGCAGACTGGAAGCTGATTTCTTTTGTTTGCTTTCCTACTTTTTTCATGTTAAATCTTAGTTTCTGTTTTCACTTTTTATCAGTTCTTCTTAGTAGTTTAATTGTTCAAGTGTTAGATCATGCTTGTTTTCTGTGTTTAGTTATTCTTTGTCACAGTTAGAATCATGTTAAGATGCATTCACACCTCTTCAGTCCATTTTATTCAAACTCTAGTTTGTTTGACTTCAAAATTTGATTTGAGGATGTATGAAACATACAATTAAGAGTGAATATATAATCAACATTATGTGTACTGCCTGCAACTCTTAAGATGAAAAAATTAAAAGTTGTGTTTGCCGGTGGAAAATAAAACTTAAATGATTTTTGTAAGCAATATTGCAATGTTACGAAACCCTTAACTAGCCAAAATTTGATCAGCAGAACTCGATTGCTGCTTTTCCTCGATCATGTATAGCTGTCAATTCCTGCAGCAATTAACAACAAAATGGCAAATTATGCATTTTTGTTGAGAAACAGTCTGACTGAAACTCTGTTCCATATGATACATTCAGGATGAATAAGTCCGTTTTAATTTCCTGAAACAACCTGTGGCTGTGTCACTGTTATCAGATGGTTTCACTACAGGCTTTCTTTATCACCATCTGCCTCATTTGTTTATATACTTCTGTGATGCCTTTTATGAATTTAATATTATGACAATATTCATCCTCCTTTAGTTCATCTTCTCCTTTGATTATTGGTTGTTGAAGCTTTCAGCCGGGGACACATATTTGTTTTCTGTAAGCCTCACGGTTTGCACTTTGTATGAAAATAACAAAATCCTCATTATTTTCACTTTTAAATGCAATAAGTTTCCAAAAACCAGAAATTTATTATTAAGTAATTGACACTTAAAATTATATAATATATTCCGTATTTGTGACTTTGACTCAAACAAACCAGAACAGGTGAATAATTAAAATGCAACCCTATGCCCATTAAGACATATTTTTGTTTGCCTTCAAGCAAACAAATAGCACACCTCAATTTTTTTTTTACCAAGCATTGATCTAGTTTCTAGTTCAAATGTATTTGTTCACTTGAAATAAGACAAAACTAACATACAAGTAACTTTTCAGTAAGAAATAGCTTGTTTTAAGTAAGAATTGTCTTAATATTGATGAAAAAGTATCAGTTCCACAGGCATATTATTTAATTTATTACACTAGAAAAATGTCTTGTTATAAATGGAATAATCTGCTATTGGAACCAGTACTTTATTTATTCAATATTAATAAAGTACTGATTTAAAACAAGCTCCTATATTTTGTTGAAAAGTTACTTAAAAGTTTGTTTTGTTTTCCATGTATACTAAAATAGTTGCACTAGAAAGTAGACAAAATGTTTTGTAGTGAAAAAATAACGAACATCGGCCGAAACTGCATTCCTAATCTGGGGAACAGAACCAGATTATGGAGGTAAACCCTGAGGGCAACACCCCGATGAATTAACCCAACAAACCTCGGTGGGCGGATAAACAATGCTGGTTTGTGAGGAACAAAGTGCTGCAGTAACTGCAGCAGTACTGACCACTAATGGTGCTCTGCCGTTAACCTAATGGCATAGTGCTGTTTGATCACCAGCAGCTTTGGGAGGGAAGAAAAGAAACCGCAGAAGCTTATTGTTCATATGGTCATCAGTTATAAGGGTGAAGAACGAAGTGGAAAACTGCTCAGTGTATCATCTTAACTCTCAGCCTGGAAAACATTTGATTTATTCTGTGTGTTTATTGAAGAACAACAGCCTCAGCGTTTGATGTAATCTGATATTGCTTCCAGATAAAGTGAAACAAAATATCCCATATGCATTGCCCCATTTCATTAAATTGGGATGAGAAGGAAATGTATCTATAACATGGTTTGAGCCTTATATCTTGTTTCCACTGAGATACACTATTTTGCATCATTTCTGGCCATTTAGTTGTAGGTCCATTAAACAATAATAATAGGTTCTGTTAGATTGGAGCAAAACACAACATAATCCACTGAATATCATTATGTTTGTATGATGATGTAGTAAGGACACTGCAAAAAGAAAAGGTGTAAATCAACACAAAAATCTAGAAAACGAGAAAAGTCTGAGAAATTTTCCAGATAAAAGTGAAAATGTTGGACTTTTGAAACTCAGAAATTTCTTTTTTTTCCCCATTTAAAAATTTCAGATATTTTCTTGCAATTTTTAAACTTTTCTAAATCTGAATTTTGTAGGTTTAAATTGTACAGAAAATGTCTGAGCTTAATTAAAAAATTTCCAAGTTTCTTTCGAACAACTTAGTCACTTTTCAAACTAAAATTTATTTAGAAAATATCTAAAAGTTTTAGATTGTTTTCTAGCAAAGTTTTGACTTTTCAAACTCAGACATTTTCTGAGTACCTCTTCTCAAATTGATCTTTTTCTGTAGGCATTGCTCTTAAGGGAGCATTAACTAATGGGTATTTTTCTGTTTCAGGGTCAAACTGATGAAGACTCCAGATTGGATTTTTGACTTTCCTCCAACTATACAATGCTGCAGCAACTTTGACTTTCTACTTTCAACCAATAAAAAAATCAAGCAAATGATGAAAGATCTTTGTAGGATTTAGTTTTTGGTCACCAAAAAGTGCAAACAACAGCCATTGTGTTATCTTTCTGCTAGAACACCATAAGAGACAGCAAGCACGCCTTTTAGTTCCCTCATTATTGAATGCTGAAATAGCTGAAATGGCAGACCATTACCAGAACAACGTATACCACCAGGGAGGCGGGGACAGCTATGGGACTTACGAAGAAGGCGGTGGTCCTGACGGCTACGGTTACCAGGTGGATTATCCTCCTCAGGAAGAGGACGCAGCGAGCGACGTGACGGAGGGACACGATGATGAAGATCAAATGTACGAAGGAGAATACCAGGGGATTCCACATCCTGATGAGGTGAAGGCTGCACAGAGAGCCGCACGGTGAGGCATTACTCTTCGCTCTAAAGCTACAGCATGAAACTTTACAAAAAAAATGTTTTTTTTACATATTTGTTGAAACTGTCACCATGTTGTGACAGTATGTTATGAGTAGACAGGACAACAGAAAACTACTAATTACTGATCTTTAAAAAGCCTGACCTGCCGATTCTGATTTTGGCCGATATGGATGTTTTTTGGTCTGAAATGTTGCTGAATATCGGAAGAAAGTCGCTAAGTTGGAAACAGAGGAGCAACTATTGGTAACTTCAGCAGGCATGACCTGATGGGCCGATCTGTCAGTCAAACCTCTCTTTCTGCAAAGCAGAAGAGGACAGTGGTTGACTTTTAGAGGTTGGGTAAGGTAGATAAGATCAGAAGATAAGATCAGCTTCATATGTAAGTATCGGCTGATCACAGATCTCACAAAATTAAGAAAACCCCGAAAGAGAATCAGTGAGAATTAGAAAAATAGGGCTGAAATGTCAAACACCCAGACGATACAGAACATTTTAGAAGAGCTTTCTGTGATAATATGGTGCATTATGAGATTATTCCCAGATTCCATCTTATTCACAATAGAGTCCAAATGTTTTCTATGTCAGGGCGAAGTCCAGAGAAGGCGGCAGCGCCGCGTCTGAGCTGGAGGAGTTATCGGAGCAGTATGAGGACATCATGCAGGACTGCGGCCACGGGAAGTTCCAGTGGATGCTCTTCATGGTGCTGGGTCTGGCTCTCATGGCCGACGGAGTCGAATGCTACGTGGTGGCGTTTGCTCTGCCGTCAGCAGAAAAGGACCTTTGTCTGTCCAATGCAGAGAAAGGGATGCTGGGTAAGAGCTGAGATTATAAATCCCACCGAATTGATTGACTTGCAGCTACTCTTTTCTGTTTAAATCAAGTTTTCTGACTGAAAGAACGACATCCTGATGCCTCCTGAATGAATCTCTGTGGTGCTTTTCCAGTCACAGGCTGTGATTTAGTTCCTGAACAGGTTTTAATTAAACTGCATGACATTTTTCTCTCTTGTTCTTAGATTCTGGAGCCACGTTTTGCACTTCATTTATTTATATTTTATTACATTCTCAAAGGATACATCTCCAACCTCAACTTTTGAGTATTTTAGTGTTTTATGTACATGTTTTATTTGATTTTTCTTGGAAACTTCTATATAAAGGTAGAGAGTGACCTTTGCAAAGTTAGACAGTCAAAGGTTAACAGCAGTAATGTAAGTTATTTAGCCTGTCATAAGTGAAACAATAGGGAATGGTTTCACTATGCTGTTATATTCTTATAAATTATAGTTTCAGTCTAAATATTTAATTAGCAAGTTAAATATTTAGTTCACAAACTAAATATTCTGATAAAAAACTTGTTTGTAAAATAAATATTCATGTCAGTATTTGATGTGAAATACTGATATGAATATCAGTATAATAGATATTTGGTTAACAAGCTAAATTTTCAGTCTGTCAACAAAATGTTTTGCTTGCTAACAAAATATTTAGTTTACAAACTATTACAAACTAATTATTAGGCCAGAGTTTGGTATTTTGTTGGCAAATTTAATGTTTACATCAGAAATATTTGGCTTGTTCACTAAATAATTTGTCAACAAACTAAATATTTCAATCCAAAATAAATATGTAGCTTCAATCTAAATATTTATTTAGCAAGCACACTATTTTGTTTAAGAACTAAATGCTTAACTCAGAACTAAATAATTTATAATTTATTAGCAATCTAAAAATGTAATTTCACAAAGTAAATATAGTTCTTATTTAGTTTGGAGCTGACTATTTAATTAAATTAAATATTTAGTTTGGAGTTTATTTATCAATTAAATATATTTTTTCAGTTGAGAAGCTAAATATTTAGTCAATCAAATATTCAGCTTGCTAACCACACATTGAGCTCCAAAATATGCATCTTCAGGTTAAATATTTAATTAGCAAGCAAAAATATTTAATCTGAAAGCTGAATGTTTTGTTTGTAAGCTGAATATTAAGCTTGCTAGTTAAATATTTATTTTAATTAGCAAATCATTGTAAATTAATGAATAACATGGTGAAAATATGACTTAAAATAAACTTAAATTCTTATCTCTTATCACAAGCAAACTAATGCCAATTATTGCTGTTCATTTTTGATTGTATGACTTTACAAATGGCTCCCCTTATAAAGATACTGAGTCACAGAACCTTATTTTGGACCTCAGGTTGGGGGTTCTGGGCAGACCCAGAACTTTCTGGACTCCTTCTGGTTTTCCAGTTTCTCTTGAGAAACTGGATTTTTATTTCTCTAAAGTTGTTAACTAGCAAACATTTCCTCTGACAAGAGAAAGTTGATTGAAGGGTGAATGATCTGAGAGTCAGAAGTCATCGTTCATATGGAGCTTAATTTGCTTTATTGACTCAAACACAAACAAATTTACTTGAAAATTGTGAGTAGATCTAATAAAGTCTGAAAACAGAGTAACAGAGTGGCTCTGATGTGATTGACGCCCTGAAAGCTTTTCAGAGGGAGCCATTAATTCTCCCCTGCAGCTTAATTAGCTAATGAGCAGCAGTGACTCAGCTGGATGGTGCAGAAAAAAGAAATGCAGCAGCCGTCTTCGATTGCTTTCCATGCTCACTGAGAGTTTTTATTTAATGCTGCTGTGGCGAATCTTTGAGCATCCGTCCATCTATGGTAATGGTTTCATTTATTAAGAGAAAAACATTTGCAATAATTGGCAGTGAACAGTGTTGACCCACTCTTCTGTGGAGAATTATTCAAGAGGGTTTTCGAATGAATTTAAGTTTAGAGTCCTTTATTTTGCAGAGTAATGTTACTATACTCTGCTACTATACTATAATATATGTAATGTAATAACATTACATATATCTTACTGTATTTATATGCCAGTGAATAAACTTCAGTCGCATTGTGGACATACTTGTGATTCTTCTAAGTACCAGTACTCAGAGTCCTTGCTGAGATTGGATTTTGTGTCATAAAGGATTTACATCCTTTTGAATTTTGGAGACTACAAGTGCAGCAATATGGATATCAATATTTTATCAATATTATGCAAAATTCACATTTTGCTTGTTTTTATACTTCCATTTCAATCTCACCTAAAAACATCCGGCTGTTTTTTTGGGCAATAATTTCATTTTTTATGTTTTTTGGAAAAATGGGCCATTTAAATTTTTTTTGATTTTTGAATTGTCTAAGTCACATTTGATAGGTACTGTGCCGTTACCTAGCATCATCAGCTGAGCTTCAGACATTAGGTCAGCTGGTTGTAACGCTGTTTGCACAGTACAATGGCTCCTGGAAAAGAGAAGTGTTTTGCTGTTGACTCTCCATCCAGAAACCACTTGTTGCATTCTTGTTAAATGTGCAGAAGGCTCCACTTCTGCTTTTTAAAGACCTATGGTTATACAATTTCACATTTGTTTGCAGCCATTTTCACATGTGAGTGTAAATGTTGAGTTGGGGGACAGCTGCTGATTTGGATTTAAACCTAAAACATCCAGTCAGGACTGATCAGCCTGAAATATGATTATCTAAGAATAAATTTGTGCAACAAATGAGATGAACAGTTTTTGTGTTTGGTTCATAAACCTATCTGAACCTGTTCATAAAAGCACAACTACTCACCTTTAAAACATTTTCTCTGTGTCAATTTGTCATTTGACTTTTATTGTATGTCTTTCTTTTGAAAGAGATTGTATTCCCAGCATCTTCTCCAAACAACAACTCGGTGGTGTCTTGGCCCTTCCTCCTCTTCTTCATCCTCATCTTCATCTGTCAGATAAGAACCCTGCAGGGATCAAACTCTGTTCTGAAACTCTGATCTCCTTCTTGCTCGTCTGTCCCATGCCTCCTCCATACGCCCACCTACCAGCGCTTCGATCCAGAGCCAATTCCACCACCTCCTTCTGCGTTTCTGCTCTGACTCAGCAGCGGGCCGATCAATACTGACCTTGAAAGGAGCCGTGCAGAGTCTTCTAAAAAACAAATACATAAAGAACGGGGTTTCATAACCTGGGATCCGCGCGCTGAGTCACAGCGTCTGTTGCCCCCTGTTGCAGCACCATCTGGTGAAACGTTGTCCGCCAGCTGGTTTCTGGCATCGATTGAGTTTATTCTTGGCAGACAGGTCTGGAGATTTCAGAAAGACCTGAGCAAGCAAACGTGACTCAGACTTGATGGGTCGAATCAGCCTGACCGTCTGACGAGATGAATAATTGTATTGAACTGGGACGAGTTCATTTGTAAGTTCTGTCAGCACTTTGTATTTAACCAGAGAGGGGCAGATAGGGACTCTTTTATGCAAGTAAGAGTATTAGTACTTCAACATATGTTTACTAAAGTAAAAATAAAAAGTAGTCATCCAACAAATTACTCAAGAGTGAGAAAGTAGTTGGTAGTGTCATTGTGCAACACCCCCACCCCTTCTCTCTCTACTTCCTTTTCTGAGAGCAGAGATGTGCTACCAGCTCTCTATCCAACGGGTGAAATGAGCTTCCAAATCTGCTGGGATTTTCCCTGTCCAGAACTGTAGTAAACTCTGTTTAAGGTGGTTTCGAGAAAGAATAGCCTGGTTTCTGACAACCTCCATCCAGATGCCCTGCCCTTCTACCCCCTGTGAATTAGCCAGACTGAGCAGCCTGCAGCCAACTAGTTTCACAGAGCACACCTGTTACTGGTCGCTCTTTCTCTTATTACAACTTACACTAGTTACTGAACCAGGTTAGTTTTAGTGACTCGAGCGAGTCCGAAGGATGTTGTTTTACATATAGTTTTGGGCTAAAAGCAACCTATAAAACATTTTCTACTTTTTCTTCTAGCTATCATAGCTATTTTACGACCATCAAAGAACTTTGAGGATTGATTGATCTCATATATGCACCTTGCCTTGCCTATGTTTTTTTTTCTTTCAAAAAAGTTACTCAGGTAAATATAATTGAGTAAATGTAACTAGCGATTACCCTACTTTGTTTTTAAACGGACAGAGTTATTTCAGGCTGGCTTTTCTGAGACAGTTTCATGCAAAGGAGCAGTTTCTGCACCAGAAACTAAAAATAACTACATTTAACTGCCTTGAATGTGTATGTTTCTGTGCAGGTCTGGTGGTCTTCCTGAGCATGATGGTCGGAGCGTTCCTCTGGGGTGGTCTGGCTGATAAAACCGGCCGTCGGCGCTGTCTGATTTTAGCTTTAGGCATAAACTGCATCTTTGCCTTCCTGTCATCGTTTGCTGGTGGATACGGCTTCTTCCTGTTCTTCAGGCTGCTCTCTGGCATTGGGTAACTAAACTGCCATTCTGTTAATTTTAGTGTCTCTATCACCTTTAAGAGCTTTCTTAAGGCTCTCGTTTACATTTTAAGGCTATTTAAAATGTATCTCCTAAAACTTCCACACAGAACCTATTAAACATCTGAGTCTGTTACTCCTGTATTTAAAATAGAGGTATTGTTTCAGTGCTTCCATTTGTGTCTCTACTTCTTCTAAAAACACCCAAAACGCTTAAAAAACCACCTTGAGGTTTTATGGCAATAAGCTAATGTTTTCTGGTGTCTGGAAAATGAACTTTTTCAATAAAAAAAATAAAAAAAAGTAATGTCACAAATTAGTAGCCTCTACCTGTTACCTAGCAACCCTATTGGAGCTCAGCACGTTACCTAGCAACCCCATTGGAGCTCAGCACGTTACCTAGCAACCCTATTGGAGCTCAGCACGTTACCTAGCAACCCCATTGGAGCTCAGCACGTTACCTAGCAACCCCATTGGAGCTCAGCACGTTACCTAGCAACCCCAGGGGCGTTCCACCCACTGGTTGCATAGTTACTTGATAATACTAGAAAATGGCACTATTAGCCTGGAAAATGTGTGACACTGCCTCTTTAAGAATATCTTTTATCTTATTTCTATAGACACACTGCTGAAACACAAAATTTTACCAAGTATTTTTGATCTAGTTTATTGTACTCATATCTTTGTACACTTGAAATTAGACAAAACTAACTCATAAGTAACTTTTCAGGTGATGTTTGGAGTCAATAATTAAATATTGTTTTAAACGTTTTTGCTCCATTGACAGATGGAAAAAAATGTTTTGCTCATAAAATAATCTGCCAATGTAACTAGTACTTTTTCATAAATATTCAAGAATTATTGACCTAAAACAACTTCTATATCTTGCTGAAACAGTAACTTTTAAGTTGGTTTTGACTAATTTAAAGTTATTTACACCTGAAACTATACAAAAATACTTGGTAAGATTTTGTGTTTTTGCAGTTTGTAGTTGAAAAAGCTACAAAATTGAAAGAATTTTCTGTTTATTTGTGAAAGCAATGAGAGCTGAGCATCGTGCATGCAGCTGCAGCCGAGTCGGTGTTGGATTGCAGTGACGCAGCAGAGTTGCTCTCAGAATAACTGCGATCCGCTGGGACTGAAAAACAAGGTCACAAACTGAGCTGAACAGTAAAAACCATCTGCAGAGCTACTGAGGCATGCACAGTTTGCTTACTGAATCTGACAGATAAGGTTCTGACACAGAAGAATCAGAAACACATCTTTAAACTGTCTTGGTTAAATAAAATATCTTAAAGAGAACAATTACAGCATCCTCACCTTGAATTTGTTTTTCTTTCTTTTTTTATGTCTTCCTGATTTATTCCTAATTTGTTTTTGTTTTCCTTCGTGTTATCTGTTTTACCAGAACTGCATTTCTCCTGTTAAATCCCTTCGCTGACAGTATTTTATTTTCTGTGTTTTCTGTTGCTGCTGTCAGCATCGGCGGCACGGTGCCCATCGTCTACTCTTACTTCTCTGAGTTCCTGCAGATGGATAAGAGAGGGGAGCATCTGTCCTGGCTGTGCATGTTCTGGATGTTCGGTGGGATTTACGCCTCATTCACCGCCTGGGGAATCATCCCGAGATACGGTACAAATCCATGCTCAGGACTTTATGATAAGATGACTACGACTTACTATGTTACTATTAATTTATGTGTATTGTCTGTATACACTGCAAAAACACAAACGCTTACTAAGTATTTCCTGTCTCATTTCTGTCTCACTATGCTTGAAATAAGACAAAACTAACTTACAAGTAGCTTTTCAGCAAGATATAGGAGATTGTTTTAAGTCAATAATTTGTTAATATTGGTAAAAACAAAACAAAAAAAAAGCATAAGTTTCAATGTCAGATTATTTTACTTGAAGCATTTTCACAATGCTCTAAGTGAGATATTTTGCCATTCACTACATTTCCATTGACAATTTTAAAAAACTCACATTTTCCATTAAAAAGTTTTTGCTGTTTTTCAGCTGTATTTTACATTTTATTTTGTTTTATTTTATAATTGCCGTGTTTCCATTGAATCAGAAACTCAATTCAAATCACATGTGAATAAATTTTGTTCACATGATGAGTCATGAAAAAAACAGTAATTTACTTCCTGTTGTTGTCTTTGTCATTTCTGCCAGTAGTAACATCTGGTTCATGACAATCACATGATGTGATGAGAAAGAAAAAAAGACAGTTTCCTTTGCAGTTTTGTAAAATGCGGCTAAAAAACTTAAGATATTTGCACTAGAAACTAGACCAGAAATACTTGGTAAGAGTTTGTGTTTTTGCAGTGTCGACCAGAAGAGAGGTGTTCTCTGATTGGCTGTCGTCATCATCGTTGTGTGTTTGAGCAGGGTGGGGGTTCAGTATGGGCACAGAGCTCCAGTTCCACAGCTGGCGGGTCTTCGTCATCATCGCGGCTCTTCCGGCCGTCACGTCTCTGGTTGGACTCACCTTCATGCCTGAGAGTCCCCGCTTCCTGCTGGAGGTGAGACCTCGCGCCTGCTGGGAGCTTATTATGGATATGACTTTACTGCAGCTGCTGCATTAAAACTCTCAAAATAGTTTTTAATAACTGTTTCTGTGAAGAGTTTCTGCTGGGTTTTAGTGGAATTTCTTGTTTTTTTTGTGCTTTTTTCTGTTTACTTTTAGACTTTTTACCTACAGATGTTTGCTGTTGACACCAATCACTAAGTTTGGTCAGCAAAGTGCGCTCTACTTTTACATTTTTACAAAATTTTGTTAGACTTGATTAGCTTTAATAATTTTGATGCATTAATAAACAGAAAGTCTTAGTTCACAAGTAAAACTAAACAAAACTGAACTTAAATTGCACCAAGATACTGTGAAACTAGTGGACAATGCTAATATGAAACAACATGTTTTGCCAAATTATTACTCTGTTCTAATAAACTGAGTTAATTTCCACTAAAAAACTCATTAAAAAATATAAATGGAAATGTATAAGTTTCATTTCAGTTCAGCCTGTGGAAAAACATTTTCTTCTTAACATTTTCTTCTTAAAATATACTGTGCTCCTTTCGGGTGGAAAGTACAATGACATATTAATGCCACTATATATTTAAAAAAAAATTACGTTTCCACCAAAAATCTCAGATATTTACATTAATCTCTGAAATATCAAATGAAATGTAAAAGTTGTAAATTAGCTGGAAAAAACACTCAGACATCTTTAGATTAATCTCAGAAAGTTTTGAGACAAACATGGACTTTTTTTTTTCAAAAATTAAAAATGTTGGACATTTGAAACTTGGAATTTTCCAAATCTTTTCTTCAATTTTTTTGTTTTGTTTCAAATTTTTGATGAAATAATGTGTGTTGGTCCTAGTTTGGTGGATTAAACAACATCCTAACATCTTCCTGATGTACTGATAGACTGTGTGTGTGTGTGTGTGTGTGTGTGTGTGTGTGTGTGTGTGTGCGTGCGTGCGTGCGTGCGTGCGTGCGTGCGTGCGTGCGTGCGTGCGTGCGTGTGTGTGGAGCAGCATGCCAAACATGACGAGGCGTGGATGATCCTGAAGCGAGTTCATGACACCAACTGGAGAGCCAAAGGGAAACCGGAGAAAGTCTTCACTGTGAGTTCATTGAAATCATCAACAGAAAATCACAAGCAGGTGCAGAAACAGATAATCAGGAGATTGTTTTACAAATATTAGGAACCCAAAAACATAGCTGTTGTTTGTTTTTTAAAGCAAAGCTCATGTTTCCGACTCAAAATAGATTCATACACTTTCCTGCTGTCCCAGTTTTTACCTGACAAATAAAAGGTAAGGTGAGGCGAGGAGCAGCTCGTCGTTCCTGACACATTTGTACGTCAACATGATGTATTTTTAGGATTTAGATGCTTTTTTCTTCTGGCTTAAAAAGAAAGAGGTGCATTTTCTGTGGTTGAGTGGATCTGCACATGCAGGTGAAGTTTATAAGAGCTATGAAAATGCATTTGCATCCATAGATTTTTTTGTACTTATTTGGTTTTCATTGTAATTTTCAAAGCAAAAATAATATCCACTTATTCAATATTTATTGTACACTTTTATTTTCTTCTTTTCAGTTAGAATTTTAGAAAATCTGACAAAATTAGTTTTTTTTTTATTTAACTGTGCAGTAAAATGAGTTTTTAAACATGTTTAACTTGACAAATAATCATTTATGGAAATATAAAGTAAAACATTCTTCTTATGGTGCTTTTTATTTTCACAAAAAGTTATTTTATCGAATAAAAGATAGTTTTTGCATGATTAAAATAAACCTTTGGATTAATTGGACTCAGAAAATTTTATTTTTACTCCTTAATCTGACCTTCAACAGAAGATGTTCAATGAAATCACATTTCAGGTGGTGAAGGGGAAACCAGTAAACCAGTTAGACCAGTTTAATTCTGGTCTGAGGCTTCAGTGAACCCATTGCACTTCTCCTGTTTCCCAGGTGACTCACATTAAGGCTCCCAAGATGGCCGAAGACGAACTCATCGAGATCCAGAGCGGGACTGGAACACCGGTGCAGCGCTGGGCCGTTCGCTCGCTTACACTGTGCAAACTGGTACGCCAGAAGCACAAACTGGTTCAGACTGGCCTGGCTTGAGCTGAGCATCTTCCACCTTTCTGATCCAGAATTTCATCTGATAACATTCTTTGTACAATGTCTTTCAGTATCTGCTTTTAAAGTATGAGATTAAATTCAGACTACAGAGAATTATGGTGCCTTCACAACAAAAGCGTTTTGAGCTTCAGGTGCGTCAGATGTAAAGTCTATGTGGCGGCGCCTTGAGGACGGTGGAGGCGTCTTAAGCATCGAGCGCGGCGAGATTTCAACCGTTAAGAGTGTTTGAAGCATCCAATGGAAAACAACAGCGAGACCTGAAGGGTCTGATGCGCCTTGAATGTAAACCAGATGCACAAAACGCTCGATGTAGAGCAAAATGTCAAGCGTCTGCCTTCAAACGTTGAACTTTAAACGTCTTTTGACACACGTAACGCTTTTGGTCTGAACGCACCATAAAATTCAGAATTCGAATAATTAGTCATGATTTTCTTAATTGCTTTTGTAGCCCTATTCCTCTTCTGCACATTCTAGTCCTTCAGGTGCATAAATTTACATAAAAAGTAGTTGTTTTCTTATGCCTGATTTTAAATCGGATAATCTGGATCAAAGCTGGGTCCCTTCAGACCGTTGCTGTGTTTTTTCTTCTTTCTGGTATTTGGTTATGTTCACACCTGACGACCATCCAGGTGGAGTAAATGCGAAATAAATAGGCTCCTGTATGTTTGCTGCAGGTGCTGAGGAACATGGCGTCCCTGCTGTCTGCAGAGCTGAGGTTTGCCACTCTCTTCATGGCCATCATCTGGTTCTGCATGGCCTTCAGGTGAGTTCAGCATTCATCATCCAGCCTGACTGCAGCTTACTTTACAAATGAACACAAAACTTTATGATGCTCTGCTGAAAAAACACAATTTTGCAGTTGCTGTGTTTTTATTAAGGGTAATCCCAAAACACAATTAAAATTACATGTGAATAAATGTGTTAAATTCTGCTACGCCATCATCATCCTCCCACTTCATGCTGTCTTCTTCGTCATTTCTGCCAGTAGTAACATGCGGTTGTTGATCATATGACTCGTGTGAAGGTGAAGCGAGTCAAGCATTAATGCTATGACCACAGAAAAATAATTCTGTTTTCCTTTAGTTTACCTCCAAATTTTCCAAAAATAAATAAAATTTGTCGTTTTAAATCTCATGCGGTCGTCTCTGTCGTGTTTTATCCAGTTATTACGGCCTGTCTGTGTGGTTCCCCGACATGATCAAATACCTGCAGTATGAGGAGTACGAGACCAAGGTGAAGGTGAGCAACTTATCCTAATAAAAAACATGTTTTTTATATTCTGCACCAAAACTCCAACATGTTTTCATTATCTTCTGACAAAATAACCCAAAATCTGAGTAAATCACAGAATCCTGCAGCAGCTTTCAGGTTTACTTTGAATATGAATTACGTAACTGCGCTGGCACCGAAGTGTAAACCGCATCAACAAAACATCTTAATAAATTACAGCAGACTGTAAAGCCACTGAGTTAAGATACTCACTGATCGTACTGTATGCACAAATACATGATAAAACTAAACATGAAGCAAGCAGCCATCATAAACCTCACAGGCAGAGAGAACAAATGTGTAGTTTACAGATCCAGAAAGAGGAAGTTTCTGCTGCAGTGAAGACCTAAAATATCAATATATTTCTTAGAAAACTTTTTTTTTTTAAAGAAACCTCTGCACAGATTGATGATGTTTTCTTCCTGTTCAGACGTTCCACAGAGAACGAGTGGTGGACGTCAGATTCGACTTTCCCTTGAAGAACCAGATCCACAAGGAGGGAGAATACAAACGGGACACGTAAGTCACAGGCAGACAGGAAGTCCTTCATTTGGTTTCATTTCTCTCTTCAGACCTGCACTGTCAACCTGACAGCAGATAAATGCATCTTCAAATTGGTGCCAAATGTTTGTCCAGAAAAAGTTTCTGTTTGTGTCATTTTAAAGATCTCGATAAATGTTTCTAGAGGTCATGAACGGTCAACCATCCCCCGATGTTGTTCAAATCAGACAGAATTAAACTTATTATTTAAAAATACCTTGTCTACAGAAATCTGACTGCTTTACTCATTTCATTAACATATTGTGTGTTCAGTTTACTTTTTATTTAGCAGCTAAGACAACAACAAAAAAAATTGTGTTTGCTATTAAAGTTTTGTGGCCACTGTAGTTCTTTCCACTTAACATTTTTTGGCCCCACCTGACATATTATTGGATTAATTCAAGGCAGGAATATTTTTCTGTTGTTCAGGTGAATTGCTAAACTTTTGTTTGGTATAGTTTACCTAAAAGTAGTTTATTGAATAAATGCTCTAAGAAACTAACAGTTTTATTCCAGGTTGTATGTATAAAGATGTTGTTTTAATGTAAGGCCAGTTTCAAGTTAGGAGGCCTCTAGGTGTTCAATGGGTTTTCCTTGAAAAAGTCTGAGAAACACTGGTTTACAGAGATGATGTGATTAAATGTTGATTAAGGTAAGTGGTTTGGATTAAACAGTTACTAAATGAGTCAGATTGTCCTGAGATAATTTACATTATTTTTGACACGTCGTCACGTCGGTTGACTGGGAAAAGTTTTATGTCTAAAAAGTCTTGAAAGAAAATTTCAGTCTGTTGTTTCTGCTTTGTTTTTTGCTTCCTGTTTGATTTTAAACATTCATGACTCATTCATATTTTTATAGTGAACTTTGACCTTTGCTGTAACGTCAGCTTTTCTATGGTTTGTTTTTACCAAAGGATCAGAGACTTTGCAGATATACAGTACGCACCACGGCTGTATATTATGAACCTTCTATGCTTCCAGCAGAATGCAACAGACCGAATGGGCCCTGTACTGGGATTACAGCAGAACTTCCTGTAATCCACCATTCCCAGCCCAACATGCTGCAGGAACATGAAACATGTTGGCGTTTCCACGCTGGGCCTGTTCGTTCATTCTGCAGCAATAGAAGTCAGTGGTGGCCTTTCTCAACCTGCGTTACGCTCTCCACTCGTGTCCTTTGGGATTTAGAACACGATATTTACTGTAGTTAAGACCATTTATTTTATTACGATAATAAGTTAAAAAAAAGGTCAAAATAAAAACGGACATTTTTCTTCTCCTATACAGTTTTTGCTGAACGGGGACGTTATTTTACGACAGTATTATGACTATGCTAAGAAAATAAAAAAAATAAAATCCCAAGACCAAAGTCATAAAATTATAAGAATAAAATTATAATATTATGAGAATAAACTCATAAGAGAATAAAGACATAATATTTTGAGAATAATGTCACAATAATATGAAAATAAAGTCATAGTCATAGTCTGGTACTATTACAAAAACAAAGTCATAAAATTTCGACTTCACTCTGGTAATATTACAACTTTCTTAAAATATTAAGACTTTATTCTCATTTTTAGCTTTATTCTTGTTCATAAGACTTTATTCTTATAATTTTATGACTTTGTTTTTTAATTTTACTTTATTTTTTCTTTGTATTGCCCTAATACTCTGTCATAATTTTTAAATCAGAAATTGAAAGCCTAAAATATTAACTAAGACAAGATGTGACTTTTACTAATCCACTGAGTGATTTGAGTGGTTAAAGAAAAGAACTGAGGAATTTGGTATTTCAGAACCTTTTTGATCTGTCAGGCTTGCATAACACAACAGCTGCTAAATCTCTCAGTATGTCGGATATTTTGGATTAGCTAATCTGCTATTGGTGGACCAATTTTTTGCGTTCCTCTTTAGCTAAAATTTATTGCACTTGTTCTGGCTAAATACTGAAGCGCTAATGTACTGCAATGTATGCTAATGTAGTTAGGTGTTTATATTCTTGCTCTTATTTTGAAGAGGGTGAAGTTGTTTCCTTAAACAACCAAACTCTTCCACTCTCGCTCCCGAGTTTTGTTTCTCCTGAGATCCCAAAAGCAGGAGTCGGAGCTGTGCACTGAGAAAGGCCCTGTGTCTGTCTGCTGGTGTGTGTCCCATCCCATCCTCATAGGTTCATCGGCATCGAGATGAAATCGGTGAAGTTCGAAGACTCCCTGTTTGATAATTGCACCTTTGAGGACATCCGGTCCACAAACACTGTGTTCGAGAACTGCACTATCCTCTCCACCGTTTTCTACAATACAGGTGGGTTCAGCGGCTCATCCTTTAATGTTCCAACTAATTATTTAACTTCAAATTAAAACTTTAATTTGCAAGATAAATGTTTAACTTAAAGACAAATGTTAAGCTTAAATAATAAACTCAAGACTAATTATTTGATATTTTAATCTAAACTATATATTTAGTTAGCTAAAGTACTTTAGTTTTTATTTTAGCTGAATATTTAGCTACATATTCAGCTAAATATGCAGCTAAAATTTGCTACATATTTATCTAAGTATTTAGCTAAATTTAAGCTAAATTATTTAGCTTCAAAATAAATGTTTTTGCTTATTTTGTTAGCATGTATTATGTAGTATTTAGCATAAATACTACATATTGCTCCTTATTAATTTAAATATTCATTTATATTCAAGCTAAATATTTTTCTCAGAACTACATATTTAGTTAGCAAGTCAGATTTTTTGCCTAAATCTAAAACTAAATATTTATTTTGAAGCTGACTATTCAGTTTGAAATATTTCGAACTAAATATTTCAAAACTTGAATTGGATCTTGAATCATCTGCAAACAATAGTTGTAAACAATAACAACTTATTTGTTTCTTGATTAATGGATTTTTTTTATACATTAGTGGAATATAGGCAAAGATTCGTAAACATTTCTAAAGGAATCGTAGCGACTAAGATGCTGTGTTTGTGAGCTTGCTGTTCCCCTGAACCTCCTCTGTCTCTGCAGACCTGTGGGAGGAGAAGTTCATCGACTGCCGGATGGAGAACACCACTTTCGAGCACAACAAACATGGCTGCCACCTGGATTCAGTGGAGGAGAACGACGTGTTGATCTACCTGGTCAGCTTCCTGGGCAGCCTGGCCGTGTTGCCGGGCAACATCATCTCTGCGCTGTTCGTGGAGAAGATCGGCAGGGTCAAGATCATAGGTGACGCCAAAACGAGATTATCACTGAGGATTCACAGACGACGAGGATTCTGTTAACCTCTGACCTCCTCAGGTGGCTCCATGCTCATTTCTGCCGGATGCTCCTTCTTCCTGTTCCTGAGCTTCAGCCAATCAGCAATCATCGCCTTGCAGTGCATGTTCTGCGCCGTCAGCGCCGCTGCGTGGAACGGGATCGAGGTGGTGACCGTGGAGCTCTACCCGACTTCGAAAAGGTAACTTCTTCTCTACATTTAAAGTATCGTAAAGCTAAAATACAAAGCTTTTATAACAAATACATTTTTTATTTATTTGTTAAAACATCATATCGTTGTGAGACAATCTGTGGAAAGATCGTCTGTCCTCCACCTCCTCGCTAAGTTACTATTAATGTCTAAAGAAATGCACAAAAGCAACCAATAAGAGCCAGGAGTCTGGTCTTAGTGCTGTCAATCAATCTCATGTACTTGCTGTGAAATGTGTTAATGACAGAGAAGCAACTTAAGCAACTAAATATTTAGTTTGTAAGTTAAATATCATGTCGTTATGAGACAGATAATCTGTGAAAAGAGCAATCTCCTCCATCTTCTCCCTGAGTTCCTGAAACAATGCACCGCCCCTGACCAAAAATAACCAATCAGAGGAGGAGGGTCCTGTAAAGTAAATGTAATTGAGTAAATGCAACGAGTTACTAACCGACTCTGACTGCAGTTCAGTGTTTTCGGTGCCGTTAACTGGCAGTGCTACAGCGCCACCAATTGGCCCGGCAGATTTACTGGATCATTTTCTGTCTTGTTTCTGTCACATTTCTTCTTAATCGTTTACAAAAACATGCTTGTTTCCATGTGAACGGGGCCTTCGAGTCCCGCTGACCATCAGATTGGGTCCTGCAGCACCTCAGACCGACCCGGTTGTGCTTCTGTCGCAGGGCGACGGCGTTTGGCGTGCTGAACGCGCTCTGTAAGCTGGCCGCCATCCTCGGCAGCTCCATCTTCGCCAGCTTCGTGGGGATCACCAAAGCCATCCCCATCCTTCTGTCCTTCACCGCCCTGGTGTGTGGCGGCCTGGTGGCTCTCAAGCTGCCCGACACGAGGCAGAAAATCCTGCAGTGATTTCCGCCGCGGCGTCCGGAGGCAGAAGAAGAGAGTCCGCTTCACGTCGGAAGCTGTCGGACTTCATGTTGCTCTGCAGAAGGCGAGAACAGAAACACCTCAGCCAAACGCTCGTTTCTTCACGTGAACATCCATCTGTACAGAGTGGAGGAAGGAGGAGTTTTTAGTTTCAGCTCAGTCCATCATCCGGCGGTGGAGCTACTGATGACTGATCAATACTCGATCCATCCTCTACTTCCTGTCTGTCAGCAGCAGCTCCATGCATGAGGAGGAACTTTGCCTTCCAGCAGTTTCACAAACTTTCTGTTTGTATGTTGATGCTGTGAAAGATGCTTAAGTTTTCAACCCCTGAAGTTCAAAAGCAGCAGTTTCTAAAATCAAATTTGCTCTAAGATCTGCCAACAAAGAGAGTTTATGCTCCGAAACCTGGATTAGACATTAAAGCTCTTTGAAACGATTCAAAACAGATCTGGAGTCACTCCTAATAAACAGGTGATTATTAGTCACTGAAGGAACTCTTTAGTCATGATGTTACACTGCAAAACACAAAATCTTACCAAGTAACTTTAGTTTCCAGTGCAAATATCTCCTTACATTTGAAAAACAAAAAGCTTGACTTACAAGTATCTTTTCATCCAGATATAAAATCTTGCTTTGAGTCAATAATTCCTTAAAAGTGATGAAAAAACTACAAGCTGGAAGATTATTTTATTTAAGACATTTTCCCCCATGTATGCTAAAGTACAAATTTATTTGTTAGATTTTAGTTTTAAAACTAGGAAAAGCTGATGGTACTTAAACAATTTAAGCAATTTTGATTCTGAAATAAAGTCAAAATTACACAATGGTGTATTACAGCCTTTGTGGATAGAAAAAAAGAAGAGTACATTTCCACCAGAAATCACAGAAACTTTTTTAATTAATCTCAGAAATTTTCTAGAAAAATCTTGGAAATTCTGAGTTTTAAAAGTCAAATTTTTTACTACTTTTGGAGCTCAGAAATTTCGATTGTTTCCTAGAAAATATCTGAGATAAATCAAAATTTCTGAGTTTTTGGCAGAAATTTTCTCCTTTTTTTCTGTCCACAGTGGCACTAATATGCCATCATACTGTACAGTGCATTATGCCATTAAACAATACGCAATAATTGCAGTACATTATATTTTTAAGCATACTTACATCGAATGATGCAAAAAAGTGGTTTAAGCAGAAAAAGAAAAAACATACTGTCTGTTTGGCTTTTAAACATCATCAAGGTGAAAATCTTTATTGCCACAATAACAGTATCCATGGTTATTTATGTGATTTTTTTTCTGTCTTCTATGACAGTCACATTAATTCCTAATGAATCTTAACTGATTATGTTTAGAAAACCAGAATAAATGGTGGGTGAATAAAACAGGAGTGATTCCAGATCTTTTATTCCAGAACAGTGGTTACCAACCAGCTGGATTTAATTGAAGTTTTAGTGATTTTTCTCAAATTATAAGGTTATTTTATAAGTACTAATATCAAATTGCAGCTGCTACATCCCACAGACGGATTTTAACTCTCATCCCATGAAACTAACTGGAGCTTCTGATCGAACAGCTGTTTATCGTCCCAGAGTGCAGCTGTGTGTCTTCCTGTCCTGTGTGTCCTGCATGACAACCTCCGTCCTGATTGTGCTGGATCTTCTCAGAAACACAAACATATCTGTGTGTAACTTTAACAGTTTCTGTGCTTTGGAGTTGATTTTGTTTTAACCGACTAGCTTGTTCTTTCTTTTGATTTCTACTGACGTGAGTTTCCGCCATCTTTCTTTTTTTTCCCTCACATTTTCACTGGAAATGGATCTGAATGTGGTTACAGTGCCATCTAGTGGACAAAATAGACAATCACATCCGGGACTGAGACATTTTTAATTTTTTTAAATCAAAGTTTCCCATCGGCCTGTTACTTGTTTTTGTGTCTTTTGGGGTTTTTGACTCTGACAGACGTTTGTTTTATTTATCTTATTTGGTTCTGGTTCTGGTTGTGTCAGTGGCTGCATGTCTGTCTGGTATTTTCTCTTGGCTTTGCGTTTTCAACATAATATGTAAGTGTAACGTGGTCTGAGTCTCAACTGTGTTTTTACTCAATAAAAAGGAGAGATGAGCACTGGAACACCAAACCGCAGCCCGGATCTCTTAGTTTTATTGTTCCTGATGCAGAAAATGGTTTAAAACGACCTAAAACGTCGTCAATATTCCGCTATTGTCGAGGAAACATTTTCATAATTTTGCACAATGCGAAAAAAGTTCCTGTCTCAGTTTTGGAAACAAACTAATTTCGATTTAGTAAATAAACAAACACAACCCAGGAAAAGATTTATTGATTTTTTTTTTATTGGTGTTTCCATTCAGATCATTTATTTTCAAAATGTCAAATTGCGTCTAGTCAGTGGAAATGCAGCCGCACTGCAAAACCCCAAAATCCTACCCAGTATTTTTGTCTAGTTTCTACTGCAAATATCTTAAAATAAGACAAAACTTTTAAGTAATTTTTCAGCTAGATATGGGAGATTGTTTTTTTTAAGTAATTCCTTAATATTGATGAAAAGGTTCTAGTTCTACTGGTAGATTATTTCACTTATGGGAAAATGTTTTATTATTGAAGTAATAAACCAATAATCGTTTCTTCTTGTTGTAACGTAGCCAACTGAAAACATTCAATAGGGTGTCAGTACCTGAACTGTTACCCATATCTTTACTTTATTGAATTTATGTCTTCAGAAAGAAACCAAACAAAGTTATCGTTATTTTGTCATTTATATCAACTCTAAAAATACAAGTACAGTTACTTAATCAATGAAAAACTTTATAATTAATATTTAATTGATTTTTAACATTTATTTCCATGTGTTGCTGTTCAGATGCCACTGTAAAACAGAAGAATAGACTCCAATTCAATTCAGTTAAATCCAGATCATTAACACAGTGCTGATGCACTTTTCAAAACAACGAGATTCAATTTACTGTATATACAAGAATATTCTATATAAAACTGGTTTTGCCTTTTGTTCTCTGTGGACATTTATTCTTCCTTTATGATTCTGATAAACACATGTACACCTTCAGGCTGCTCCTTCCTGACTCACAGCGCCCAGTTAGCTCTGCTAGTTTCCAGTCTGGCTGCTGAACCATTGCAGGACTTCCTGTTTGTTCCTCTGCACCCACTTGATGTTGGCCTCGGTCCGCTCCAAGGCCTGATCCACTGCGAGCGTTGCAGAACCGAATCCTGCATCTTTGTGCTCCTCTTCAAAATCCAGCAACTATCAACGGAATCACAGGACTTCAGACTTCAACACAGGTCAGACCCAAGTTCAGAATATGGCAGAATGAAATTCTTTGGTAGAATATGAGATCGTTTGGTAGAATATGAGATCGTTTGGTAGAATATGAGATTGTTTGGTAGAATATGAGATCGTTTGGTAGAATATGAGATCGTTTGGTAGAATATGAGATCGTTTGGTAGAATATGAGATCGTTTGGTAGAATATGAGATCGTTTGGTAGAATATGAGATCGTTTGGTAGAATATGAGATCGTTTGGTAGAATATGAGATCGTTTGGTAGAATATGAGATCGTTTGGTAGAATATGGGATTCTTTGGGAGTTTTCACACTTAATAGTTGGGTAGATTCGGTTTGATTTGGAATCAAACCTCAGCAGCTGAGATTCACTTTCACTCTCAAATAAATCAAACCTTTCAATAAATCTGTTCCCCTATCATCAAAAACCTGAAAGAATCAACACCAAACCTCAGTAGAAAACATTGAGTGCAACTTCGTTCTTTATGAAATGTAAACCAAAATGGAGTAGCGTCAGATTGGAGGATTTGCCTTTTGTAAAAGGACACAAACCATTTCTACTTCTAGCGCTAGTTGTTTGTTATAGTTGTATTTACCCGGAATTACATGTAGTTTGCTTCCTGCTTTTAGAAAGGTGTAGTCACAGATGCGTTCAAACTGAACTAGAATTCACATCAACTGAACCGAGACTGAGGTTTTCAGGTGGACCAGAGTGAATGGTTTTGGTCCGTGTCAGCGTTCAATTATGCATTCACAACTCCTCAAATGCGACGGACTCTCCAGACAAACAGACTAGAGTTCGATTAAAGCAGAGTAAGCAGGGCTGGTGTGAATGCACCCTGACGGGTTGTGGGTGCCCCACGTTGGGCGCCAAATCGTTAGGAATCAGTCAGTGACAAACAAAAATCCAATTACCCCACAACACTCAAAATTTTGCAGACCAACTGGGGATTTTATTAGCACAATTTTTAAAGTGTACCGTTTCTTTGTAGAGACTCTTTTGCATTGTTGGAGATGAAAACATTTTAGTTAATTTCAGCCAATTCATCTTGCCAATTTTTCCAGGCAACAAAAGAACTATGTCCATCTTTCTTTTGCTAAAACACACACGGTAATTATTCACATACCAGGTCAGACTGCAGCTTTGACTGTGGATCCGATCAAATTGTATTTGTTAGCAAAATCAAAATCACGTACCTGTTGCAGCTGCTGAGTTGTGGAGAACCTCGCTGTGACGCCGCTGATGAGAGAAGCAAAGGAGAAAGAGCCCACACCATACCTGGCAAAAACCCACAAAAGCTTTTAAAATCTTACAGCTGGAAGCAATTAAACATCTCAGATTACTAAAGCGACGTCAGTGGGAGGTATGTAAGAAGAAGAAACGCTCTGACCAAAGACAGAACGGTTAAAAACACAAAACTCGTCGATCAAAATCTTATATACGTCAACAGGAATAAAAAGGCGAACAACAAATAAACCAATAAGTTTATAATACTTTAAAAATGAACACAGTGGTTAATAACACACTCACTCTGTGAACATGTAATCCCAGTTCTTTGTGACAAATTGCCAGGTGAGATTTTGTCCCGCTCTGTTATTGGCGACGGCGGTGATGACGGCGGTGGCGTCCTGTTTCCGGATCTTTGTCGGGTCTAACGTGAACTCCAGAAACCTTCAAGTCAGTTCGAAACGGATGTGGGTCAGTTTGTGTTGTGAAAAAGTAACCGAGGATTTGGATTATCTGTTTTCACCTGTGAAATTGTATCGTGAATCCACACCAGTTTGTCTAAGGTTCACATATATAAAACTCTAAATGGTTAAATTTGGAGCTTTTATTTAAGGGTCTACATTAGAATTAGAAATAATTCTTTCTGAGGTTCTCGTCAGACATTACAATAAATATCCTTTACAAATATTCATAAATAGACATAAAGGGATTTCAGAAAATGCAAACAAAATTGAACTCAAAATTCAAATCAATAACATTTTGAAAAGACATGAGAAATGTCTTACCACACAAACTATTTCAGCCATATCAGATGTTTACCTACTTTGTCAAATCTGCATTTAAAATACAGCTGCCGGTAATTTACTGGAAATCAAAGTTATTTTTATTATTTTTTTTACAATGTTAATTCTATTCTGATAATAATAATAAAAATAACACTAGTTTTTGCATTTTTAATTGAATGAATTTTATGGTCCACCAGCAGTTTAAAGTTGCCAGTTTGGAGACCAGACTGGTTCCATTTGGCTTGAGCTGTTGGACCAGCGGCGGTCAGTGAAGGCGAGGCTCACCTCTCCAGCAGCTGCGTGTCGTTGCTGCAGGCCAGAGCCAACATGAGTTTCTTGGCCTCGCTGGCCACCGTAGCGTCCTGAAACTGCGACCATGTGAAGTTCCACTCAGCCTCGCCGCCGGCCGCCACGGCGCTGCAGTACACCGCCGAGCGAAGGTTCGGGTGGATGCTGAAGGAAGGAACGAGCTGCAGATTAGCTTCACTTGTTCATCAAAACGATGGAGTTCCACACGGTTCTGTACTCAGATTACATGTTGTTTTTTTTTGTTTTTTGTATGCAACACAAATCTGGAACAAACTTCCAGAAAACTGCAAAACAGCTGAAACACTGAGTTTCTCTAAAAACCCATCTGGTTAGAGCTGATTCTGAATGATAGGAAATGAAACACTGAACAACATTTTGATGTGTAACAATGGAGACTAGGAAAAATGAAACGCTCACTGACTGTATTTGTGTTTACGATGTAAAGCACTTTAAACTCCTTGTTTTTGAAATATGCCATACAAATTAACTTGATTGGTTGATTTTTTTTTTTTTCCATAGGAGAAAATCAAAAATGAAGCGCCTGCAGTCTGAATGAAAAGATTTCTCTTCGCGTTTCATGCAGTCTTGGACCGGCTCTGACAAAGCTCATTTGCAGTGGTGATACATTTCTAATAATTACTTAATGGCATTTGTAAAAAGCTCAGCTTTATTTTTCACTACATATACATTTTTGTATATTATTTTACTCTTCTACGTAAATATTTCATCCATATATCCCACCAGTAGGACTCTAGCATTTGTTTTGCAGCAGATTAACTTATAGCCATAAACTTTAATCAAATATCTCTGCTTAGTAAACATTTAATGCGCTTTTTTCACTGTCCTGATTAACTATATTTAGTGTTACGGGTGTTTATTTGATCAATTATAAGTTAAAAACATGATTTAACCTTAATCAGTGTTAAGTATTTACCATAAGATAAGTTGAAAAAACATATTGATTATGTTTACCCTCCCTTGCGTCGCTGTAGGTTTTTATTCTGCTCTTTTTTTCACACACATTGAAATAAACCTGATGAAATGTTGCATAAATCAGACCCACGGGTTGCGTTCAGGCTCGTCCATCCACTGCCGGAACCACATGCGGATCAGGTTCTGGCACTCTGGTAGTCCGGTTCTGCAGGCTGTGCTGAGTGCATTTACCTGATTGTACCTGCAGAGGGAGACAAAACCTGTTAGAGCAAGAAGTTCTGACACGAAGCTGCCATGTGTGACCAGAGGGGGCGCTATAACCCATAAAGATGTGGATTTGTGTGAAGAGTTGAGACAGTTTAAGTGCCACACAAAGAAAATAAAAATATAAAATAAAATTGCAAGAATAAAGTAATAATATTTCGAATTTATTCTCTTACAATTTTATATTCATAATATTATTTTTTTTCATAATACTATCCTTTTTTCTTGTATTATTTTGACTTTATTCTCATAAGTAAATTTTTATTTTTCTTTATTTTATTTAGTATGGCCCTAATACTTGTATCTTTCACCCTCCTAATTAGATATGGAAATACAAGAAGTATGTGGATTTCTAAATATTTACACTCTTTAATTTCTTATAAATATTGTTTCATATGCATAAATATACACATCTTCAATTTTTTTTTAAATTATCCTACTTTCTTTCAGTCTGGGCATACTGTATTCAGTAGATTATTTGCTCTTATTTATACACTTACTTATTCTTGTTTCTCTGTTTTAATATGTTTAATCTTAGTTTGAATCTGCATACTTTCATTTTTCTTTAACTTTCTGAATTTCCCGACATTTGGACAATAAAGACTATTTCTATCTTGTATCTTCTATACTCGTTGTCAAAACCTTCTCATCAGAAGATGAATACATCATTTCAGATGTGTAAACCTTTTCTGGAACTCTGTTTTCAGTAATAAAGATGATAATTTAGTAAATAAACACATTACGGATGACTTTGCATGGAACCACTTTTGCGTTCCATACCAGTGCTGGCTAATGCAGTTTCTGCAACACCTTGCTGATTTTGTTAGAGTGCCATAATCACCATAATCTCATTTCTGTACTGAACATGTACAGATTAATGATAAATTACTGGGAGAAAATGATTGAATACTGTTGTTTCTGCTTATGTGAATAAACTCACTGGTCAGTGTGCTTCTCAGGAACTTTGGTCCAGTTTGACGTTATACTCCTGAAGTACAAGAAGAGTGGAGTCACCTGTTTCCTGACGTATTCCTGACGAATCACAGAAACAGGAAAAGATTGAGGTTCACTTGTTAAAACGCTCATAGCATCCAAACAGCTAACATCTGAGAAGTCTTCACCTGCATGGGCGCATAGACTTCGGTTTGGTCCAGCATGAGGTTGAAGTAGTTCAGGTTGTTGAGTGCAGACTGCCAGGGCATGTATTCGGTTTCCTTGGACAGGTAGGAAGTCGTCCTGAGAGCCAGAGTGGTGGAGACCAGCTGAGCTCTGCAGAGGACAGACATGTGACATCCAAAGTTGTGTTGCTGTGTCAGTATGCTGATTATTAATATCATGCAGCTTTTTGCCTCTCTTTCTTCAGGCTCTTTCACACGGATGTTGAAACCTCCCACAATTATTAAACATTTAATCAGAGCCAAAGTGGAACAGATTTTTTAAAATTGATTTCTATGTGATCATATTAACAAAAACACAGTTTTCATTATAAAATTGTACTTTTTTTTTTTACTATAACTTATATTTGATTATGTAGAAACCATTCTTGTTCCATTTCATTCCTGGCCCCCATGAGCCTTTGCGTGAATTATGGGCGAGACTTCCGCCGCAAACCGGAACCACCATTTGTGTACATGTTAGCAACTCGCTAAGTTGTTTTAGGCTTTAAAATATGTAGGATGTGACAGTATTGTTTTACCGCTGCGTACAGACATTGGGAGGCGACATTTTGACTTCAAGAAGTGGTTGTAAATAACCCGCGCTAGCATAATTAGCTACTTCTTTGACGCAGTTGATTCCGATGCAGATGCGGGTTTTCTTCCGTTGGGTTTTTGTCCGCACAAGTTTCAGTTTGGTCTGATTATTAGAGCACAGCCACGAACAGCTTCGTAGTTTTCCGAACTCCGCATGTGGCACTTCCTATTGGCAAGTCGCTCTAACGGATTGAGGAAAAAATAAAACGTTCATTGCTCTCGGGAGCCCCCTGGTGGGCGCCAGAGGTCACACCGCCGGAGACATGAGCTTCCGGTTCTCCGAAGCAACCGAGGAAGATAAGTTGGATAAACAATGTCGCAAAAAAGGACTTAAGCTTCAGAAATAAGGAAAAGAGGGGAAATTAGTTGGTTGAATTTTTTGGGCTTCATGATGTTTGATAACTATAATTAAAATTAATGAATTATTGACTTAAAATAAGCTCCAACATCTTGCTAAAAATTACTTATAAGTTAGTTTTTTCTTATTTCAGGTGTACTAAGATATTTGCGGATATTTACTAATATTTTGTATTTTTGCAGTGGATTTCATATGATGATTTGATCTCTATAAAGTTTTAAGCTGGTAGTTCTATAGGAATCACCTTGTTTCAGCCTTAACTTAATTTTCTGTCAGTCAAGATATGACATCTTTAAAGTGTTCACGAATACAAAGGAAACATTTACAGATCTTAAAGATCCAATTTGACATTCTTTTTTTTAATTACTATTTGGTAAACATAAAGGTAAAATGAACCAAGACTTGTTCCCTGATCTGTATTTGTAAACAGAGAAAGTATTTGTAATTTGTACTAAAATAAATACAACTGACTTGACTGGTCCTACCTGGCCAGGTTGAACGCGTCATCCACCAGCTGGGCTCTGTTGATCAGTGGAATCACCTAAATCGGGTTACAAAGTCAGTCTGCAGCGGTTGAAATAATACAAAGTAGATCCATCAGCTGGCAGATGTTCTGCTGGCTCTGTCAGGTAAAGTGTGTTTGGTAACCTGGTGGTCTGTATTGAGCTGAGAAAAGAGCCGCTCCCAGTTCCCCAGGTCGTAGTTCACCCGATAATACCCCGTCACATTGATGTTAGCCAAAACCCAGGAAGGCCCAGTCCTCATGTCCTCATTCAGAGCTGACAAACACATTTTGAAAACATTTTATCATATTCAGTATAAGCTTTCTGCACATTTAATGCACTTTAATTGCACACCTTCTTTTTCCAAGAGCCACCAAATTTCTTTGGTGGCTCCGTCTTTCATCCAGCGCACAGGGATCATCCATTCGTACCTGAAAAGACCCAAAGTTGTTAGAGCTTATTAATCTGCAGAGCTGCAGTGGGAAAAGTGTTGCTGATGCACAACTGCTAGCAAAAAGACAAAATCAACACTGTCTGAAGATGGTATGCTGCAAACACACAAAATCTCACCAAATATTTTTGGTCTAGTTTCTACTGCAAATATACTAGTGCACTGGCAATAAGACAAAACTAACTTACAAGTAATATTTTCTGCAAGATATAGGAGCTTGTTTTTTGTAAATAATCCCTTTATATTGATGAAAAAGTACAAGTTCAACAGGGAGATTATTTTACTTACAAAAAGATATTTTTCCCATCATATATGTGAAATAATCTGTCAGTGGAATTAGAACATTTTCATAAACATTAAGAAATTATTTACTTAAAACAAGCTCATATATCTTGCTGAAAAGTTACTGAGTAAGTTAGTTTTGTCTTATTTCAATTGTCCTAATTGATTTACACCAGAAACTAGACAAAAGTAAGGTATAAAAATGAAAGGATTTTGTGTTTTTTCATTACAGTCCATCCATATGTTTGAATCTTAAAAAATGCTAATCAACAAAAACTCTTTTCCATTAATGGAATGAGAAAAATGTGCATTTCCTGCAGAACTTCCTCCGCTCCTTCATGCAACATCTGCTGCTTTTTTCTACAAACTCAAATTTAGGTGTTTATTCCAACATTTTCTTTCATTTTACCAAAGCGTCGAAGCCAGTGACTCTTCCATTTTATCTCACAGAATCTTCATTTCTTTTCTTTAAGTTTCTAGTTTTTCTAGTTTAAAACCATTGATTGTGTTTGACGATTTACTGACGATTTCATTTTGCTCTGATCCAACAAGATGCTTCACTTCACGCAGGATTCAGACCATAAACCTGAAATTAAATCCTTTTTTTGAGAGCATTTGAGCTATTTATTGTTCATTTTTATCGCTCTGAGTTTTGTTCTTGGTTTACTTTATATTTTGTGGGTTATTTATAAGGTTTATTTGTAGGTTAATGGTTTCTTAATTTATTCATTTTTATACTTTGATTTCTCCATTGACTGAATTTTTCATAGGATTGTTGGTTTGACAAACAATTGCCTCTACAGAGAAATAACAAAAAGAATGAAAATCAATATGTGACCATTTCTTTTGGAAGAACTATAATTTCTTCTTATGAGTGATGGGCAATCAGCTCGGCCAGAAGTTGCGTTTTAAATTGTTTCATGTTTGCGTACTTGTATGGCGATTCCACAGTAACGTTGGATTCTGGATCCAGCAGGAAGTGATTCTGGGAAACAGCCCCTTTGCTTGTGTCTATGGTAACCACTGGGAAGCCCATCTGACGCACCCAGCGGTTCATGATGGCGTCAACTTTATCAGGAAGAGACACGTTGTTGTCTTGCACTGCCTGCAGAAATAGAGTTAGTGTGAGTCTAAACAATGTCTAAATGAAGGGTGTTAATGGCATCAATCACAGGAAACCCTATACAGATATTGGAGATGTAGAAGTCATACGTCCTCATCTCACCATTTGCAGATGTTTCCACAAGTCACTCCCAATTGTGTTACCATAGGAAAAATATCTTAGGTAACTCTGTGGACAAAGGGAAAAAAGTTGCTTTTGGTCAAATAGTCCAAACCACAATAAGATAAACTAATCAACTGTTTTTGCGTGGAAAGAACAAACTCATACACTGAGTCCTTGCTTGAAGACCGACTCTGACAGGAAGTCTGACAGCATCCTCAACACCGCGGCTCCCTGGACACAAACGGAGAAAAGGAATCAGGCCGCATTTTGAAGTTGCACTTACGAAAACGTCTGCCAAAAAATGAAAAATGGCATGTTTTTATAATGCAGCTTGTTGAACAATAAAGGAAGAATACTGGATTTGGATAATGTTCCACAAACTACCATTTGAAGGCGGTTTGCTTGTCCTGAGAAAAGTCAGATAGATAGATAGATAGATAGATAGATAGATAGATAGATAGATAGATAGATAGATAGATAGATAGATAGATATATAGATAGATAGATAGATAGATAGATAGATAGATAGATAGATAGATAGATAGATAGATAGATAGATAGATAGATAGATAGATAGATAGATAGATAGATAGATAGATAGATAGATATGTATTGATGATCTAACATCAATACATTGACAAAATGCTAAATGTCTGTTTTCAGTTTTCAGTGTTTCTCTGTGTTTGAGCAGAGCCAACAGATCCACCGTTTTTCTGTACCTTGCTGTAGGAGATGGTGTCAAATTGCTCCATGATCTGTCCTGGCAGGTTGATGCTGTCTTCCTTAGAAGTCAAAGGATGAGAAGATACCAAGGCGTCGACTGCAAAGACTTTCTGCACGTCGTCCAACACGATCAAATCTTTCTGAATCAAAGGAAGCAGTTGGATGAAAATAACCGGAGTAAATACAGAGAGCTATTTTTTTTATTCCCTTAGTGAATGAAATAATTTGAAAACTTATTCTTGTATTTACTTATGACAAAAATGGAAAAATCTTTTCACATCACTGTATATCCTGAACCCCTTACTGTCTCCTTACCACATTCCAGTCTGGTTCTGCATAGTCAGCTCCCAGGTAGGATACGTATGAAGCAAAGCCTTCATTTAGCCAAACCTCATTCCACCAGCGCAGCGTCACCAGGTTACCAAACCACTGCAGCACACCAGGGGAAAGTCTGTCGGCCCACGAATCCATGAAGTTTTCAGTTTAAAATGGAAACAAGTTACCATGTGTGCCAGTTCATGAGCAATGATGGTGACTGTGGTTTCTTTGTTGCTGTTAGAAGAGGTCTCAGGGTCATAGAGGAGGTTGGTTTCTCTGTATGTGACCAGTCCCCAGTTCTCCATTGCCCCGAAATAAAAGTCTGGCAAAGCGATTTGGTCTGTGAATCAGAGTCGAAGGATTCAGGCTTTGGGATTTGACTGTGTTGAGTTTCCTGAGCTTCGTGATGATGAACTCTCACCTGATTTTCTCAGGGGATACGAGATGTTGTAGTAGGACTGGAAAAAGTCCAGTATGGGTCCAGTTACATTGAGAGCGTAGTTCCCCTGTCCCTCCTCGATGGCCTTTTTGCGAGCCCAGATTCGAATCTGCAGACACAAAAGAAAATTTTCAGTGAACAAACAGGAAAAACTACAAACATAACAGAATTAACACTGGCTAAAGCTAAACTAAACAGTGTGAAACCAATAATCAATTTGATTCCCTGACACTCCTGAATACAGGATGAGATGAGACGACAGAATAAAATGTCAAACTTGAATGTTTCTTTGGGTTGAGCTCAGGTGAGCGTAGTCACACACGATGATGGCCAGCAGGTAGGTGGACATTTTTTCGGTGGCTTCAAACTTTGTCTGCAGCAACTTTTCTCCGTCAACATTGATGTTCGCTCGTTCTAAACGGTGGAAGCAGTTGAAGTTTAAATGACAAACGTGGATGCTAATTTCATTGTTATGATGTTGTAATTAAATGTAAAAGAAAAGGTATTGTGTGGTAGTTTGCACAAACCAGAGCAAAAATCCAACAGCAATTAAGGAAAGTGATGGAGCAGGAGGTGGATATGTTTGTGTAGACAGTAGCTACAGTAATTGGGATGCTGCTTTGATGACCAAGAAGCTAAGCTACAACTTCTTGGACTAGTTGATCTATATTGCAACCCTCACATTTGGTCAGAATTGGATCAGAGGTGGATTCTTCCTGGAAACTCTCCATTGTTTGTCCTTTGACTGTCCCACTAAGAGCAGATCTTGTGGCAGATGCAGAACTAAACAGGGTTTTTCATTCACTCTGTGGTTTATTTATTGCTGACTTTAGCAGCAATAAATTATTTCTCAAGGGTCAATAAAAAGGAAGGGCAGATGCTTTCTAGTTTTTTATGGATTGGTTCTGAGTCAAATGCTAATTTTTGCTCTCAAGTCTCTGATTCTCACATTTTATCCTGTTTGGGTTTTTCTGCTGTGGGTCTCAGACTGAGCTTAAAGTTACTTAAAGAAGGACATTTAAGATTTCTCATCAAGGAAATTGATTTCTCATCAATTTCCTTGGTTACATGCAAAGACTGGGAAGGAATGGTTACTTCGACATCTCCAGTCAACACTAAGTGTTGACCAAGTGTAATATGGCATTACACTTGGTTTGCTCCAGACTGGCTTCTGTAAACCAATCCACAGACCTACTCTTTCTAGTCAAGCTCTTGGCACAATAATACTTATGTCCTCTGAGAGCCATTTTAGTTTGTGCAGTTATAGCCTTCCGTACCCATTTCCATGCCGTTGGACAGGGCGACAGTTCCTGTTGGGTGCTGGAGGGTTATGTGGAAAACTGCTTTCATGGCCGGCTCATCAAAACAAGGAAACGTCTTTCTGGCATTGGTGGGATGCATCTGGGAGGTTGCGACGACCCTGTGAAGAGTTTCAACTGTTCAAAAAGTCTAACAAAGACACCAAAACAGGGTAGAAAATCTTACTTTGTGACTCCATCTTCTTTATATTCACTTCGGTAAAATCCAGCCAGATCATCAGCAAGCTCTCCTGAGAACTGGGCAAACAGCTGATACTTATGTCCTGGATTTAATTTACTCCTCAACTGGACCACCAGGTACTGCGTTTTAAGCTGCAACCAAGTTGACTTGATTTGGGGGACGGATACATCTTCTGGAAAAGACATTTAGAGTGAGAAGAAAGCTGTGAAATATCTTTAAAAAGTAATGATGGAAGAACCACCTTTAGGGCAATAAACATCAGTAGTTGTTTTCTGTCTTACTTTATTGACCTCTGGCATTAATTTAGAGGAACTTTGTCCCACTTTACTGTCTAAGATTGACGTTAGCAATAGCAGACTGTTGGGTAAGAGGGTTTGTCACTGTCAATATGTGAGACATTTGCTCCAGCAGAATCCAATGTGTCACCAGGCACCAGATATTTGTTTGAACTTTGCACTCTGAAGGTCCTTCGTCAGCATTTCAATCAGATTGAAACAAAACTGTAATGATTTATTTTTAAATGTTCAGCATTTAGATAGAAAAATTTCTCAGAAGGTTTTTGTGGCTTTTATTTTGCAGAATCCAGACAGGAAGTGTTTGGGAATCGAACCCCAGTGAAATTCCAACACGCTTGTATTGGGATTTCACTATTTGATTGTTTTTCTCTTAAAGTACTTTGAGATGACATTCATTGTTGTGAATCAGCATGTTGTGGAGAAACTGAACTGAGCTTATCGAGAGAAACATGTTTTTCATGAATGTTTTCTGTACCTTCAGACGTCAGATTGACGAAATGTTCATCTTTCATCTTTGTGTAGTTTAGCTTGTTGGAGTGAATCAGAATCAGATCTGTTGCTTCCAGACATTCAAACTGAACGGTAGACCAACCTGAACAAATGGAGACGTGCGAGGTCAACAACGTTTAAACTGATCCCAGCAACACAGTCGACAGGACAACATCCAGACATTGTTTGTATTTGATCTGCTGATCACCTGTTGAATCTCATCAATGGACAATTTATCAATTAGCTGGTGATGACTGTAGCATTATGGAAATAACAGCAGGTCTGATAAGGCTATGTACACTCTAGGTTAATTAAGATGGAAGTGAAAACAATCTTGTTTAAAAAGTCTAACTTATTTCAGTAGCACAAACGTACACAAAGCTGGGATAGTCAGTGTCAGTGTCTGCATTTATGAGGTTTCCCCTTTTTGCCTTCCTCATTGGACAGGACTTACTTTATCTACTATAACTCAACACCAGGTGGTGATCAGGTGACAATTCTCCCTCTTTCTTTACCCAAGGGTCTGACAGACATGGCCTTATGCTTGGTGGCTTGATCGCAAAATAGATAATTGACCCCAGCTAGCCTGGTACCTGGCAGACGTCTGGGTCGTCTGCCAGGCACCAGGGCATGAATGGCTGAAGTTGGCAAAGTGGTGCCAGTGATGGCAGGTGTTCATCCTGTTGCCGTTTCGACGTCTTTCGTTGTGTCCTTAGGAGACTAAACGGTTCACCCACATTGCCTGCTGGTGGTGGTCAGAAGGACTGATGGCTACGATATTGAGTGGCTACAATCCTGTAGCTTGGCGCCTTCAGTGAATGTGTTTGGACTTAAATAGGAGTAACTGGTGTCACTGTGATGCATCTTTGGGTGTAGAGAAAAGCTGAACATATACCGGATGTCATTTCATTTCATCGTTTGCATCCACATAATGATTGTTAATAACCAAACATCACAGCCTTGCACATTATTCTATCACTGTCTGCAAAGTCCTGATGGAGCACAAGGGAATCTTGAGATGCCTCCCCTCCCAGCACATCATCTAGATCAGTGTACTCAAACTCCAGTCCTTTAAGGGCTGGCTTCCTGTAACTTTTGGATATCTATCCAAAGAGACATGCTTTGACTGCTTTCTTGTGAGACAGTTTTGTCATTTAATCAAGGGAGTTGATGAGGGAACAGAGATTTGACACCACTGCTCTAGAGAGACAAACATCGTCTCGTTGTTTGTTTGTCACATTAAGTCTCCTCTCTCTGGGACACTCACATTTACGAGTGGATCCACTCGTGAGCAGATCCCAGACTGTGGAAGTGATTCCAGCTATGTCTGGGTGGTATCGCCCAGCCTCACATACCAGGCCAGGCTCCAAGCCTTGAAGTCAGGAGGCATTTCATGCTCCAAGAGCCAGATTACGACTCCAGGAGGCAGCATGCACAGCCTCCCGCCTTCGCCTGAGATTCGGCTCGTATTGCAACGTTTACTCACCAGTGAAAATGTAGAGGTTAGAGTTTGGGTTGGGCTTGAGTCGAGGCCACAGGGTGATGTGGTAAAACTCAGGGACTAAATCTCCAGGAAGACGATCCCTGAAGAGAGAAGCATAAAAAAAGAAGTAAAACGATATTGAGTGTGATGGTAGAGTTGCAACCTGAATGCAGATTAGATTAAAGTTTTCATTTTGTCTTTGTTGGTAAAACTTCTCCAGATTTCTAATGAATTTCTTTGGAGTGTTTGTTGCCTCTCTCAGACCTTCAGCTCTGCTTCCTGGATGTATTGCTGTTATGATTTGCACAAAAAGGAGCCATTCTCCTTTTTATTATTGTAATTCAGATTCTGAATCTGCACAGAATCAAATGCGAGTCGGCTGACAGGTTTGGTTGTAAAGTTTCCTTGAAAGAAGAGAAACTCTCATGGTGCTTTGTGGTGCGAGTCTGGATATCCTCTGCGTCTTTCGTCCAAACATCCTGTTGTGTCATAGTGTCATTGATGTCCTACCTGTCCCAAGGAGCTGTGACGTCACCGCCTTTCCCTCCTGTGATGGCGATAGTCCACAACGTGACAATGGTTGCTACAGAAACCAGGGCCAAGACGACGCAGAGAACACGCAGCCAGCTGACTTTGCATCTTTTCGCCATGGTCCTCCGATCTGCTAGTTCAGGTCAAAGCACAGCTTCAGGCTCAATTCCTGCTTTGCTGCAGACGGCTGAACAAACCTGAGCCTGTCTGGTTAGCTGAGTCCATGCAGGGATGAAAAACAGAAGTGCCTGTCAGCAGTTACGCTCCCCCTCTGGTCCTCCATACGGAGCTGTCACTCTTGAGGAATGAATAGATTATATATTAGGTCAGGGTAGCTTTGGTGGGAACTATCCATACTGATAATCACTGATAAACCACTCAGAAAGTTAGCACATGATCTGCCTGCAGTCGTAAAACTCGGCATTTCTGCCAAGAGTTCACACACCATGACGCAGGGTTTTTATTGTCTGTTTGTGGGAGCAAATTGGTCAAAGACTTGAGACAATAACCACACACACACAAACACACACACACGAACACACACACACACACACACACACGAACACACACACATACACACACCCACCCGCACACGCACACACACACCCACACACACACCAACACACACACACACACACACAACACACACCCACACACACACCAACACACACACACACACACACACACACACACGAACACACACACACGAACACAGATACACACACACACACACACGCACACCCCCACCCACACACACACACACGCACACACACACACACACACACACCCACACGAACACACACACACACACACACACACACACCTTGACTTTAATGATCCTATGAAATGGAAAAGCTTTTTGTGACTTTGGATTATTAACAATGTCGTCGTCTGGCTCTCAGTTTCCGTCTCATCGTTCCAAAAGCTGTTTATCAGATTAAGATCGCATCTCTGTGCAGATGATTCTTTTGATTTTATGTTGACTGTTTGACCTCTGACCTCCACTGTCAAGGTCAGGGGATCTGTCCAAATCCAGTCCAGTCACCTGAATATATATATATATATATATATATATATATATATATATATATATATATATATATATATATATATATATATATATATATATGATATATTGTTTATATGTATATATTTATAGATATATATATACATATATATATGTATATGTATATATATATATATATATATATATATATATATATATAGTTTATAGCTGACTGGATAGCTCAATACATAAGGCATCAGTATATCACCCGAGAGGGCAGGGTTCGAATCCAGTCTGGGTCCTTAGGCAAGACCCTTCAAGCTACTGCCTACCTCATACCATGAGAGATACTAAGTTGCATAACATGCCGGCTCAGACGTCGCCCGGCCAAACAAGGTCTGCGTCAGGTGTTGGGGAACCAGAGCACCTTGATGACAAATGGGCTACTGGAACAAGACGGAAATGGGCGAGAGATGAAAATGTGGATCTGTTGGAATGCTACTACTCAAGTAACCCTAGTGAGAGAGGTTACATGCAAAGACTGGGGAAGGAATGGTTACTTCGACATCCCCAGTCAACACTAAGCGCTAAACAACTAGTAGCTCAGTGTTCCAACATCCGCAAACGGCAACTGCTATCACAACTTGAGATTGACGAGATACAACACAAATGCTACGGCAAAAGGGAGGAACCCAGATGTCAGGACTGTGGGGACTTAACTACAAGTCCCCACCCCACCCAGTGAGGGGATACACGGCCCCAATGAGCGAAACAGAGCTGAACGAGACAGCTGCTGACCTGAGAGAGAGAATCATGACCCGAATCATGACCCGAATGTGCACGGCTGAGTGAAGTACCATCAGTGAAGTACCATTGAGAACGATCCCTACCAACACCATAACCACTCCACTCAACCAGCTAAGGTGTACTCTCAATGGCAGGGTAATAACAACAGAGCAGACCCACCAAGGCTGGAGACTGAACAATACTGGAAAGGCATATGGGAAAGGGAGGCGTCCCACAACAGCAATGCACAGTGGCTGATCTCTCTACGAGAGGACCACAGCAACCTCCCTGAGCAAGCCCCGGTAACCATCACTGTGACAGATGTTCAAGAAAGAGTCTCAGGTATGAAAAACTGGACAGCACCTGACATGATCCATGCCTACTGGCTAAAGAAACTCACTGCTCTCTATGAGCGACTGGCAGCCCAAATGAACCAGCTGCTACAAAGTGGGACTCACCCTGAATGGTTAACTGAAGGGCGGACAATCCTAATCCAGAAGGATCCATCAAAGGGTCCAGTCCCACCCAACTACCAATAACCTGCCTCTCCACAACCTGGAAGCTCATGTCAGGCATCATAGCGGCCAACATAAGCAAACACATGGATAAACACATGAGCACGGCACAGAAGGGTATCGGTGTAAATACCAGAGGAGCCAAAACACCAACTCCTCGTAGACCGCACAGTTGCCCGAGACTGCAAAACCCGACACATCAACCTGTGCATGGCTTGGATCGATTACAAGAAAGCCTATGACTCAATGCCGCATACTTGGATCATTGAATGCCTAGAGATGTATAACATCAACAGGATTCTGAGAGCCTTCATTGCAAACTCGATGAGGCTGTGGAAAACCACCCTTGAAGCCAACTGCAAACCACTTGCATAAGTGTCCATCAAATGTGGCATATACCAAGGAGATGCTCTGTCCCCGCTACTGTTCTGCATAGGCCTGAACCCCCTCAGCCAAATTATCAACAAGACTGGCTACGGATACCGACTCAAAAATGGGGCCAACATCAGTCACCTTCTCTACATGGATGACATCAAGCTGTACGCCAAGAGTGAGCGAGACATCGACTCACTGATCCACACCACCAGGATCTACAGCACTGACATTGGGATGTCATTCGGACTAGAGAAGTGTGGTCGGCTGATCACAAAGAGGGGGAAGGTGATCCACACAGAAGGAGTCTCACTCCGACAAGGAACAATAGCAGACATAGAGGACAGTTACAAGTACCTAGGTATACCACAAGCAAATGGCAACCTCGATGAGACCACAAGGAAAGGAGCCACAGCTAAATACCTCCAACGAATAAGGCAAGTCCTGAGAAGCCAGCTCAATGGCAAGAACAAAATCCGTGCGATAAACAGCTATGCCCTGCCAGTAATCAGATACCCTGCTGGAATAATCAGGTGGCCAAAGGAGGAGATAAAAGCCACAGATATTAAGACCAGAAAACTACTAACAATGCATGGAGGGTTCCACCCCAAATCCAGCATCCTGAGACTGTACACGAGCCGCAAGGACGGAGGCAGAGGACTAGTGAGTGTGAGAACCACTGTCCAGGACGAAACAACTAAGATCCATAAATACATCAGGGACAAAGCCTCAACAGACAATGTGCTCAGTGAATGTCTCAGACAACAGGGAACGGAGGTTGAGGTGCCAGAGATACCATCAGGGGAGGTCAAGCCCTACATGGGATGTACCACCAGCAAATAACCCAAGTGGCTGATATCAGTAAATCCTACCAATGGCTGGAAAAAGCTGGACTCAAGGACAGCACAGAGGCCCTCATCCTGGCCGCCCAGGAACAGGCCCTAAACACCAGAGCAATAGAGGCCCAGATCTACCACACCAGACAAGACCCAAGGTGTAGGTTGTGCAAGGAGGCCCCTGAGACAGTCCAGCACATCACAGCAGGGTGCAAGATACTGGCAGGGAAAGCGTACATGGAGCGACATAAACCAAGTGGCAGGCATAGTGTACAGAAACATCTGTGCAGAATATGGACTGGAAACCCCGAGATCAAAGTGGGAAACACCCCCAAAGGTGGTGGAGAACGCCAGAGCTAAGATCCTGTGGGACTTCCAGATCCAGACAGACAAAATGGTAATGGCGAACCAACCAGACATTGTCGTAGTGGATAAACATCAGAGGAAAGCCGTTGTGGTAGATGTAGCAATACCAAGTGATTGCAACATCAGGAAAAAGGAACACGAGAAACTGGAAAATACCAGGGCCTCAGGGAAGAACTGGAGAGGGCCTGGAAGGTGAAGACCACAGTGGTGCCTGTGGTCATCGGGGCCCTCGGGGCAGTAACCCCCAAACTGGAGCAGTGGCTACAACAGATCCCAGGAACAACATCAGACATCTCAGTCCAGAAATGTGCAGTCCTTGGCACAGCCAAGATACTGCGCAGAACCCTCAAGCTCCCAGGCCTCTGGTAGAGGACCCGAGCTCAGAGGATAAGAACCACCCGCGGTGGGTGAGAAGGGAATTTTTTATTTTATTTTATAGTTTTCAAAATTTTTTCCAATTAGTATTGGTTCAGACTTCTAAAAGTCTGTTTTTGTTCCATGTTGTTTACATTTTCTTTTTCCAAATCTGCCTTTAATGAATAAATGTGGTTGTCTTATCTCATGTTTCGAGTTAGAAATGAAAATGTTGAAATAGATGAATTTGAGCAGTGATGTTGTTGAATGTGGGGGAAGCCGGAGCGCCCGGAGTGAACCCACACCTACACGGGGAGACATTTCCCCCCGTGTCCTGGCTTTTTAATATTAAAATGTCCAATTAACATCATCTGAACTTCTTTATCCAATTACTCCCAATCAGCCAGCTTTGAAATCTAATGTGCTGGAGACATAATTTCATGTCTACAGTGGATGGACTTTATTTCTGTTTGTGAATTTCCGCAGAAGTGACGGAGATACAGCCTTCCTAAATCGTTTCCACAGAGATAATTTTTTCATGGGTCTTTCTTGATCACAGTTTTCCTTCTCCTCAGCTGACTCTTCTGCTGCATGAGTCTCTGAGTCCTGACTTGATGTTTGTATTGTATCTTCATTTAATGTGACCTTTGTCTGTGGTCTCTGGTCTCTCTCCCCTTCTGTCCCCATTTGCACAGAAGTTGTCTGGGGGAACTCTGGTACGATGTCTAAATCAGTTCTTGGTATTTTAGTGTCTTGAATCAACTTGTTATTCGTCTCCATTGGGATGACAACAGCTTCCATTTCAGCTCTCATTGTCATCTGCTTCTTTTTCTGACATTTAGATTCAGTCAATTCTTCTGAAATGATCTGCTGAATGATCACTTCTTCTTTAGTTAGAATCTGGTTTATAACAGAGGCTGTCTGAAGCCCTTCTGCTTCTGAAACTCCCTGTTTACTGCTTGCTCCAGAAACCGTGTCATTATTTAAGGTTTCCGATTCAGAGCCAGGTTTCTTTGTCAATTCTATTCTGTTTTGACTTGTAGATGTCTTGTACAGCTTTGTCTGCCCATCCTGGTACCCATTCAGATCAGCCCACTGAGTTTCAGAGGGCTGATCTCTTAGAAATAAAAATATCTCAGTTTTCCTAAAAATTGTTTGTCGGACTGGTTTCAGATGGTATCTGGTGTCCAATACATGTATCTCAGCTTGCCTAAAAATTGTTTGTCGGACTGGTTTCAGATGGTATCTGGTGTCCAATACATGTATCTCAGCTTGCCTAAAAATTGTTTGTCGGACTGGTTTCAGATGGTATCTGGTGTCCAATACATGTATCTCAGGTTGCAT